GTGCCAGACACATTACTAGGCACTGAGATACAGCTATAAATAAAACAGTCACCGCCTCATGGAGCTAAATTTCTAGTGGAGGAAAACATAATAAACACTATCTAGTAAATCGATAATATATCCAAAGATGATTAAGTGCTATGTAAATACATATATGAGGGAATATGTATATAGGGACTATATTGGGGCAGTATGCCGTTTTATAGAGGGGTCAGGAAAGGCCTAATTAATAAGAAACCTGAAGAATGGGGGCAATAAGCCAAGTGGCAGTCTTCTAGGGGAAGGAAATCACAGGCAAAGGAGGAACAAGTGCAGAGCTTTGAGGTGGAGCATCCTTGATATGTAAGTAATTATCTTAAACTTAGTGTACTTTGTGATTATTCAATTATCTAAAATTCTTGACGGTGAGGCCTCCTTTTTTGTTGTCTGCTGATTCTCATTTATGATGAATTTTCATGCTTACTAATTTTGGATTATAAATTCATCTTCAGCAGGGCTTTATAGCTGTAAAATGAGACACCAGAATGGTTTTGTTTCTTCCAGGCACTCAGGTCCACACCTAAATGGATGGTATAAATTTACACATCAAACTGCGTGTGGCACAGGCCTATGGTTACAAATTTCCATGGTAGTCATTTTTCCCATCTAGATCCCAGGCTTAGCCATTCAAACGTCCTGGGGGTCTCTGTGGTGGGGAGAGGGGGTTGGGGCCGGAGCACATGTAGCCTATGATGACCATCTTGGTTTTATGCAAGGGGCTTCAGATGTAGTTCTTTGTTTTGGACAAGTTGAAGAACTCAATTCTGGATTACAGAGACACTCAGGCCCCCCACAAAACCAACAAAAAACTGGGCTTTTGCTTTATCAACTCATAGGCTTTCCACTTTGGGTTTTAGCTTACTCTTAATTTCTGGCCCTTGGGATTTCCCTCTCTTGGGAGCTCAGCTATGCATGTGAAAGGATACTTGTTATAATTTTTCTAACATTCGAAGCAAAAGGATTTTCAGATTATCAGTCATGTTACTAGAAACAAAAGCCTTAGTTCAGATTCTACTTCCCTCCTTCTTATACCGTGGACTTTCCTAGATTTCTGTTGGTGGTGGTAGGGGAGCTGGATGCCTGTGCTCAAGTTTTCCTAATTTAGAGATGCTCTTTTTCTTATTAATGGAGCATCCCTATTCCTGCTTTTATAGTACCTTATCAAATTCCTTTTAGTCTGCATTTATGCAAGCCTAATTTGATAGACTGATACGTTAAGTACACTGAGCCGTTCCTGTATTCTTAGAATAAATGCTGCTTGGGCATCTTCTTAGTGCATTGGAGAATTCCATTTGCTAATATTTTAAGTAAAAATTTCTGTAATGAAGCTCATTCATTTCATGGGCTGATTTTAGGTAGCTCATCTTTTGCTCTGATTAGGCATAATTTGTGAAACAGAACTATTTATAATTAAAGTTTGAAGAAATATGCTCCTCCCCCGCCCATTCAAATAATCCTTTCGGGGGGAGCTCTGTATAAACAATCCCAATTTATTTCTCAGCTGTTATTAGGCTGTCTGGTTTGTTCTTGTCTAATTTCTAGCAGTTTTTATATTACTGTTTCAAGAAACCATGTTTTAAATGTTATTACCTAGAAAAGGAACTCTTTTTTGGTACTTTATTAAAGCTGTGAAGTTTTCTCTTAACTTGACAGCATGACAGTTTTATTATGGAGTCTTTTTATTTTTCCTTTGGTCCTATTTTTAGAGAAGTATATTTTTTTAAAAGTATTTCTGTTTTTCATGTTATTATAGCCAGAATGTGCTATGAATTTAAAACATGTTTTCTTCTTAACAATAAAAAAAAATTACAGCTGAAATTTTACCTCCTTAGTTATTCTTTCTATAAAGCTTTATTGTCTTTTCTTCTATTTTAGTCAATTTCCATTACTGACACGAGCGGTAATTTTCCACTAGAATTACTTGTTACTTTATTCTTGTCTATTTGAGTTATAGTACTGAACATGTTTTCTAAATGAAAAATGTAAAAACAGCATATTTAAAAAATAAAAATATTTAAAGAGAATTAATACAAATCCGAGAAATAGGATTCAGCAGTCATTTGTGAAGCATAGAGTTTCCAAAATTGGAATAACTATACATTATGTTTTGTGGTATTTTTGGTGTATGGTAAGCACTTTTCTTTGTCTTTAAATGTTCTTAAAGAACATGAATTTTAGCATCTGTATGGTATTCTAAATCTTCTCACAGTTACAAATTGCTTATCTTCTTGGACTTTTTGTTTGTACTGGAAGATAGCACAGAGATTTGTCTCATTCTTCTCATTTTAACTAAACCTTTCTCCATTATATTATCTCACAATACCGTTAATATTAAACGGCTGCTTGTTTTTTTGTGTGTGTGTGAGGAAGACTGGCCCTGAACCAACATCTGTGCCAATCTTTGTCTATTTTGTATGTGGGACGCCACCAAAGTGTGGCTTGATGAGTGGTGTTTAGGTCCATGCCTGGGATCTGGACCCATAAACCCTGAGCCACCAAAGTGGAGCATGTGAACTAAACCACTGTGCCACCGGGCAGGCCCCACTGCTGCTTGATTTTATGTTATTGCTTAGCTTTTTAAAAAGAGTGCTCCTAGATTTATTTTTTTGTTTTAGTATTTCCTTTTAATAGAGAAATATGGTATATTTGCATGTGGTATTTAGTTGGTGCCATCTTATGTTCTGCTTTTTATATTGGTTATATTCATAAATATAATTTTCATTTATATTTTTTGAAAATAAATTTGTAAGGTGATCTGTTTAAAACTACTCCTAATTCGATTTTAGGAAGATGATTATCGTTTACCTTCTATATATAACTAAGCCAAAGTAAATAACTTTGGATTTCTTTTTGAAGCAAAGTTTCATTGTTTTGTCTTACCCTCTGATATTATTCCGACAGTCATTTTCATCCACCACAGCCACACTGTTTCATTTAAACCCTCTCTTCAGTAATCGGTCCTGCTGTTATTTGGTAGCATAGTCTTCTTTAAATTCTGTGTGCCATTTATAAGTTTTCTGAAACTTTGAAGATGTGGAAGGAGAACTGTTTGATAGGAATGGTAGCTTTGCTGGTAAATAAATCCAACTGAACGTCTTGAGTTGGGTGTCTGATAGTTTTGTTACTACATAAGATTATCTGAAGTAACCTCTTTTTTAAGTCGTTTATGTAAACATTGACTGTCAGCTGAGCTGTTTGCAGAATTTCCTTGTAATCTAGCTCATTCATTATCATATTTGTATCGTCTCTCTAAGACTTTACTTTTTTTTTTTTTTAAAAGATTTTATTTTTTCCTTTTTCTCCCCAAAGCCCCCCAGTACATAGTTGTATATTTCTCGTTGTGGGTTCTTCTAGTTGTGGTATGTGGGACGCTGCCTCAGCGTGGTCTGACGAGCAGTGCCATGTCCTTGCCCAGGATTCGAACCAACGAAACACTGGGACGCCTGCAGCAGAGCACGGGAACTTAACCACTCGGCCACGGGGCCAGCCCCTCCAAGACTTTACTTTTGCAAGTTGCTATCAGTTACTGTTCTGTAGATCTGTGTTCTCTTAATTCTTTTTATGTGGCATTAGGTGTTTTAATTTTATCCTTTTTGAGACATTGTGTAGTCAATTTTTTAACGTGTGCAAGAGGTGCTATATCACTGAACCTTTATTATGATTATTCAGAAAGTGGATTAACTGTTCTTTAAATGATTCTGAGTGTTCTCTGGTTTCTTATAGCATTGTTTTTTTTTTGCACCTTAAAACTTTTTCATTGGTCCTAGACTTTCTTTGTTGTTGTTAACTCGTCCTTCTTTGAGTTTATCTTCAGCTGTTTCTGCTAAATATTATTAGTTTCAAATTGGATGTTACAGTATTATGGTTTATAAGAAATATCCAGATATACATTTCTCATATATATTTGGTCTTCCTCCAGTTCCTAGCTTACAGTTCCGCAAACCCTTAGAATTTCCTAAGTGTTGAGAGTGACAGAGGTGTCTTTTGTTATGTTAATGACATGACTTTTGGAAAGCAGCTAAGGATGGGGGCTGGTTGCCAGTGGAGGCAACCATGTGATCAGAAAGTTGGAACTTTCAGCCACACCCCCTGACCTCTGGGGAGGAGAGAGGGGCTGGAGGTTGAATCAACTACCAAAGGCAATGATTTAATCAATCACTCCTATGTAATGAAGCCCCCATAAAACCCCAAAAGGACAGGGTTCAGAAAGCTTCTGGGTTGGTGAACACATGGAGGGACAGTGGTGCCCTCAGAGAGCACATGCAAGCTCCGTGCCCCTTCCCACATACCTTGCCCTCTGCATCTCTTCCGTTTGGCTGTTCCTGAGTTATATCCTTTTATAATAAACTGGTAATACAATAAGTAACTTGTTTCTCTGAGTCCTGTGAGCCGCTGTAGCAAATTAATCGAACGCAAGGAGGGGATCTTGGGAACCTCTGATTTATACCCAGTCTGAAGTAACCTTGACTTGTGACTGGCATCTGAAGTCCCAGGAGGAGGGTCGTGGGAACCTCCAATCTGTAGCCAGTCAGTCAGAAGCATGGGTAACAACCTGAGCTTGAGACTGATGTATGGCGGGAGGTGGTTGCAGTCTTGTAGGACTGAACCCTTAACCTGCGGAATCTGACAGGTAGATAGTGTCAGAATTTAGTCGAATTCTTGGACCCAGCTCGTGTCTAAGCATTGCCTGCTGGTGTGGGGAAGCCTCCATACACACGTTGGAATTGGGTCCAGGAACCAATTAGATGTTAATCCACCTAAATTGTCACCTTTGTGTAACAAAGTGTAAGGTTAGGAGCACTTCTTAAGTAACACGAACCATTCAGTGGGACCTGTACTATTAAAGTATTTGTGCATCTTGGTAACAAGAAAAATGATGAGGGTAGGTTGGCCAGTTCTCTGCCTCATTTTCGATATTGTACTTGTTGTTATTCCCAGCAATCCTCTTATTTCCTTCTTAGTGGACGAGAAAGCCAATACTCGCCTCCTCCTTGGCATGTGCTTAGACGCCTATGCTCACTACCTTCTGTTCTCCAAGCAGCCGTCACAGGCACAAAGGATGTATGAAAAAGCTTTGCAGATTTCTGAAGAAATATTAGGAGAAAGACACCCACAGGTAAGGGAGGAAAACAGAGAGAAGGACTGTAAAACAAAGGTTTCTTATGCGTGTGAAATGCCGTCCTCATTGGGAACAGATAATTAGCAGATGGTCCTAGGAGTATCACCTCATGCCCTAGTCTATTCATTTTCTTACCACCACTCCCCCTCCCACGACTACTTGTTTCAAAATGGATTTGAGACTGCTGATCATTTCCTGGGTCTGCCCAGAATGTTTTGCACGAGTATTGGTTTACACAGCAGAGCAACCTTCCTAAAAGGCATGTCTAACCAGGCACTCATGCTTCCAGGCCTTGAGTACACAACGCAGTATTTCAGAATACTGAGTCTTATGAGGATCAGGTTAATACATGAAGATCCTTGCCTCCCTTGCCCCACAGGTAAAATGCCAGGGGAAGGTTGGGAAAAGGAGAAGGGACTGCATTAAAAAAATTAAAAACCACTAACACAGAATTTAAGCACACTATGCAAACCTTTCTATTAGAACAGTAAACACATTGAATTGAATTGAAATCATCTCTTTGTGTCTATGAATTTAAGTTGTTAGAGGTAAGAAGTGGATTACTGTGTCTGTGAGTGCTTGGTACCCAAACATAAGACACAAAAATTGTAACTGGGGGCCAGCCTGGTGATGTAGTGGTTAAGTTTGCATGCTCCACTTCAGGGGCCTGGGGTTTGCAGGTTCAGATCCTCGGCTTGGAACTACACACCACTTATCCAGCCATGCTGTGGTGGCATCCCATATACAAAATAGAGGAAGATTGGCACAGATGTTAGCTCAGGGATAACCTTTCTCAAGCAAAAATAAGAAGATTGGCAACAGATATTAGCTCAGGGCTAAACTTCCTCACCAAAATAAGTAAATAAATAAAATGTCCAGAAAAATTGTTGTAACTAAACATGTCCCAGGGCTGGGGTAGATGGGCAGAACAAGTTATTGGGCTATGAATTATCTTCAAGAAAGGGATTTAGGACTTATTATTGAGTCCCCTTACTGAAATACAATTGAGGAATAGGAAGACAAATGTGGAATTGAAATCCCCAAGTACTAGAACTGGGGCTTAAAGCATGGCTTCAGTTGAGGAGGAGGTAAGGCCTGCCTCTCTTCGTACCAAAATTTTAAAAACTATTAATGTGAATCTTGCTAAAATCAATGATATATTTCTTCTTGATGAGTCTCAGGGTCACCAACAGGAATGACATTATAATACAATCAGGCTCTGGAGCCTGGCTTCTCAAGATTGCTGAACCTTAAATGGGATATTGTAGCTGCTTTTGGCTATTTTTCATTTGGTGCTTCTAATTTGATAATTAGATTAATAAGTAATATTCATCCTGTTCTCTACTTTGTAATTTGTATCAGTTTCCAGAGGGTCAAACTAATGCTGTCCACTGTACAATGTGAATGATAAATGCACATAATTTGTTAAAGGCTGATATCCCTTACTTTTTGTGGAATGCTAGGAAAGATGAAATCTGAAGTATATTTATTCAGTTTGTCAAACTGCAAATTAACGTTAAATCCTTGTAGGTGTTTTTAAAGAAAAAGCTGTCTGTTTTTTCTTTTGTATAGACCATTGTGCTGATGAGTGACCTGGCTACCACCCTGGATGCACAGGGCCGCTTTGATGAGGCCTGTGTTTATGTTCAGAGGGCCTCAGATCTGGCGAGACAGATAGAGCATCCTGAGCTACACATGCTGCTCAGTAATCTGGCTGCAGTTCTGATGCACAGAGGTAGGGAGCCATGAAGCTCGACTGACTTGCTTTAGCGGGGGCAAGGGGCAGTGGGGAAGCTCCAGAATTCAAAGGCTGGCTGAATAATACAAAAACAAATGCACGTTTGGTTGAAGTACCATTGTGCCCAATTCATATAACTTCTATAGTCCTGCGTTAGTCTGTTGAACCACATCAAGGTAGAGAAAACTTTGCAATGATAGTACCTTATTTCTGTAGTGCTTTACTCATTTCTAAATGTTTTCACACGTACCACTTAATTTGTTCCTCACAGTGTAGTCGTGAAGCTGGTAAGACAGGGAATTATCAGTTTGATAGACATACTATGCCATGCCGTTTAGGGCCTCACCTACAATTTTCAGAAACCTGGAATGACAGGTCTTTCTTAAACATACCACCATCAGTGAAGTCCTTGGCTGATAGAGTAAGGGCTGTGGGGCTATAGTGGAAAAGGCACAGTTAGTCCCTTTCACAGCACTCACTGGGTCAGAGCTCTACACCTGGGTCAGCTTACAGCCTCTCTCAGCCAGCCTGTCAAATGGGGAGGAAATGAGGCAGCACCAGCCTGTCCCTTAATAAGCACACAATAGACCTGTACCAATACTAGTGCTTTCTCTTTAGAATCTCTTTCAGAATCACTTTGAAAACATACATTTTCGTCTTATTCTCCCTTCTCTCCGGGTTGTTTTAGAACGATATGCACAAGCAAAAGAGATCTACCAGGAAGCCCTGAAGCGAGCAGAGCTGAAAAGAGATGAGGTTTCTGTACAGCACATCAGGGAAGAGTTGGCTGAGCTGTCAAGAAAAAGTAGTCATTTGGCTTAATTTTATCAAGCTCTACATCCCTTTTTGTTGTAGAGAATTTGCAGTAACAGCTATTCCAGTCTCAGTAGCACCCAAATCAATGGCCTAAATACTTTGTCCTTGATATTCAAGTTTCCTCAACTTAGCCTTGTGAAGGACAAGTTGTATATAAACACTGCCACTTTTGTTTTTGTGTTTTTAAAGCTTTCATTCCCAATTGATACATGACTTCTAAAGATGGATGTCAAGTGATGGTTTCAGTTGTAACATTTGTGCTGGCCATGCTGGTCTAAATGTAACTACAGATTAGGATGGGCCAGTTTTCCTCTGGGTGGGCGGTGATAATTCAGCCAGGCATCTCTCCCATAAGATTTTGGTCCATTGATTTGCTGCCCTCTCTTCTCTTATTTTATCAATATCTGGCAGACCAGAGCTACCTGTCTCATGGCAAAGGGGGATTATGGTGAGTTATTTTTCTTATAATCTATTTCATGAAGCCCAGTGTGGGACTGAATGCATAAAGGAGGAAAAGTAATTATCTTGGTTTGCCACCAGCATCCAGCATAAAGTTTTAAAGTGGGAATTAGGCATTTGAAAAGTATAGCACCCATTTGATTATAAATAAAAGTGAACTGTATGTTTTATATTATCTGATTCTATACAACTGTGAAAAAAGGGGAGGAAAGGAATAATATATCCCCTTGTCAGTGCTGTCTGAGCACTCTGATTCCTTTGCAACCCAGGGCATTCTAATATGCACTGCTGGTACAGTAGAATCATCACTAACCTGGATCCTAGTCCTGGCTTTTTGAGTGTGTATCCTCATTTGTAGAGTAGGGAACAAATGAGATTCTCTCTCAGCCGTGGGAGAACATATTTGGTCAGGTGACCTTAAATGAGTAGGCTGCTGTGTTGAAAGAGCTTTATCACACTGCTTCACAGTATATAAAGTATAGAAATACAAGATACACATGGATGTTTTCACCTTAGGAGTCTTGCAGAGAGCTGTTTGCCTAGGGGAAAGGCAATTTTTCTAGGTACCACGAAGGAACACTGTTATTGTTGGCATGCCTGTGGGGGTGGGGATATGAGCAGGAATGATAAACTGATACTTTTGGTTCCTGTGTACTTACTGGAAGAATCCTTTCATAATAAACTAGAGACTCTACAACAATATTGTATGTATTCCGTAATCTTTGAGTGTCTTATAAAAAATAATTTGCTAAAGCGTTAAAAATACTAGAAACCGTCAGGTCCAAATCCTCAGAGATTAGACTAAAAGCAGAATTTTATATTTTGCAGGGTAAATTTCTTCCCACTTTGTCTAAGCTCATCTATTATTTACCACCCAGCTAATTCTTTTAATCAAGTCTAACTCAGAAAGATGAACTATAATATAAATCAGATTGAATTTCAGTGTAACCCAGTCTTAATTTATTGGTAATGAAAAAAAAATTAGCATCAACTACTCACCTTCTGCATTAAGAACATTTTTACCTTTTCACAATTGCAGGGCTTACTAAAAGTTAGATTTTCATTCCAGGTTTTATTTAAGAATTTTTGACCCTCTACAATGATTCAGCTCATGGTCCTGGTGCTGGAAAAATTGTAGTTTTCAGAGAAACCGTCTCTGCATGTGGGTGTGAGAGGCAGTCTCTCTTCATGTTTTTCATTACAGTTCATTGCACTGTTGTAAAAAGGTAGCAAAGCAAAGCAGGAGGAAGACTGACTCTTTTACTGACTGGTCTGAATTCAAAAGTGAATTGTTAAAAATAGTGTACTTTAAACTTTTGAACTGTTCACTGGGGTTTTCAGGGCATAAATATTTTAAAAATAAAATCACTCAGCATACCAAAGTAAAAGCATTATGAAACTTCTAATCATACTTCTATGAATAGTATTAGGAAGACCTTAATTTAGTTTGGGGTGCTAAAAAATCATGCGTAAGGATGTGTAGCTTCAGAACGCTGAGATCGCAGCCTGCAGAGTGCTACGCCTTTGTTTACAGTTCACTTCTGCAAATCATCAGTCTCTCAAAGCGCTGTGCTTGCCATCAGTCATGCTAAGGTGGCCCTCCACCCCCTCCCAAGACGGTTTGCTCCATAGGTAAGCCATACAAAAATTCTGTCCTGTCGTTGTTCTTAACTAAGAAATGATATTGGATTTTATCTCCCATTCTGAAATCTCTTCTCCAGGTGATGGTAAATGTAGTAAAACAAACATGCATGGTGATGAGGATAGGGTGAGTGGTTAATAGCTGCTCACTTTGGGGTCCTCAATTGGAACTACAGAAACGACAAGTTAGGCTCTGATCTGAGTGTTCTCAGGAACTCTTCTGACTTGAAATAGTTCAAGAGCCTCGGGGTCATAGAAAAATACCATCAATCTCTTTTGGGTCAGTTGGCAACATAAATTATCAACGAAGTCTAAAATATTACCAGTACCTAAAAAAAATTTCAGCAGAAAAATGTTAAGTAGAACATTTAGTTTTCATTCACATTAAAATTTTATGTATATGTACATAAATTTATAATAAAGTGATACCAACTTTCCAAGTAGTAGAAATCAGATTGCTAAACCTGATCTAAAGTTTATTTTGAGGACCTCAAGTCTACAAGAGTGGGATAGTAATAGGAGTGAAGGCTTTAACTTCAGACAAACATGGGTTTATGGCCTATCTTTGTCGCTTATTTAACTTGATGGGCAAACTACTGAGCTTGTGTCCTCATCTATAAAATAAAGATTAGATACCACTGCCACAGGATGATGTGAGGGTCTCAATCACGCATATGAAATACTCATTACAAAAGAGGCACTCAGTCAGTGGTTATCAGAGACCTGCTTTCTTTAGAGGCTTGAGTACTTTTGTTAAAAAGTTTAGGTCTACTTAAAGTCTGCAAAGCGGTAATTTTTATCATCCTGAGAGATCTCTATTTCTCCTGTTTCTAATCATCAGTGGCATTCTCCCGAAACCGTTATCTGTATGCTTAGTATCTATACGAAGGATGCTTCAATGCTATCTATGCTTAAGTTGTATAAAAAAAATCTAAAAATTCAACAAGCAATTATTAATGAAAGTTTAAACTGACCCTCTAGTACCATAATTAGTTTAAAATTCCGTCTTTTAAATTATTTGCTCCTTGAGATTCAGTGAAATGAAAACATTCAGCAGTAAACTCTTGCCCACAAGGAATCAAAGTGAGTAAATCACTAGCACGCAGGGAAGGGGAAAGGACCATGTGGTCACCATGAGAGTTCAGGATATGCAGCACAAAGCAAATCTGAAGGACTAGATTCTACACGGATCATCATCTTCTAACTCAATCAATAATATGTATCAAACTGAAGAAAAGTGTAAGTTTTTCCTTTGAGATCTGAGACGCCAAGAGCCTTCATCACAAATAATCTACTGTAGCTATGGACAGGGTAGTCAAATTTATTTCAAAACAAAAGCTTTGTTGGGCTGCATCAAATGCAGGAGGAAAAAGAATACTTCGGGGCATGGTCAAATTACCAGTGTGCATAACAGTGAGGTATGCTCAAATAAGCCTTTAAAACTTTAAAACCTGAACTATAACATACCCATGCAGTAATATTTTTTCAGTGCTACTAATTAAAAAAAAAAAAAATTAAAGCCTGCATTGGAAATTTACAAAATGGCAGAATTTTGTGTCTCCTACCTTTTGACCGTAATATGTTAATGTACAGATTTTATGACAGGGTCTGTGTTAAAAAATCTAAATATTTCCACAAGATTTTAAACATCACTGGGAATCTGAATTTAGAAGAGACAAAACTGGATAAAAGTACAATGCCCGTGACAGCCAACGTTTTGTAACTGGGCTGTATGAGGTTGTTTAGAAGGCAAGGGTTAAAAAGATAGATGAAAAAGATTTTTAAAAATTACCCCCAAAGTTGATGCGCTGATTTGAATATAAGTACACCAGATACTACAGCATGGGGAAACACTGCAAAAAGATAATCTATTTACAGAAGAGTGATTTAAAGACATGTTTTTTGTTCTTTTTTTTACAAACAGATGTAAGAACAGGAATTGTCCACTTTTTAAAAACTCTACATTTCAACCCTCCACTATTATTATAATTTGCTGAACTGCCTGTATCAAAGGCAGTTCCCCCCCATTTGACTCTCCAAATAAATTTCCATCATTTCTTCATCATCCATGGTCCAGGCTCTCCTGAAAAGTCTCTGGGCACAAGTCATAGGAGGGCAGGTTTTTGACCTGCAATTAAAAATAAAATCACCAAAAACTAGAGATCCCCCCCCACACCCTGGCCCCGCCAAGATTCCTTCTCTGAGCAGTTCAGTCATCACTATCCGACAGCGTCTCGTACTGTGCTGAGAGCAGCGGGGCAGGCTCTCGTTCCCAGAGCCTGTTCTGTTGGTGAGGAGCTGCTTGGCTCACAGAAGAGGGCGCACACGCGATCGGTGTTGGTGGCGTGCTGCTGAGCATCCGCATAGTCAGAGGGTTATAAGGAAACTGAGTTGAGCCTGACAAAAGAAAAATTAGGTTTTCATTCTTAACAGCATAGTTGCTGTTTCATCCAACTTTCATAGGATGGAGGAGGACAGGATTATTCTAGTAAAATGGTCTTGTTACACTAAGAGCAAAGTGAAACAACATGGAAGGGCCAAGGTTCCACCACTTAGATTGTAGCCAGTGATAAATAACAGCAGTCAGTCTAGAAAGGATGATTGACAGCAGTAAGCACAATGAGATGAAGGCTGCTGAGCCCAGAAGTGAAAGCTTTGGGCTGGGTTTTTAGTTAAGTCTAGAACTAGGTGTTTCCGTGGGGGATCCAAGTAGAACTACTGGCTGTTTAGCTCTGGCTGAGTCTGATTACACCAAGAGCTTACTGGTCCTTAAAGACAAATGTAGGGGCACGATTCTCAGAGCATGAGGAGGATGACAGGTGCCCAGGGATGTCACAGGGCGAGGGGCAGATTTACAATGTACAAGACTTCGAAGAGGAATACATAACCCTGACGATAGCACTGCTACCTTCTGCCAGTTTCTAGATTGTTTCATTGTCCCCAGAAAGCCTCCTACAGCTTAAATTCTCGAAACAGAAAATATTTCATCAAGTAATTAATTTCATGAATGGTTTAATATTCCTTCCCTAAGAGATGTGAGCACAAACGATCACTGGGCTAGGCTAGAAGTTTTCAAATTAGTACACAACCATTTTTGCACGTGGTGTGAGAATTTTATAAAGCAAAAGCCTTAAATTATGCTGATATAATATCCATATGAAATTTATATATATCTTAAGGGGGAGGGCACATTTCAGATTTTTCTCAGTGACATATATGTGTATTTAACCTGTAAGAAAAGGACAGTTTATAATTCTCTGAAACCCTTAAATCCACAGCAAATATCCCAGTTTGATTAAAAAAAAAAAAAAGTCTGTTCCTTTTCAAGACTACCATTATCAAGGTTATTAACTGGGGGGGAAAAAAGCTTACAAACAGGCACAAAATAGAAACCATTAATAAATATCTTAGAGTATTATTTTTCATCAATTTATACATAGTGTAGCCTACAGAGAGATAATGGCTTTTTAAACTATTCTTCCCATTTCTGACTTAGATTTGTTATTATTTCCCCAAGAACCTTCTCTAAGAATATCTGTATGAAAGGCTGAACAGGAGGCTATCTTGGGAGTGGCACTTTACATCAGGTAGTTCATGAAAGAACTTAACTTGCTTTGCAAACAAAGCAGATGTTGGCTACCAGCATAATAGAGAAATGAGGGAAATGGGTAAGAGATTTTTTCATAGCTTTTCTTTTGTTCATAGTAATCAGACCTTGCATTCTTAATATTTTTAAGATTTTATGCACGCAATTTCTATTCTGGAAAGTGGAATCTATCAATGATAAAGTAATAGAAATATAGCTTTCAAAAAACAACGTTTCTGATTTTAGAAGAAGTACTAACCAAGGCATTGACATAAATTGCTTTAAGACTCATTTTCTAGCAGTAGGTTCCTCACCTGTTGAAGAGGGCCGATCTTCCCAGGCCCAGCCTGGCGTCTGCCTGTGGTAATCCCCTTCTGAATGGACAGAGGAGACTGAAGAGGGCCGTTCAGTTCCTAAGTAGCCTTGCCCAGGGATAGGAGATTTAGATTTCCTGCTGTTTGACTTGCTGATCAGCTTTGGTTTGCAAACTCCTAAAAGTGAAATAAATTAATACTGATATATAATAATGTTCTCAACTTAAAGACATATCAAAATGATGATGATTATATGATGCTGAGTGAAAAAAGCAGAATGGTAGCATGAAGAATCCAGATCTTAGTATCGAATGAAGTAAAAATATAATTAAAAGAAAGCCAGAGGGGCTGGCCCCGTGGCCGAGTGGTTAAGTTCGCGCGCTCCGCTGCTAGGCGGCCCAGTGTTTCGTTGGTTCGAATCCTGGGCGAGGACATGGCACTGCTCATCAGACCACGCTGAGGCAGCGTCCCACATGCCACAGCTAGAAGAACCCACAACGAAGAATACACAACTATGTACTGGGGGGCTTTGGGGAGAAAAAGGAAAAAATAAAATCTTAAAAAAAAAAAAAAAAAAAAAAAGAAAGCCAGAATTTTCTTGTAGCAACTAAAACAAAAAGGGTGTGTTCTCACTCCATAAACTTAAAACATGTAGCCAAGGAACTAAAATTTCTGGAACATCGTTTCTTTTCTGGCCTCGGAGCATAGAAACTGCTAAGGAAATTAAAGCAGGTTGACAAAAATCTTAAGTCCTCACTACCTACCTCCTCCACCACTGACTGAGAGAGAGGCAAACAGAGTAGTTAATACACCACCCCAAGGAAACAGTAAGTCAGAGGAAGAGAGTGTAGAGCAGAAGCCCCTTGATAGCTCTACTGGGCCTCAGCAGAAGCTTGCCAAATTTTGGTGGCCCTTTCTGTTTTTCCAGGCTCGGTTTAGTTGGTGACCTCACCAACGAGGAATGCCCTTGAGTGGGCTCTAGAACAAAACATTAAAAACATCTCAAAAGAGATCAGAGTCGGGTCACCAGCAAACGTTTTCCTCAGCCCCAGCAGAACAAAATCACCCTGCCCCAAATCCTTCAGGGTACCAAAAAAAAGGGGCATAAAGCAACTTCTACCCCTTGAACTATCTGGAAAGAGAAGTGCAAGTCCTTGATGATAAGGAAGAGAATATAATAGAAACAACAAGTGGAAAAGGTGCTTTATATACTGAAAGAAAACTTCAAAATAAAGGAAGCCAGTCTACAAAAGTAAGTGACGGAAGAGATAACCAAAAAGAATGATGAAAAGGCTTAGGAAATAACATTAAGCAAGGATCAGAATAGACATAAGGAAAAGGGAATTATTAGGACAAAGGAAAAATCTAAGATCCAGTATAAGAAACAAAGATCAAGATGACTAACATAATTAGAAGGTAACATATGGAGGAGAAAGACTGTGTAGCAAAAAGATAATTGTGTTTCTGAAATGGAGAACCCAACAAAAGAAACAGAAAATAACTAAGAGGAACATTTAATAGGACATTTTGCTAAGTGTAGAGATCAACCTGCAGATGCAAATGCCCTGTGTGATCAGGAAAATCTGATACAGAATGATGAATACTAACACATACTTAACGGTTAATTTACTGAAATTGAGGAAAAAAGGATTCTTAAGGCAGATAAATTGTCACCTGTCAAAACGGAGGCAACATCTGGCCTTATTATACAACAATGAATGCCAGAAAAAGTTGTAATAGTTGTCTACAGGGTGTTTTGAGAAAAGTATGTGTTAAGAATATTATAACCTGTCATTCAAATATAAAGGCAACAAAAAGACATTCTTGAGCATGAAAGATCTTGAAATATAGCACCCTTTGTGAGAAAATGGAATGTGAAAACCTTACCAAAAAGAAATGCCATAATAAAAAGATTATACAACCAGGATAATTCTAATTGTGTAAAAGTCACCAATATTATAACCTTAAAATACACACAAACACACTTAAAAGCAATAAAAACCAGAAGGTAAGAGCTCTCTGCTCATTTGAAAACAAATGCTCATCTTTCAGAGCAGGAAGAGAATTCATATTGTCCTAAAATTAATATATATGTAAAAATAAATAAAAACATCTAATTAATCTTTTTCTTAACTTTAGTGAGACCTTTTACTTGACAATAGCGGAGGAAAATAAACCTAAACTAAACCTGAAATACTGCTGACTTTCAGGTAATTTTTTAAGCATAAGAGTTTGCAAAAGATTAAGAAAAAAGGTTATAGTTAAACATTAAAAGCTTAAATCATGGTTTTTTGTGTGCAGCAAGGCTTTAACAGCATGTATAAAATGAGCTCATTCTAATATCTGTCATGTCTGGAATGATGATTATCAAACGACACTAGCTTTCTGGATGATTTGATCTGAAGGTTTTTTTTTCCTTACTCTTTCTATGGCTTAAAATTCTTTTATACTGAAGGCTCAGTATAATCAATTTTATTACAACAGAAAGTCACTTTTATTCAAAAGCAGAATTGCACTTGTATTACAGTTACAATGTATGCATACAGCTAAGGACTTAGCTGCTAATATGCTGAAGGCTGACATTCTGGGTAAAAATTTTCATCCTTTTTAATTTCTGTTCATGTTACTAAAACATCTAAGCAAGTAAAAAAAAATTTTTTTTTTTTTAAAGTAACTGAAACCCTCAGAGGTGACTCTGAGCACATAAATGAAATCTGTGAGTGACACATTAGAACTTGGGAAGTAAATTGGCTTTTTCTTGGGAAAGGCAGCAGAAGAGCACTAAAATGAAAACTTTACCTGAATGAGGTGATGGGTCCCCCTCCTCTCTCCGTGTCTCACCACTGGTCACAACCGAAGTGTTGGCACCACCAGGCACTACTCCCACTGTTTGGGACAGGACAACTCCGTGATCCTCAACTTTGTCATCAAAGCTTCCCATGAGGGCCTTCCTGATAATGTCTTCTAGACCGAGATTACTGGCAGGATCAGCAAAAGAATGACCTCTAGAGCTAACTGAGCCTAAAAGAGACAACCATAACATTTCTGCTTGTTTCTGAGAGGCAGATCAGGAAACAGAAGGGAACAGACTGCCTACAGTCCTTCAGACCATTGCGTCCACACAGCACCTGCCAAGTTGCCTGAAAACCCATGGCCATCTAAATCAAAATAATAATTCTAGGAACTTTATTTTTCTTTGCTAAATGAATCAGTTCCCCACTTGTGTTAAAGTTACTCAACCGTTTTCTTCTCGTTTCAGTTCCCCAGTTTCTACATTCTTCATCTTTTCAACAAGTATTTATTGAACCTCAGTTCACTTTTTATTGCTCTTGACTATCTCCTCTCTGAGTAAATTAGGCACTATTATTCATTTTTGCATACTGGAGCAGTCCCCTGCTATGCAGTCCATACTTAATACAATTGGTTGGACTGCTACCATACCAATTTCATAATGACAAATAATATATTTGAATCTTACCTGAGGTAGTGACTGCTGGCAAATTAAAGATCTCAGTTCCTGGCTGAGCAGCTGCTGTAAACAGACATTCAAGTTAATTGAGATGTGATAATCATATACAGCAAAGAGATAAAGCCTCAAAAATAATTCTACAATAAAATTAACCATTTTCCATGATGGGAACCTTATTTTTCACTTGTTAAATGAAGATAAAGTAAAAGAAATAATTATGTTTTTAAAAAAGGAAATGAGGACATAGAAAATTGGGTGAGGTAGGAAAATCAGAACAGGTGTAATATAAGCCCAAGGTGGGAACGAAACTTTGCATTGCTGGAGAAAAAACTGCTCTCAGAACAGGAATCCAGGCTTGCTAGGGAGACGAGATCCAGGGGAAAGACACCTCAATGTGTAGGATGAAAATGACCAAGTCTTTCCCTAACATGGTTGACTGGAAACTTCTTACATTCCCAGATGAGACAAAGATTCTGTCTGTTGATTTTTTCATTCCTGCTAATTGTGCAATTTGTAATTTGCATGGTTTGAATGACAATAGCTGAGACAATCTGGCAACTACCTATAAAGGACTGGGCCAGAAATAGAAGGAATTTGGGAACAGAAATGGTATTTTCATCACAGCTTCCAACTTGATGCTGAGAATTTGAAAGAGAAAGAACATAGGAAGTAAGTGGGTGGACAAATGATGTCCCAGAGAATGTGGAGAACGCGGGGTTTGGGATGAGACTGCAGAAGAATGGACTTTTACCTAGGGGTGAGAGCCATCTGTGAAGATGGGGAGTACATGTGCCTAGAAGCCAACTTTCTTGATCAGGGGAACTTTAAACTGGCAAGAGGAAAAGGAGAAAAATCTCCAGGAAAAACTATAAAACAGTGACTGCGGTTGACAGTCTCCTTACGTATGGGTCAGGTAACATTTATGATAAATAAACTGAACCTGAAATAACACAAAATGATAAATACAGCCTTGTAGTTATCAAAAAGTTCATGGAATAAGATTCATTCATTTTACAAATATTTATTGAGCAATTATTTGGGTGAATCATAATAAAATCACCTCTTTGATCAAAAATGGTCAGACACACACACAATTTCATATAGTTCAACCAAGGATAATACCAAGATACTGTCCTTACAGTGCACTCCTTCCTCTACCTATGAAGCTTATCGTTCAGTGTGGTACTTTCTAAGGCCATCAAATCTGATTCACTGGGCAGCTTAGTAAAAGTACCAATTTCCTAGATTCCTGGGGCCCTGTGATTCATATATTTAACAAGCATTCCTGGAGATGGATGGATATTGAAGTTGAAGGACCTCTGGTTTAAAACAGATGGGCAAACTGAAAGAACATGATAATTACTCAGAAATGAGGGGAAAAGAAGATAGATATTTGAGAGCTGTTTAGGAAGCAGACTTCACAGGAGGAGGCAGCACCACCAGGAGGTGAAGAATGAGGGAGAGAAGATTTGCCAAGAAGATAATTAGTGGAGCCACATAAAGGTAAACGTGGTAGGGAAGGAGGAGGAACAGATTTTTCTGTGTGAAGGGGCAGAATGTTAATTGAATTTTAGACATTTAAGGGGCTAGTAAGATATTCAAGAAGAAATGAGGTCTGCAAAGATACCAAAGCAGATGTTAGTAGAAAAGTTGAACTCCAGATATAAGTGGGAATTTTCACAGTTTAAACCCCCAGAGTGGATGAAATGACTCAGAGATTATAGTGCATGAGGAGAAAACTGGGAAAACCAACATTCAAGGGCCAGGCAAAGCAAGACCGTGCCTTAAGGATAAGAAATGGCCAAAGAAGTAAAGAAAAAAAAAAGAGGAGAAAGTAGTATCTGAAAGCGAAGAGAGGCAAATATTTCTGGAAGAGCAAAGTGGTTCAACTAGTGTCAACAGCTGCAGAGAGAACAAATAAAGTTTTCAAGTGTTAAAGTCTTTGAAGAATAAAGTCACTGATGTCCTTGGTGGGAACACTGAATTGAGAGACATGAGTTGAAGTGAAGCTGTCCTGGTGGCCGATGGCTTTGATTTCTCAGTTCTACTTCCCCGTGAGCACTGAATGTGCCCTCAGGTCCCATGAGCCCACTTATTACTTAATTCCTTAATTGTCCCCTTCCACAATCAAAGAGTTCTTGCAATCAAAATAAATCCCAGACTAAAGCAATTTTGTTAGTACCTGCCTTAAGACGTTAATAAATTTTATCTTCTATTAAAGTTAGGTACGTGTTTCATTATACATTTTCAGAGAGTAGAGACCATCTGTCACTCTAAAAGCAAGCAACATAGTACCCTGCTCAATAAATGATTGTGATTTAATGAATGAGAGAGCTGCTGCCTGAGGATAATGGAAAACATTAGAAAAAAGAAGAAAACTATAAAGTAGGCTTCTTCAATTCATATGTGGCATTTACCTGTCAAGAATTTTTTTCCCACTAAAATGGCAAAGCAGAGACTAGAGAGGATGAGTGTAAACCACACAAAGGTGAAACAACTGGCTGCTCTAAAACCTCTGTCTCCATGCTCTGACACATCCATTTCTAGGTTCTGAAAGAATCTAAACATGAGAGCACTACATTTTTGTTGGTGACATTTGAGAAGCTGTAAATAACAGATGAAACCACTGAAGACTGGAGACAGAAAAATGTAATGATACTATTTTAAAAAAGAAGAAAGAATATCTGTAAGCCTGACAGCAATTCTGGTCAACATTCTAAAATATCTTTTAGATGGTCTGTAACCACTTAAAGAGAATCTAGTAATTAAGAGCTAGCATAAGTCCACAAACAATAATTGACAGTGGGCTCATCCTTTTTTCTCTTTGACGTTTAACCTTTATTAATCACAAAGTGTGACAGATCCACACACATCCACCTGGCTGTTTATAGTTCCTAACCCACAATTTCCTTTCTTTTGAAAGGGCCAAGAGATTAGTAGATTGTAGATCACAGAAATATAGTACTGTGTCTGCCTAGATTTCTGCAAGGCATCCAACAAAGTCTCTGTACCACCGGATATACTCGAGGAAAAGATGGCTAAGTAAGGACAGGGTGATGGTCTCAGTGAGTGTGCTGAATAATAATGTGAGAAGGTTCCAATTAATGCACATGCATATCAACCCAGAAGAAAGGTTTGGATGCCACAGAGCTTTATCCTACTGGATATTTACCAGCAATCTGGGTAATGATGCCATAGGTACAGAACTGTTAGAATATAGTTAGTACATCATTAGAAGCATGGGCTCTGGAGTTGGAATGCCTGAGTTTGAACCACAGCCCATTACTTACTAATTATGTAACTTGCACCAGTTATTAAAAACCTGAGTCTCAGTTTCCTCATCCAAAAAATGGAGATAATTATAATAGGTAGCATGTAAGGCTGTTGTGCCTAACGCATAGTAAGTGCTATATATTTAACTGTTTGCTACCATTATTATTGATGTCATTATATTTTTAGATGGTGGGTTTATCAGATTTGCAGGTGAATGCTGGATGACCAAACAGATCCAGAAAGACACTGGCAGGATAGAAAAAGTAGTTGGAATGGTGGAAGCACAGACTGCCTCATCCTATACACGGCACTAGTAATACAAAAGTACAGCAAGGGAAAGGGATGGACCAACAGCCGCACATCAAAAAAGACCTTGATATTTATATTGATACTAAGTGCACTATAACTTAAGAGTGTTAGGTTGCCAAAGAACCCTAATATACCCTTAGGCTCCCTTAATAATGAGAAATTTAGGATAGATCATACCACACTACTCAGGACGTACTGAAAGGCTAAGCTAAATAAAATGTTTTTAGTGGACAGCAACAGATGGTAAGAATACTCGGCACCAGGCCATATGATGAAAAACTGATGAAACTGGGGATGTTTATAGAGATAAGACTCAAATGACCTGTCTTCAAATCCCTGAAGAGAAGTCATGTGGAGACAGCCCAAATGGATAAAATGAAGACCAGTGGGTAAAAAACTAGGAGAGCTAATCTAGCCCCACATAAGAAGAAAGTTTCCTAGACTTAGCATTTGTTCAAAGAGAAAGTGGACAGCTTCAGGAGGTAGCAAGTTCTTGCTCACTAATAGGAAATCACGTTCTGGCAGACATGAGAAGGAACTTTAGGATCAGATGTCGTTAGACAGATGCCTATAAGAGCCTTCAAACTCAATGATTACACGAGAGGCAACATTGGAGATATCATTATTAATGCACATTTTATTTGGGGTTCATGAAAGAAATCCCACTTACCCATATCAGAGTCACCTCCACCAGAGGAGTTCAACTTACGAAAAATCTCCTGCTTCTTTGATTTAACCATGGGTGACGTGTTTTCAAGCTTGGTGAAGAATGAAGGCAAGTAGCTTATACCCCCTGGTGAGCGGGAATCATTCCTGTTAGGAACACAGTTATGTCTGTTATCATCACGTACTCCTAACCTTGGGGACTTTTCTATCAATTATAACAACGGTGATAGGGTATTTGGGAACACTACCACCTCCCCAAACTTGTGTTTGTGGTTATAACTGTAAGGAGCAATATGTGATCATAAGCCAGTTACTATGTCATATTTGAGGACATAGTCAAAGAACACTCAAAGATGAAACCATAAAATAAGGACTGGAAGGGGGATAATCTAAAACAGAGATTCTTAACAAAGAATAAGCAGCCAATGGATATTAACAGGAAAACTCAGAAACAGCTTATTATGATGCTGTCTGCTTAACAGCACAAACACTGATATATTTATGGCTATCACATAAACTGGGAACTACAAGCAGAATTACATTTAAGTTCAAGAAAATTATAACTAATAGTACATTTGCCTATAAGATAGCAAGAGCTCACACCAAAGCAATCGACAGTTGGACTTGAACAAAACAGCTACAGTATAGAAATAAAACTGCCTATTTGTTAAACTTATTTCAAGCCTCCTACCAGATGAAATGAGTTTCACGTAAAGGGTTTCATATTTCATTGGCAGCTACCTATACTAACACATTTTTTAAAAAGTTTCCTCAAGACCACCAAGGATCTACCTAGAGCTGGAGATGAAATGGAGAACAGAGAAGGCTACTGATAATCTCATCATGTGGATTCATTTATTCGTCATTCAAACATGAGAACACCTACTATAAGCCAAGTAAGATAAATAAGGTAACAAACAGAAAAATGAATAAATTGTGATCCCTGTCCTCAAAAGAATCACAGACTTAGGGGAAAACGTGTAATGTATAGTTACATTTGATATCATTCCCTTTCCAAAACTGGATTTTCTTCCTATTTGATTGAAAGGTACCAACATCTATTTGGTTGCCTATAAATATATACAATAAGTAAATAACTTACAACACATTGTAAGAAATGCACTAACAATGTGGAGTGAGACAGATCTTGGTTTAAAGCTGGACTCTCCCTTTTTATTTGACCGTGGGCAAATCATGTATTCACATCTCAGAGCATCATGGGAGGGTGTTCCACACCAAGAAAACAACATACGTATGAACTGAGAGGAACTCAGGGAACAATAAACAATGTGATCTGGACAGAAAATGAAGGATAAGGGTGAAGTGGCAGGAAATGAGATAAGCAGCATGAACCTGGTGATAAAGGAACTCAAACGCCATGCTAATGACAGTGCTTGACTCTAACGTAAGTTTTAGAGAAATCACTCTGATGGAAGGGGACCAGATGCCAAATCAAAGGTGTCTAATCTAAATGGGAATAAAAATCTAATTATGCACAGAGTTGGGTTAGGATTAGAAACAAGTAAGAAAAATATGTAAAGCAGCTCAGCACAGGTGCTCACTGTTACTTTCCTTCCACATATAGTCCTCAGTGCTTGGCATATGATGAGCACTCATAGGGACAGGAGCAATGTGTGACCACACAGAGAAAAAAGGTCTTTAAAAAAGGTCTAGAAGGATGTAATTTCAAGAGGAATAATGAACAATTGTCTTGTATAATCTATTTAAATATTATAATTTTTTCATGAAAATCCACTAGCATTAGATCACTATGAAAACAGAGACTAAATGATCCTCTGAGAGTCCTATCCTGACATATAATCCAAAAGAGAAAAAAGGCACTGATATAAGAAAAACAACACACACACTCATAACTGGGAGCTGTCAGCTAGGAAGGGCACCCACTCCTCACCTCTGCTCTGCAGGCTCCGCTCCTCTCTGCGACAGAAGCAGCATGCTGTCCTGTTTCTCATGCCCAACTGGAACCTGCGGTGGGGAGATGGGCTCGTAGGGCTCTGAAGACACATGACTCCTCTCTGGGGATTTTCCAGGCCTAATATTGTAACACATGAAATATTAGATTGTGCTCCTAGGGCTCACCTATGGCTATTCTAAACAGAAACCGGTTAACTCATTACTTCCTTCAGGAGAAGGCACAAAAGTTGGCAATGTCTATCATTGAGAAAGTTGCCTCAGGTATTCACTGTATACCTAGTTACCAAAAAAAGTCTGTTTCTGCTGCTTCATCCATGCATGCCCAGCGGATTTGGGAGTTGCGTCACAAATAGCGCCACAGGACAGGCCGCAGCTGAGGCTCCATCGGGAGGCCATTGTGTGCTTCAGCATCAGACCCCATCCTACCCTTGGCCAGCTACTCTGGTGAGCCCTCAAGGGTTTTACTGCTGATTTTGAGCCTTGACTTACCAGGTCTTTCCCTATTTGGTCAGAAAATAAAGGACTTGAGTACTAAACTGAAACCTAAGGAGTGTGTCAGGTGAGTCAAGAAAAGGTCTAGTTCTACTATTTTAGGGCTGAGCAGTTCTCTGCAATTTAATGTTTTTCCTCTGGATACCATGTTGGTAAGGATAACTGAGACACTGTTTAGACCAAGAAAGTTTTTGGTTTAGTGATTATACATATTAAGAGCCACCTGTGACCATTAATGTTTGCTTTTATTACTGTTATATATATATTTAAATATATAATTATATATACATATGTACATGTACCAATACATTATTATATATATACAATTTGTTATTTCCTTTCTCAATGCCATCCAACTCTTAGTGGCCATTTTTGACCATCTTTCTTTTAGTTCTTTGGTGGTCACCTCTAAAACTCTAAATAAGCTTATACCTTTCTTGATTTATCAAACTTGAAACAGTACCTATCAACTCCCTTCCATGAAAGATGAACTTGACTACTTTCTCTATGTTGTTGCCCATTTTTTCTTTTTCTTTTTTTTTTTTTAAAGATTGGCACCTGAGCTAACAACTGTCGCCAATCTTCTTTTTTTTCTGCTTTTCCTCCCCAAATCCCCCCAGTACATAGCTGTACATTTTAGTTGTGGGTCCTTCTAGTTGTGGTATGTGGGATGCCGCCTAAGCATGGCCTGATGAGCAGTGCCACGTCCACCCAGGATCCGAACCTGCAAAACCCTGAGCCACCAAAGCAGAGCACGAGAACTTAAACACTTGGCCATGGGGCCTGCTCCTGCCCATCTTATTTCCATCTTTAGTTTGTCTATTTTAACTTTACATAGCATATTCAGCCATTTTTATGTGATTTACAGCACTCCAGAAAAACTCCTCTGTGTTTCGCTTAATGATTGAAAAATCAATTAACAGTGTTTCACCACATATGGATTGTGTGAACATTTTAAACTATAAAACCAATGAAAGAAATGAATTCCTCATTCAAACGCACAGGTGTAGTGATATAGAAATTACAAGTGAAAAAGTCAAATTTTCTTTTCATAAATGCCATCAATTGCTCAAAATCTGCAACATAGTGCTTTGCATCTGGAATGAATACTCTGGTATAGTTTCCTGTTCTTCTCTGATAACTGAATTTCTTTTCCTTCTTTGGTTAAAAGAGAGTAAATGTGTTTTCGTCTTATCCTTAAGATAATCCAGCTTCTTGAAATGATTATGTCCGAGATTTGCTTCAAAATAATCCAGTTTGAGGGTAGGGCAAGTGTTTCAAAAAATGAATTGGCCCTATGCTGATGATTACCAAAGCTGGGCAATGGATACACAGAAACATTATACTGTTCTCTGTATGTTTAAAAAATCCTACCATAAAGTTTTTTTGTTTTTGTAAATGAAGACCATTCAGCTTTTAAAATACATTATTCTTACTCCTTTATGTTCTTTCCAAACTTTGAGGGGTTGTTGGGCAGGCTGGAGAACCACCTCTGCTACAAATTTCTTTATCATTCTCTGAATTATGGCTTCCACTACTTTGGTTCATCCCTCCACTGTGTCTTCCAGATATTTGCCAGCATCTTTGACCTGCTGATATCCCAGTCTTGTTCTCAGCATTTTTATGAATTTTATGAATGTTCATGCTGCTTTACTGTAATTTTTAAATTTTTTATTTATTTTTTGAGGAAGATTAGCCCTGAGCTAACATCTGCTACCAATTCTCCTCTTTTTGCTGAGGGAGACTGGCCCTGAGCTAACATCCGTGCCCATCTTCCTCTACTTTATCTGTGGGACGCCTGCCACAGCATGGCTTGACAAGCAGTGTGCAGGTCTGCACCTGGGATCCGAACCGGGAAACCCCAGGCCGCCAAAGCAGAACATGTGAACTTAACTGCTGCACCACAAGGCTGGCCCCCTGCTATACTATAATTTAACATGTGCCAATGCTTAGTCTACCACGCTGAACCAAAAACCTTGCCTCCATTTTCTAAAACTCTAACCACAGAATATTGGATAAGAAGATAAAGAAGAAAAGCTCGTTACCAGATGGCCCTGCCCTACAGGGTAAAATGTTTCCTCTCATGGTGTCTATGTTGGCCTCATTTTCATTATTTAATGCCAGGTTCCTAAACATATGTTATTGCTGACCCAACAGAAACCACTGAGAGAGAAAAACATTTTTATGATTCTGAAGGACTACTCAAAGTGTCCCTATACTACCACCAAACTACACATTCTTCATAACTGTCTTAGCAAACCCACAAGCAGATATAGCATTCAACTTTTGAATACACTTTCAAAAGTGTATAGTACCTGTTGCCCAGACTGTGGACACTCCAAGAATAATATACAGAGGAAAAACTTTCATTTACACTTTCTAGGAAATGAAGGTACATAAACTTTAGGTATAAGAAATGAATCTCCTATCTTATAGGTATATTCAAATTGTTTTACTGTTGTGAAATTTACATATGGTTTGAAATAAACGCCATACCTTCCCCTGGATTTGTCTACAAGGTTTTCTGGAGAGACCCTTGAACCTGGTCTTTGATGGTGGACAGACTGAGACTGGGATTCTGGGCTGTAACGATTTGATGTTTTAGTCCTCACAGGTGTAGACACCAAAGCAGATGGTGAATTTTGGAATGTAGAAGTGGGAGGCTGCTGGGGAGGCTGCGAGGAAACTTGATTTCTAGCAAAATCTTGTGTGATAATTTGCTGTGAATGAGAAAAGAAAGAAGTGGTTAAACCCATTAAATACTTGCAAAAAATGTATAAAAAAGTTGAGACATCTTTATTGTGATTCCTGTTTTTGCTTTTTTTTTTTGAGGAAGATTAGCCCTGAGCTAACATTCGCCACCAATCCTTCTCTTTTTTTTGCTGAGGAAGATCGGCCCTGAGCTAAGATTGGTGCCTATCTTCCTCTACTTTATATGTGGGATGCCTGCCACAGCATGGCTTAATAAGCAGTGCACAGGTCCACGCCCAGGATCCAAACTGGTGAACCCTGTGCCTCTGGTGCAGAGCGTGTGAACTTAACGAGTACACCACCAGGCCGGCCCCTTTATTGTGATTCTATGTGAAATGTGCCTTCTGCATGATCAAAAGAAGAAAAATTAATAAGAAAAATGAAAAACTTACACAGATGTGATCAGCAAGTGTGATCAGTCGATGGGTCCTGGGCACTTGGCCCACCCCCTCAGCCTGTGAAGAAGGGGGCAGCTGCTGCTGTGGAGACGGTGATTCCTGCTGTGGTCGATAGTGATGTAATGGTCCTTCATACTGTCTGGTGGCTTCATCTAATAGAGGACAGACAGACGTCTCACTCCGGGGGTGCCCTCGCCTTTCACTCATTTTCAAAGATTAAACACAACTCAGAGGAACACATGAAAGGGATGTGGTACATATCTCTAACCAGAATTCACATCTTACTTTGGAAGAAAAAATACTTATTTTTCTTCATACTAATACAGAATTCACAGGAATAGCACAGAATAAAATGTGAAAACGTAAGTAGGCAAACAAAATTTATATCAACTATTTTCTATATCATTAAAATATAAACAAAAGAGTAATTAATAAAAGCTTAAAAATCATTTTGCATTAGTGCAATTTTAGATGTTACTCTAAAACAACACTAACAAAAGATTTCTTAACATGGTCTGAACAGATAATTAGAAGCAAATGATAAATGCAAATATGAAAACGTAATCTGGTGGCTAAAAAAGACATACTTTCTGTTTGGTTTGCCTTCACCACCTCTGGCTGACAGGCCTGCAGTCTCTCCTGGGGCAGTGCAGGTGAGCTCGCAGGGCTTATCACCTCAATAGCATCGCTAGGTGTTTCATAACGGTGAGAAGATACTTCAAAAAAAGAAAAGAATCTTTTAAAACTAATCCTGTGAAAAGTTTCAAAAGTCCAAGTTCTTCAAACCTATTTGCATATTTTCATTTTTTATTCTCAGAATGTTCAGTGGCACCCCAGGTTAATGACAAAAAACAAGCCCAAAAGACTGGTATCAAAGGTCCATAAGTGCTTCCTCGGTGTTCCTAATCTCAGTAGGGTACAGGATTTTCTCAAATTTTGTGGGCTCTAAGACCTTTAGGTGAGGCAGAATAGAGAACAGATTTGTGACATCCTTCTGGCAGCTGGAAAAGAAAATCACCAGGAAACATTCATCAGAAGAGATTAAACAAATGAGAGCGTAGATCCTCAACAGTTCATTGTTTCCAATAACTTCAGTTCTGTGGGACAGTCACTTCTTAGAAAAACTTTGAGGCTACAAAGCTGCTTCATTACCATGATGATTTTAAAGCTACAGATTAAGTAACATTATATAATGATTTTCTCAAATCATTGGAGTACTGACAAAAATTACTCTAAACAATTTTTTAGCAACATGATACATTGTACAAATAAACAGAAATGGTAAGGAATGTCTGAAGGGAAGCAAATTCACTCCGTTGGGAGAAAGGGAGGATGCCCACATTAGAGAAGGGCCCCCTCTAAGATGCAGTTCCCAAGACAACAGGGTCTATGCAGTAGGTAGCTTTTCACAGTCCTGCCATGGCCTCAGAACTAAGGGGGAGAGGCAGATATCACCTCTCGCTCAGGAACTTTCTAACTTTAGAGCGCTCTTTGCATTTACAGGCTGCACTGAAGAATCAGAAAACTGCCAGAGACCTGAGTGTGATCAGTTGATGGGTCATGGACACAGGTATAGCAGGTGGGAATGAACTCTGCTAGCAGGCCACCACCTGTTCCTCCAGTACTCAACTGAATGGCCATTTCCTCCTACCCCGCCATCAGGTCATGGAAGTTGCAGTTACCTGGGTTCCAGTATGCTCAGAACAGAAACCTGACAACCAGGATAAAAATTATCTTTGGGGAACTAAAATAAATCATTATATTCAAAGTAATTTATACTACTTTGCAACTTTGATATCCACTGGTACTCATCTCTGTTTATGTATCCAACATCCTAAATCTGCTTACCACATCCAATATACGGTCAATAGAAAGTCTGATGCTAAACTGTGTTCACACTGCTCTTGAAGCCTTAAGGGTAAGGGGAAGGCACTGTGTTTCACCTTCAAGGGGAAGGAGGCTCTGAAAAGAAAAACTGAAAACCACACTAAATAACCTCAAAGAGCCTGTTGATTCCATGCAGGTAATTTACCCAGTGATTAAAAAAAAAAGAAAAAGATAACCATACTCAGAAATAGGAACAGTGGGAAAAGAAGCCAGACTTTCTATTTTCAGACCTTCTGAAAGTCAAACTCCTAGAACGAGGTTTGGTTCTGATGCAAACTGAGAAGTGTCATCCGGTGACTAGGGAACCCTGTGCTGAAGCATCCACTAAGCCACAAGCTGGCTCACCATGTGTGCTGGTGACTTCCCTCCAGAGGGCCTTGTCGTACAACTACAGATCTTCAGCTAGCAATTTTCTGCATGTATCATATCTGTTTTGCATATTTTCATAATCCCAGGCTAAAGTCTTTTGTCTACATAACTGACTACCAAGCCGCCCCTTTCTCTCTAAAAACCTCAGCAATGGGGTAGATATTTACCCAAACAAATTATGATTAAGCATGGAGGTAAAAGAATTGCACACTGTGTGCAGGTGCACAAGAAATCATTTTTTCATTATCTCCAGCTCTACTCCATTTCATTAATGGAAACAACAGAGAGATGACTACATATGATTAAATTACTTCAAGTATTAGTGGATACTTGCTTAAATACCTGCTTACTCCTTCAGGAATTCTATAAAGAATTCAGGCAATAGTTAAAAGTAAATTTAAAGTAACTTTTCTAGCATTTTTACTGTAGATTTGTGAATTCTTACAGATATACAGGGTAAATGTCCAAGTGACTAACCAGATTTGATCAAAATCCAACTTGCAAGGAAGGTGCAACATAAATACAATTACCAATAAATAAGGTGTCTCACTTTTTAAAAATCTCTATCTTAGAAAAAGGATATAAGAGGCTTTGGGGTACTGGCCCAAATACTGAACCACATACTGGAAAACACTTCGTGAGAAATTCGGTTTCAGGAGCACAGAGCCTGATGATACATCTGTCACCTTCAGACGCCTGAAAATGTCAGTAAGCTCTACCCTCTATCTACTTTCCAACTTTAACTCTACAAACAGCATGGGTTTCTCAGGGAAAATAACCTGGTATATTTAAGAAACTCTGATATTTAAATAATGACAAAAATAGTAGAAGAGACATTTTTGCACTACTAACCGACAAAACCTTTCTATTACATTTACTATGAAGATTAAGATTTTCTTTATACAATGTTCTGCTTTACCTAAAGAATAAAGTAATTCTTTACTCAGATATCACATTGCAAAACTCAGATTGAGATACATACAGCTACTAGAAGAGTCTGAACTTTGAGAGCCACGTTCCCTTGCATCCTTGTCCGAGGCAATTTGCCGGGTGATGATCACGTCTATGAAGTTAGCTGCAGTAATGGTAGTCTTCCCTCGGGTCCTTAGCTCTTCCTCATATCTGGATTTTGGAGGAGGCCCTTTATCTTTCCCAGCCTCAGAATAAACTACTGAAGAATGAGGCTGGGGCTTGCCACTTGGAAAGGCTGAAGAAGTGTACAGACACTGAACAGATCTCTTCTCCACCTCCAGGGTTTTCTGCTCTAGCTGCTGCTGTTCACTAACTGCTGCTGACCTGCTTCTCAAATTTTCTTCTAACCTGGCAGCTTCATGCTTACTCTCTTTTGTTTTGGAAACATCCATCTGGGGGGCAGAAGCTGCGGCATCCACAAGAGCAGCCAGGGCATCCGCAGCAGTGTTGTAACGGGAGGCTGGCAGGCCTTGGCTTATAGAAGGGCCCCCAGCAGGCAGTGGCCTGTAAATAAAACCAAACCACAACTCTGTGAAGGGGAGATGCTTTATTGGGGGGTGTGGTAGGGAGACAGAAGAAAAAACTGCAACAACAAAAAGTGCTGAGCAGGTAGAAAATCTTTACTAAAAGTATTGCAGTCACAAATTTAAAAGAGTATATGCAAGAGGCTGGTATTTTTTTTGTCAAAATGTATACAACAGACTTACATGATTCGTAGCTGAGCACTTGGATCCAAAGGTGTGATTACACTGGTTCCGTTGGTTCCCTGGAAAACGCTGGGTCTTTGCTGCAACATGGTCTCCTGAGCTCTGACTGAAGGGGACGGGGAGCGAACATATCCATGACTGCCTGGCCGGCCGGGCTGTTCTGAGCCTGTGGGGACCAAAAAAAAAAGACAAGCCGTAAGGAAGCAGCTGCAGACAGCAACATTTAGGGACTGTTATAAACCTTGATATCCCACTTCCTGGTCTTTCTAGAAATACATTCTATAAGAGTTTCTCAATAAAAATGCAATAAAACCACACTAGTAACTTGAAACAAAAACATCAGCTATATTTTCTGTCATTTCCATTTTTGTGATAAGTTTCTATCTTGATTCCAGAGAGGAACAAAACATCAACCATGAAGTACTAACACAGATCAGATAAGTTCATCTTTCAAACTTTTCCTCAAACTCTGGTGTGTTTATCATTTCCAAAACCAAATTGAGCACAACCTTCTAAGTATCATAATGCAAATAACATACTCCTGCTACACCAGGGTCTGAGGCCGTTTCATGCAGCCAGTTCTTCCTGCTCTCCTCCTTTACCGCCCTCCACAGGCAACTGTTTCTCAGCAAGCTCTCTTTGTCGTGACATCATTCACAATGCTCTCCCCAAAAGTGCAGCTCCACTAACTACACTTCTTCAATGTTTGAGATATTTTTATTAACCATAGCTCTCCCATAACAAAGCCACAACTTGAACTTGGTCAAAATGACTTCACTTGGAAGATCTCAAATTCTCACGTTTCCTCTCTAATCACTTTCTTCCTCTTCTGGTTCTATGCCCTCACTCGGACTTTCTAACTTGACCTTGCCCTCAAGGAGGCAGCAGTTTCAGCATACACCCCTCTTCTCACAGCAGGTACTGACTAGGGCAGCCTTTTCAGCAGTTCTCTCCCTTTTGACCATACATCAGCTTCTATGAGTGTTTCTATGGGGGATATTCCTAGAAGTGAAATTGCTATTTCAATTATTATATCTCCAAAAAGGTTATCCCTATTTACACTGCTACTGTGTGTGTATGAGACGCAGTGTTTCTTTAAACACTCGAACACAGAATATTTATCAACCTTTTAAATGTCTGATGGAGAAAAATCATATTTAATTGTCTTAAATCTGCATGTTATTTATCAGTAGGATCAAAAGCATTTTTAAAATATAGTTCCTACCAAAGTTATGTATCATTTGCACTCAACTTTCATTTTTTATTTATTTATTTAGTTTTTGAGGAAGACTGGCCCTGAGTTAACATCTGTTCCCATCTTCCTCCATTTTTTTTCCCCCTCCTTCTCTCCAAAGCCCTCCAGTACATAGTTGTAGATCCTTCTGTTTGTGTTATGTGGGACACCAGCTCGGCATGGCCTGAAGAATGGTGCTAGGTCCGTGCCCAGGATCTGAACCGGCAAAACCATGGGACGCTGAGTCAGAGCACACAAACTTAACCACTCGGCCATGGAACCAGCCCCCAGCTTTCTTTAATTAAACCAATTTCCATGGTTTTATACAACTGACATATAATCAATATTATGGTGCTACCTTACAATTCACTAAAGCATTTCCTATGGTGACTTAGTGATTTATTATTATATATAGACAAGAGGTTACATCTAAATGTCTTTAGGCTTTGCAACCATTTAATTGTTTAAGAGAAATCTTCAAGAACGGTATTTCTAGGTCAAATATGATGACTAGCTTTTGGGCTCCTTTTCTATGTCTGTCTCCTATGACCATGTGAAGGTGACAACCTTGTCATACCAGGCCCTTCGGTTCTGCACCTACCTCTGTGACCAGGTCTCTGGTTCCCTTTGCCTCCATCTACAACATCCTTCCCAGTCACATCTAAGGACTGACCTACTCCTCTCTTCACATGCTTGCCCCTTGGAAATCTCATTCAAGCCAAGTTTCAACTCTTACAGATGAGTCCTGAGTCACCATCTCCAAGCACAATCTTTTCTTCTAAGTCCCAGATCTGTATATCTGACAGTATGGAAATGGTAAAAGGTTTGAGTTCACTGACATTAACAGAATATAAAGAAGGCCGGCCCTGTGGCCGAGTGGTTAAGTTCGCACACTTGGCTTCAGCAGCCCAGGGTTTCGCCAGTTCCGATCCTGGGCATGGACATGGCAGGGCTCATCAGGCCATGCTGAGGCGGCATCCCACATGCCACAACTAGAAGGACCCACCACTAAAATATATAGCTATGTACTGGGGGGATTTGGGGAGAAAAAGCAGAAAGAAAAAAAAGAAAAGAAGAAGATTTGCAACAGTTGTTAGCTCAAATGCCAATCTTTTAAAAAAAAGAATATAAAAAGACAAGTATACCATGGATAAGAACAAATGTTCCAAAGACATATTGGATTAAGTACATCCAAAATAAAAATCATTATCTCTTTGCTTTCACTAATCCTACTCTATCATAACTGCAGACCAATCTTGTTTTTCATCTCTTCCTCATTCCCCATATCTAGTTATTGTTAAGTCCTTCTGATTCACTTTACCAATATTCTTCCAAGCAGTTCCCTTCTGGCCATTCCCAGTGTCAAGCTATCTCAGGAGTCATTAGAACACGTATGATCTATTGACACGGTCTTACTGTCCTCTGGGCACCAGGCCATACCCACCTTCAGGGTTCTAATCCATCTCATGCCACTCTTGTGTAAATGCCCCTCTGATGATGTCACCTGCCTCCTGCACTGAACGGCAGCACTTCACTTGTAATTAAAAATGCCATACAATCTTCTAAACATATTTTCCATTCTTCTTTTAAACTCCAGCATAATAACACATATGTCTCCATGTCTATGAGCCTTTGCTTGGGCTGCTTTCACCTTTTTTTGTTGTTGTTGAGGAAGATTAGCCCTGAGCTAACTGCTGCCAATCCTCCTCTTTTTGCTGAGGAAGACTGGCCCTGAGCTAACATCCATGCCCATCTTCCTCTACTTTATATGTGGGACGCCTACCACAGCACAGCTTGTCCAGCCATGCCATGTCCATACCCGGGATCCGAACTGGCGAACCCCAGGCCGCCAAATCAGAACGTGTACACTTAACCGCTGCACCACTGGGACGGCCCCTACTTTCAGCTTTAACGAGCTCTGCACCCAGCTGTATCTTCGGGCCCAAGTGTAGCCAACCACTGGTGCCAAATCAAAATGGTACCTTCATCATGAAAACTTCATTTACCTGTTTAAAATGTGTGTTTGCACCATTTCAACTTGTATAGCATTTTTACCTGTACTTCACATAAGGCATGTAATTACTTTCTGTCTTATAGTTCTTGTTTGTAAGATCACATTGTCATCCCCCACAACAATAAGCACAATGTCCCATCATACTGGATTACCAAGAAATGTCTATAGAATGAAGAAAGCCATCCCACCCACCTGGCCGAAGGTAGAGGTCTGAGGAAGCGGCAGCAATCCGCTCCCGCTCCTTCTCCCGCTCCCGTTCACGTTCTCTTTCAGCACTTGCGGCGGCTACAAGGTGTGTTGAATGTCCTGTAAAACACATGAATCTGCAACTTAAAGACAAAATTATCAACCTGTCAGCTACAGCAAACCATTTTTAGATTTATCTTAAGCGACTGAAAATTTTTCAATAAGTTCCAAATTTGAGATGTAGGGAGTTTATTTTATTAAGAGTCTTGGATGACAACCGGAACATAACACAAGCTTTTAGGATATTTTAGAATATCTAGATAGATGGCATATAGGAACTATCACTAAATATTACATGAAAAACAGCAGAGCAAAGAAGAACAAGTGCCCAGAATACCTTCAAAGGCTACGCTGTCAACACTTAAGCATGCTGCTCACATCAGAGAAGTGTGTCACTGTAAACTCTCACCTGGAGACACAGAAGCAGCGTTGTACGGCCTGGGCGGGAAAGCAATCTGTGTCCCAGGAATATAAGTGATTCTGTCCATGGGAGGAGTGCTTGTTCCCCCTGGGTGAGGCACTAAAATTGCTGGAGGCATATTGGTCAGGTCAATGATTCCTGCTCAAAAGACAAATACAATAAAAGTACATTAAATTTAAATGTTGCTCTAAAGATACAGAACCATACATGGCTCGCTATTTTATCTCTATAACCCAATGATACTTCGTATATAGTATAAATAAAAATGTTTAAGATCATTACTTTGTAAGACTGTCTTTAAATCTAGAGAAGGACAGGAAATACTCTGCCTCCTACCAGTAACCTAAACGCATGGATAGGTTAAAGAGAGACAGCAAACTGGTAAAACAATGATTTCAAATACCTAGTACACTGACTTGGTTTAGTTATTTCAGTGTTCACCAAAACACTCCATCTTGATACATTATTTTGTTTGCCTTCAAGGGCTAAAGGATATGGTTTTCTTTCCATCATTCATTCAACAAATAGTTATTGAGTATGTAGGAAACTCTGGGTACACATAATAAATTACATGAAATCTGAACTGCAAAAACACATACCCCTTGTTGCTGGGTATGGGAGACCCAACTGCTGCTCTCGTGGAGACAGTCCTCTGGCCACATCTGGGCGCAAGTTCACTTGCATCTGCTGTGAGGTAATGTAGTCATTTAGGATTGTCTGTCTTGTGTTCTCCATTGCATAAAGCTGATATTGACTTGGGTAACCTGGGGTTGGTGAAAGTTGTCTCTGAAACAGGTAGGCAGCAGCTGCTGATTGAGAGAATGAGAGAAAGGCACTGAGTTTAGTCTGGATGAAATTCATTTGCTAAACATCACCCACAGAAAGAGTAAGAAAAACCACCTGTTGAGCTAATTGCACACGCAATTTTTATTTAGCATTGGCGTGGGGGCGGTACAGGGATTAAGGTGGATTCATTCTACACCTTGATATGTCAGCAATTATGAATATCAACATTCTAATGTTAAATGTAATGGAAAAGGGAAAGGAGAAACTAGACAAAACATGAGTATTAACCTTTGTACCATTAGAACAGTAGCTAAAAAAATTTTCAAGTAGTTTCATTTTCAGTCTTTGCCATGTAACTTTATTATATTTTCACCTGAAGTCTCCAAGAGCTGTGTTTGAAAATAAAATTATTTTTGTAGTACTGATCATCCAATAGGACCAAATGGAAATATATGTGAAAACACTTTGTGACAAACAGTAACTTTCCTTTCCTGGGAGTGAAAAAGATTAGTCTATAAGCATTTAATTAGTGCATGTATTTAGAGCAGAGATTAGGAAACTTTTTCTGTAAAGAGCCAGATGGTAAATATTTTAGGCTTTGTGGACCATGTGGTCTCAGTCAACCCTACTCAACTCTGCCAGTGCGGCATGAAAGCAGCCATAGACAAAATATAGACAAATGGGCGTGGCTGTGTTCTAATAAAACTTTATTTACACAAACAGGCACTAACAAAATTTGGCCCCCAGGCTATAGTTTGGCAACCCTAGAGCATGACACAGGATGTTAGGAAGGGGTAGGTATAGTAAAAAGTACAAGATAAGGGCCAGCCCTGGTGGCCTAGTGGTTAAGTTCAGCACACGCTGCTTTGGAGGCCCAGGATCAGTACCTGGGAATGAGTCTACACCACTTGTCTGTTAGTGGCCATGCTGTGGCAGTGACTCACATACAAAAAGAGGAAGATTGGCAGTGGATGATAGTTCAGGGCAAATCTTCCTCAGCAAAAAAAAGAGTAGAAGATGTCATCTCTCTCCTCAAAACATTTACAATCCAGCTCCAGCTCAAAAATGACAAGCAAATGAAAGTGCTAAGAAATGAAGGACTATGAGAAACACTAAATGAAAGTATAAACACCCAATTTTGTCTGAGAACTTGAGTGAACTATTTTATATATATATATATATATATATATATATGTTCTCCCTAAAAAAACAAATGATAAGTTTTCTGGAATGTTTGCTTCACCTTCATCTAGAACTCCCAGCCACGTAAGTCTGTCAGCTGACTCTGTGGGAACTTCTGCATCAGTTTTCGGAGACAGTCCCTGAAGAACTAGGTGTGGACTCCTCTGAAACTTAATGTCCTCAAACAATTTGATGGCACTGATAGAGCTTTCAGATAAAATATTTTCCACACATAACTTGCTACTATGAAATGTAAATAACCCTTAGAAATCTTGGCACACTGGTAATGAAAATCGCTTCCCTAAGGACCAAGGTGAAATACAAGTGTTCTGTGTCCCAATTTCAACTTGAAGGTTGTAATGAGCAAGCAGTTTATGATAAAGAGGGATGAGCAGAAAATACACATTTGAGTGAGGCTCAGCAGGCAAGAGGAGCAGGGAACAGGACCTGGGTGGAACTGGCACAGCAGGTGGGTCATGACAGCCCAGCAGCGACTCTCCACTGACCTGCTGACAGGACTCCTTTCCCTCTGCAGAGCAAGCTGCCCTGCACCCCTGGCAGGCAGCATCACTGTGCCCAGTACAGACTGCTCTCTCAAAAACCTGCACGCTCTGAACCTACCAGAATTATGTTTACCCACAGGAAGCGGTGTCTGTTCAAAAGTTCTTTCCAGCTATACTTGCTACTATAATTATGTAACTTCAGGGGCCGGCCCTGTGGCCGAATGGTTAAGTTCGCACGCTGCGCTTTGGTGGCCTGGGGTTTCATCCGTTCAGATCCCGGGCGTACAATGGCACTGCTGGTCAGGCCATGCTGAGGTGGTGTCCCACATAGCACAACCAGAGGCACTCACAACTAGAATAGACAACTATGTACTGGGGGGCTTTGGGGAGAAGGAAAAAAAAAAGATTGGCAACAGTTGTTAGCTCAGGTGCCAATCTTTAAAAAAAAAGAGAGAAGAATAATAATTATGTAACTTCATCAAATAATCTGTAAATCGATGAGAGAAAAATGAAAAGAGTGGTTTCTTTGGAAACAAAGTTGACTGTTTTGGAGACTCGATATAGAAGTTGAATCAGGTATGGGCCAGACAATTTTAAAAGACTGGGAAAAATCCAGAAGGATTCTGTATTTAGATTCCTTTGAAGTGATTTTAAATTCTAGCTTCACTTAAAAAACGAAATCTGGAAATGTGAGAATCATGTATATAAGAAAGACAATGGTAAGGCTTAATCAGTGGACCTTGGCCTTATATCGGAACACTGACAAATGAACGTCTATGTTGTACATTAAAACGTTTAAGGTATGCCTGTGTCATTTAAAAATAATTGTCACATTAACCCACTTTTTCAATCGGCTTAACCAAATGCCAAACACTAAGAGGGCTTTTCACATACCTATTATTTTTAATTCTTTAAAGGGTGCTGGTAATATTTTGTTTCCTGATTTGGGGGCTGGTAACACATGGGTGTACAGTTTGTGAAAATTCACTGAGCTGTACACTAATGATATGTGCATATTGTACTTTAATAAATAGAAAGTTTAAAAAATCATACAGGTATATTATTTCTTTGCCATAAATTATCAATACACACTGTGCTTACCAGGATCCAGAGCCCTGTGAAACGGCATGGCTGGATCCAAATGTGTGGGAAGGTGGCTCCGATAAACCTCTCCTGCAGTGCTGCCCCTGTGATGGGGATCAAAAGGGCTGTGGCTGACTACAGGGTCCACCCCAGGTACTGGAGACTTTGCTGGTATGCTTTCCCTCTGGGTAGGGGTTAGTGTCGATTTTCTTTCATGATTGGTAGACTTGCTAGAAGAAATCGTAACTAGAAAAAAAAGAGCCAACACCACAAATTCTTAAGAAAACTTGCTTAGTATGATACTATTTATCCATTTCTCAATCACTCAAATACAGACTATATTCATATAATATTTTGATCTTGCCTTTCCACTAAAACTTTTAACATTCAGTCTTGCAAAATATGCCAAAGTGAACAACTAGGAGAAGCTTTTGAGATTTGGAGATTACCAACTTTTGGATCATAGTGCCAGCATTTTACCACCTAATGTTAAGATTAATAATGAAGTTCAACACTCCTCTTTAAATCCATTATAAATGATTTTTTTCTGTATGACTTTAACATTCTAAATTCTTTTGATCCCACACGTACCGAATCTCACCTTCCTCTCTTTGAGCCTGCATTACTAAGCAGCCTCCTTACTGCCCATCGGTCATTAAGTTATACTATTTTTTCCTGCTCTGTACTTCCACAAAGACTTTCTCTTTACCTCACCAACATCGATCTCTTCCCTACTGCAGCCTCTTCTTTTCTAAACCATGTTATTCAGAAAGGTTAGATTATCCCACCAATGCCTATCATATCCAAATACTTATGGGCCATCAGGCTCAACTGTTGTAATAACGGTGGTAAACAACATATAACATAAAATTTACCATTTTAAAGGGTACAATTCAGGGGCATTAATACACTCCCAATGTTGTGCAACCATCACCACCATCTAATTATTAACAATTTTATAATATCAACTTTGCCATGATCATACAAATCTGACTGTCAAAACCACCATCACACTGGTTTGTTACATCCCCTTCCAAGCCCCGACCTGCTTAAATATGGCATGCCTTTTCCCTCTGCAGGGCAATTCTTCTTCAAGAGCCAAAAGGTTTTAATTCACCACTCTACTCAGAAGCAGGCACTTCCCTTTTCTCTTTCCTCTGTGCTACTCCTCTCCCACTGTCTAACACACTCTTCACCTTTACAGCTCTTGCTGTGTCCAGCCCAGGACCTTGCAGACACAAGCCCTCAATAAATATATACCGCAATGAAATTTAAAATGATAAGTGGATGCATTTCTAAGGGCCTCAGATTGTTTCAGGGACAACATGGTAAAAATCAACGCTTCTTACCTTACTGATGTACCTGCCAGCAGCATAAACCCCAAGGAGGTGTGGGGTTCTGATGATAATGACAAGAGTAATAGTTCACATTTATTGAGTCCTTCAAAATACCAGGCACTATTTTTTTCTTTTAAAATCCCTTAAACATATTACCTCATTTTATCTTCACAACAATCCATTGAGGTATGGCTTACTATTACCTGACCATTTTAGGGATGAGGAAACTAAGGCAGAGAAAAGTTCAGTAACTTGCCCAAGCTCGTGTAATAAGAAAAACCTTAATTCAAGCCTAAGCAGTCTTGCTCCAGAGCCTAAACTTTCAACTACCACAACGGACTGCTGCTGAAGGACTGTCAAAACTGACTTCTAAAACCTTATAGAACTAGCTGAAAAAACACTCTGAAAATATTTATTCTAGAGCATTTCTGGACTCCATCATACTCTGCACTTGATTAAAATACTAGGTATTTTACCTATAATTATGCCTACAGGCATTCCTCAGAGGTACTGCGGGTTTAGTTCCAGACCACTGCAATAAAGCAAGTCACGAGAATGTTTTGGTTTCCCAATGCATAAAAAAGACTGTACTGTAGTTTACTAATTGTGCAATAGCATTATGTCTAAAAAAACAATGTATATACCTTAATTAAAAAATACTTTTTCCCTAAAAAATGCTAACCATCATCTGATCCTTCAGTGAGTCATAATCTTTTTGCTGGTGGAGGGTCTTGTAAAAAATACAGGGGTACCAGCCAGGTGGCACAGCAGTTAAGTTCACACGTTCCGCTTCTCGGCGGCCCGGGGTTCGCTGGTTCAGATCCTGGGTGTGGACATGGCATCGCTTGGAACGCCATGCTGTGGTAGGCGTCCCACATATAAAGTAGAGGAAGATGGGCGCGGATGTTAGCTCAGCGGCAGGCTTCCTCAGCAAAAAAAGAGGAGGACTAGCAGTAGTTAGCTCAGGGCTAATCTTCCTCAAAAAAAAAACAAAAACAAAAACAGTATCTGTGAAGTGCAATAAAGCGTAGCGCAATTAAACAAGGTATGCCTGTACTTTTAATACGGTAGCCTTCCACAGCCCTAGTATCAAGCACAACCTATAGATCTTGTGACAATCTAAAGCTAACACTTCAACATTTACTGTTTGCTAGAGGTGAAAAAGCGCAATAAAAATGATCAGACAAGGATACAAGAGTAACATACCATCAGAAGTTCTGTTCATCATAGGTGAGCCTCTGGACATGGTGTTCTGATAACTCACAGGTGTCCGCCGTGCACTAGTGTCATCATAAATCCCTGGGCTCAGCTGTGCTTTGGGAGCTTCATGAAGTGTTGACCTAAGAACGGAGGGGCCAGAGCTTACCACCGATGTATGCCGGGGACGCACTGGCTCGCCTGCTTTCACATCCTCATATTTTCCCCGTTCTACCACTTTTATGTTCTCTGGCACGATTTCCAGTGGAGGCATTCCACGGGGCAGTTTGCTAGGCCCCGTAATTAAGGATTTGACATTGTGTTTGATAGCAGATTGACCTGAGTTGCTGTCAAACTTTATTGGTGTACCCTAAAGGGAAAGAAACAAACATTACAGCAGCCGAAGGCATCCAAATATTTTTCTATCTCAGGTCTATGTTTGGCTCATGGCAACTATAGTTCGCCGTGGTAGTCTTATTGTCTGTGTGGATGCCTCAATGACAAGCCCACCAATCCTGAGTTGCATACTCTCCCACATTATATACTTCACACTAAGGACACAAGAAAAACTAATGATAAAGCATATATAAAACTTTCACGTTTACTTCCAATAGGTCTCACAGCATAAGAACTACCAACAATTATTAAGTCTCACTTTTTAAAATGCTCCATAAATATCACAGCCTAAAGTGGAATGGCTGACAAAAAGAACTACAGTCTAGTTACCTGGGAGATGGAACCCTCAATTATCGGCCTCGTGCTCTGGACCACTTCTGGAGTTTTTCGGCTTTCCTGAGTTAAAATATCTTGCCGTGGAATCTCATGAATGGAACGCCCCATTTCCTTGATGGTGGTAATGCCATCATATGGTTTTCCTTTGGTAATTGCACCTTCAAATGCTCGTATAGGAGGACTCTCCCTTTTAATCTGTTTGGGATATTTAAGGCCATCTTCAAAGCTTTCAGTTGTTGCTCTTGGTGTGCCTTCAAAAGAGAATTCAAGGAACATACTTATTAAGAGAATTCTGATGATTGCATAACAATGGCACTGAACTATACACTTAAAAATTGTTAAAATGGTAAATTTTGTTACATATATTCTACTGCAATTTAAAAAATTAATGCCTTGCCATCTTGCAGTGTCTACTCAATTCTCTGTTTAGAACAGATCCGTAAATAAATATTCATCAGTTATTTCTTCTTTAGGGTTAAGATTTAATACATCATTTATCACCATCACAGAATGATTTTTACATAATGAAGATGTCTCTATCTTCAAAGATTAGGCAACTATCATCTTCAAATAAACTATGTAGCGCAGAGACAGAACAGTTATAATCAAGACTTAAATGTCTTGTTCAAAAGGGAAAATATCTTGAAAAGCAGGTTTCATGCACTGCAAATTAATGTCAAACGACTTTACCAGTGAGACAGTCATGAATAAAACCAAAATGAACAAAACTTTTACCCTGCATTATGGAACCAGACAGCACAGTCCTTTCTTTGAGGTCAGAATGAGGGCTCCCCCTGGGTAATGCTCGGCATATCAGCCCTTTCAAACAAGAAAGTAATTCAAGTATTAAACATAATGTGTATGTCAATTCACATGTACTTCACACTGTCGCTAAGAGTAATTTTTTTGATGAAGAAGATTAGCCCTGAGCTAACATCTGCTGCCAATCCTCCTCTTTTTGCTGAGGAATATTGGTCCTGAGCTAACATTTGTGCCCATCTTCCTCCACTTTATATGTGGGATGCCTGCCACAGCATAGCTTACTAAGTCGTACATGGGTCTGCACCTGGGATCCAAACCAGTGAACCCTGCGCTGCCAAAGCAGAACGTGCAAAGTTAATCACTGTACCACCAGGGTGGCCCCAAAGAGTATATATTTTTGATAAAAGCTCTGTAGAGGAAAGGATATTTTAAATTATGAACTACTCAGAAGGAAATCACGGAAAAAATAAAAGTTGGGAGTACCCAACATGACATCACTCATTCCTTTTTAAACTTTTTCCTAAATAGAAAATGGCCAAAGAAGACACCCATTATAGGTCAAAAAGAAAAGAGAGCCACTTTCAAAGCTCAATCTAAATCCCAATGCTTCTTTACCAAGGTAAGAGAGAATACAGAGGGACTGGAAATCACTGTTTAGCTTCAAAATATATCTGTGAGAAAGGGAAAACATGAAAGACGGATACCTCAAAAATAGACAAAATATATTAAATGGGACACGCAAATCAAAATGAAAGAGTCGTAACTACCTCTTTAGAAATTTCACGTCATACTGCTAATAAATCTGAATCAACAATTGGAAATAACACCACACACATTTACCCTAAAGTGAAGTGACACTTTTTTTTTAATACAGGGAAAATCCAGCTCTTAGAAAATTACATAGGACTTCTAAGATTGAGGAGTCCTACCCTGTTTTTAGTATTTCATCTAGATTAAAATTAAACAGTTGAGGCAAGTTAAGATTTAAATAAAATGAGTCATAACAAAATAAAACTGTTATTTACTGAGTGCCTGATCAGAACAAAGTTGGATACTTGTCACTAATCCTCACACAAAGGAAGGTATACTCTTTAATTTACAGAGGAATAAACAGGCACAGACAAATGCAAAGGAAAGGATGCAGGTGGGATTAATCTACATGTCTTTGCTCTACCTATTACATCACTTTGTCTGTTTCACAATAAAAACAAAGTTCTCAGAAAGAATTTTACATTTTTAAACTCACTTAAACAAGAAAAATCGACAAATTATATGAGCTTCTAAGAGTTACCTACAATATGATCAATTATGTTTAATTTTTACTTCTCTCCACTGTCGTGTACCACATGACTTATACATAGATATGAATGTAAACTTAAACCTACATTAACGTTTTATATTAATATATTAATTATATATATTTTATGTATTATATATTAATAATACACTGATACATTCTGTTTATATGTTTCATTTAGATATAAATTTCATGTAGAAACAACAGAGACTGAACATAACCTAATTCAACAATGCAAATTTACTATACAAAATTAAATGTATCTAAATAATGTTGTGGAAACATCTTACCTTCCAACGGTGCTGACACAGGAGACTCCCTCATTGACAACCCTTGCTTTATATTTCCTTCCACTGATTCATAGCTTCTTTTTAGACTGATTTCATGAGCTGTTCTTGGACTCCTCGTCCCTTCTCGGGCATTCTTAATATCTACAGAATAAAGAAACAAAAATTGCTCAGAGCCCAAAGCCTGTTGTACAATAAATAAGTTATCTTAATTTCAAAGTCTATCTTATAAAAATAATAATATAAAAAGTAGTCTTAACCTATAATAAACATCTGTGTAGATATTTATAAAAATGTTTTCATGCATTCAAACATATTTATTGAGTGTCAGGCATAAGCTGGGCTTGCAGATAAGGTTGACAAATTAAGTCCCTCCGCTCATGAAACTTGCTCAATAGAGACAGATACAGATAAATTAATAGGCAATTACTACAGAGTGCAATAAGTACTATGAAAAAAGAAGTAAAATGTGCTATGAGAATGCTAAAAGGGAAACCTAACAAAGCTTCAGGTAAGGCTATTTATAAGAAGTAATGTTTAAGCTGAGAACTGACGGATAAACAGAGATGCTTAAGTCAAAGGTAAAGGGAGGAAGGGGCGGTACAGGCCAAGGGAACAGTGAGCACAAAGACCACAAGGCAAGACAAAGTTTGGCACAGTAAAAGAATTTGAGCTCAGTAAATGGCCAATGTGTAGAGTGGAGCAGAGAGGAAGACTGTAGCGGGTAGTAAATGCAAGGGGGCTAAGGGAAAAGTGGGAAGGGAACATTCTGAAGAGACAAACTGGAAGCAGATCACAGAGGGGTAATTAAACCAAGGTAAGGGGCTTACAATGATCTTAAAAGCAACTGAGAGTCAAGCAGGAAGTGACATGATGTACAGTTTTGAATATGGGTTAAGACTGAAAGCAGGAAGATGAGTTAGGCAGAGAGACAAGTTATCCAGGTGAAAGACGATGGTGGCAGTGAGGAATACAAAGAAACAGATGGATTCCAGAGACTTTAATAAAGAGAATAGAAACTTAGGGACTGACTGATTAGATGTGGAAAGAGAAGGAAGAATCAAGGATGACATCTAGATTTCTGGCTTAGGCAATGTGCATTAATTACTTCCCCCAGAAACAAAATGTAAATCAATATACTCCAGAAACATTAAAACAAGAAAGGAAGAAGGAAATAAAGATACATGTATTTTGCATAAGACATTGTGTGATCACATACTTCATTTCTATGTATTTGAAGAGAAAGATAAAAGCATGATCACTGACTATTCAGATCACAAAAACAGTTGCAAATGAGAACTCAAATTCAGTCCATTACTTGGCTTTTACCGCATAACTAAGTCATTTTTATAAAATAATATTACTAGGAAAACATAACTTCACAATACATCTAAAGAAAATGTTTACATACATACAGACATTAAAATAGCTATATTTAAGGAGAATTTAAATTCAATATTCTTTCCAGGATTATCAGACTATTATCTACTCCCTAATTCTTAACTCACAAAATAGGAATCTGTTTAAAATAAAATTGATTCTATTAATCCATTGGAAAACTATTAGAAATAATAAACAACTACAGCAAAGTTGCAGGGTACAAAAATCAGTTGCATTTCTATACTCTAATAATGAACTAACAGAAAGAAAACTCAATAATACAATCCCATTTACAGTCACAACAAAAAGAATAAAATATCTATGAATAAATTTAACCAAGGAGGTGAAAGACCTATACAATGAAAACTATAAGATATTATTGAAAGAAATCAATGATGACATAAAGAAATGGAAAGATATTTCATGCACATGGATTGGAAGAATAAACATACTTAAAATGTCCATACTACCTAAAGCAATCTACAGATTCAATGCAATCCCAATCAGAATCCCAATGACATTCTTCACGGAAACAGAACAAAGAATCCTACAATTCATATGGGGCAACAAAATCCAATAGTTAAAGCAACCCTGAGGAAAAAGAACAAAGCTGGAGGCATCACAATCCTTGACTTGAAAATATACTACAAAGCTATAGTAATCAAAATAGCATGGTTCTGGTACAAAAACAGGCACACAGATCAATGAAACAGAACTGAAAGCCCAGAAATAAAACTGCACATCTACAGAGAGCTAATCTTCAACAGAGGAGCTAAGAACATACAATGAAGAAAGGAAAGTCTCTCCAATAAATGGTGTTGGGAAAACTGGACAGGCACGTGCAAAAGAATGACAGTAGACCATTATGTTTCGCCATACACAAAAATTAACTCAAAATGGATTAAAGACTTGAAGGTAAGACATGAAACCATAAAACTACTAGAAGAAAATACAGGCTGTACACTCTTTGACATTGATCTTAGAAGGATCTTGTTAATACCAGGTCTACTTGGGCAAGGGAAACAAAAGAAAAAATAAACAAATGAGACATCATCAGACTAAAGAGCTTCTGCAAGGCAAAGGAACCCGGGAACAGAACGAAAAGACAACCCATGAACAGGGAGAAAATATTTGTAAATCATATATCTGACAAGGGGTTAATCTCCAAAATATATAAAGAACTCATACAACTCAAAACATAAAATCAAACAACCCAATCAAAAAATAGGCTGAAGAAATGAACAGATATTTTTCCAAAGAAGATATACAGATGGCCAAGGCATGTGAAAAGATGTTCAACATCACTAATCATTAGAGAAATGCAAATCAAAATTACAAAATTACAATCACCTTTCACCTATTAGAACGTCTATAATCACCAAGACAAAAACCAACAAATGTTGGAGAGGTTGTGAAGAAAAGGGAACCCTCATACTCTGCTGGTGGGAATGTAAGCTGGTGCAACCACTGTGGAAAACAGTATGGAGATTTCTCAAAAAATTAAAAATAGAAATATCATTTGACCCAGCTATCCCACTACTGGGTATTTATCCAAAGAGCTTGAAATCAACGATTCATAGAAACTTATGCACTCCTATGTTCACTGCAGCATTATTCACTATACCCAAGAAGTGGAAGTAACCCAAGTGTCCATCAACTGATGAATGGATAAAGAAGATGCGGTATACATATACAATGGAATACTACTCAGCCATAAAAAAGACAAAACTGTCCCATTTGCAACATGGATGGACCTTAGGGTATTATGTTAAGTGAAATAAGCCAGACAGAGAAAGACAAACACTGTATGTTTTCACTCATACGTGGACTATAAACAAATACATGGACAAAGATAACAGATTAGTGGTTACCAAAGGGGAAGGGGGTTTCAGGGTGGGCATGAGGGGTAAAGGGGCACATATATGGTGACTGACGAATAATGTACAACTGAAACTTCACTATGCTATAAACTATTATGACCTCAATAAAATAAAAATTTTAAAAAAGTGATTCTATTAAAGTTAAACCAAGATTCTTTTCCTAGGCTAAATCAACTGACCATAGTTGATGAAATTCATTACCACTTAATGAGACTTACTATGGGCTCTGCACTGTTAATCACTTTTCATTGACTGCTTTAGTTAATTTTTCACAAAAGTTTCATGAGAAGGTACTACTATTATCAATCTCTTTCACAGAGAAGAAACCTGGGTTCAGGGAAGGAACTTCCCCAAAGAAAGTATGTGGGGAACCAGAGCTCATGCTTTCAATCACACATTACAGTATCAGCTTCAGTGTATAAACACAATACTTACTATCATATGATAAGATGTGTCCACTTTTGCCTTCATAAATAACATGGCCTTTGGATGCAGCTTCCTCTCTGCCTTTCTCAGGACTGTTCTCTTCAATGGGCATTCTAGAAATAGATCCCTTCACCAAAGCCTCAGTTGGTATGCCAGCCTGGGAGAGAGCTGGGGTACCCTGCCATCAAATCAAACACAAGCACCAAAAGAGTCACTTGAGTTTAGAGAAAACGCAAGGCACTCACAAAATTTAACTACTACACTGAGAGTCAGATCAATCCATAGCTTCAGAGAAGAAAGGACAAGCACACGAGAGGAAATCAGACATCAAGTTTTCACAAACATAAAAAAATACTGTACCTTCATCCTTGAACCCTGCCATATAAAACTTCTTAAACTGCTGAAAGGCTTATGAGTTGAATCAGCTTTTTTCCCCACCTTGAAGTCAAACCTCTATGAAGGCACTTAACTCTTAGAAAAAAAAATTTGTCTTAAGGCCCCAAATCACAAAAATGTAAGAAAGCTTTTATAAAATCTCTAATAAAAATAAGACAATAACTTAAGCTTTAAATTTAGAGTACCACAACTTTCTCTCATATTGTGATAAGAGAAAAAAGAACTTTCAAGTACCAAACTGTCTGCTCAGTTAGACCCCTGGTCATCAAGAACAGGAAGGGAAGAAAAACTCAGACGCCTCCATTTTGTGACATGAATTTAGTTTAGGTCACATCATCTGAATTTTTGCCATCATTAGTCCTCTTCTGGATTGCTTATGGTCATGGTTCTTTTTATTCTTCCTTTAAGCAGTAAACACTTCCTTCAAGGGAAATCATTCATGGAACCTAATATGTAGGATACTTTGAAAATTGAGCCGCTTGGGTTGAAACGGGAGTAGGAGGCCCAAACCTAGCCCACTCACACATTTAGTGTCCCCAAAACTCTCGTTGAGGACAATCTGAAACCAAATGCTCACAGCAGGAAGAAGTGATGACAGCAATACATTTATTCATCCAGCTGTACGTGAGCTTGGTAGTAAACATCTGGAAATCCATAACATCCAGTTCAGATGTGCTCATATCACATGCACAGACTGATTTGAAAATAAACAGATACAGCCTAGCCTCATTTGATCCAGTTCATGCTGTCTTCCTACCTACAGTTTGGATACTAGAGTGAAAATGAAGAAGAAAAAAATAATACACATAGGCCATTTATTTTTCTTCTGTTTATATTAAAGTGTTTGCTTATTCTGAAAACTAATTTCGGGGGAACGTATACTTCAGTCAAATGTGGAAGGAGCAGTCTGAAAAGTTAGTATGTTACTTTCTAGATCACTATAGGCCATATACTCTATAAACCATGCCTTAGGGAAGAATCACTGAGGAATCTTATTAAAATGGAGATTCTGATTCAATAGGTCTGGAGTGGGGAGTGAAATTTCTGCATTACTCTAACAAGCTCCCAGGTGATGCTGATAGTCCGGGGCAGAGACTACACTTGGTCAGCAAGGTCCTAGGGCATGAGTCTCAAACAAGCATGCAGCAGAATCACTGGAGGGCTGGAAAAAGAGATCGTTGGGCCCCACCCACACAGCTGAGACTTCAGTAAATCTGGGGTGGGGCGTGAGCATTTACATGTCTACAACTTCCCAGGTGACACTGATGCTGCTGGTCTGGGGACCACACTTTAACCACTGTCCTAGCGAATAAGAACAAAAGACAAGAAAGAAAAAGAGAACAGAAAACTTGTGACAGGTACAACACGTAAAAGCACAGGATTCTGTTCACAATTATCTCCCAAAAGAGGACTTTCCTTTTCCAGATGTACATTAATAAAGAGACTAAGGACTGTTTTACACTTCAAACTAAAATTAACATCTAGCTGAGAAAAAGGAAGACCTTTTTTTAATCAAAATTGGCAATTTATTTAGCCTAAAATTGGAAGAAGATATTTGACTTTTGGTGCTTTTGTCAATGTCATCCATGTTTCCCAGCCTAGCTTAGCGTTAGAGTCTAGCAAGGCAGATTACATACTGAGACTGCAGACGTTCATTTTCACAAGGGGCAACAAAAGCAAGCAAGTAATTTATAAGGATGTGCTTTTCAATTTCTATTTAAGCTGAACACATAGTAAAAGCTTTGCCAGGAAGACAGGGAGAGCTGCATCAATTAGAACTTGTTTCTTCTGCCAATTTGCAAATAACTGATCTTTTCAAATGAACCACAGTACAGATATTATAGCTTGTGGTCAGGAAGAGCCAAAGATCTTGAGATTTGACTTCGAGTTTGCTCCTTAGGCATTGTTCAGTACACTAGGAATGATCATAACTAACCTGAGTGATGGACCCACGCAGGGATGGGATGCTCTCCACAGAAATTTTGCTGGTTGGAGTGCCCCGAGTTATACTTCCTTCTTGAATGGCTCCTGTGGTACCTGAATAAAAACATCATTAGCAAATTACACTCCCTACCTCTGCAAAAAACAACAAATAAAATCAGCCCCTACTTGAGTGAGGGGCAAAAAGTGGAGGAAACAGCAGCACAAAAAGAATAGTTTTAGTTTTACTGAAATGTACTTTTAAAATAATATTGCAATTATTAAAAGGGATTGCTGAAATATGAAATTTCAAAGTTTTAAAATCATTTTTGTATGGAAAGAAAAATTTAGACTTTAAACTCTTTAACATAACCCATCTTTAAAATATTTAATGACTTCCTTTAATAAATTTATTAGGGACAAAATTTTAATATTTCTGCCAAACATCATAGTTTACCTCTGACCACTCCTTCATGTTGTGCCCTGACCAATAAACCCTCAGGCTGTGAGTTTTGGCTTCGGGGAGAGAATTCTTCCTGCTTGATGTAGGGCACAGTGGCTATGGACCAAAGCAAGAGAAACACGAAGAGATCAAGTGCTGTATTACTGTCAATGGTGTTACAAACGCAGGAACATTAGGAGTATTTACTCACTGACCTGATTTGGCAGACTCCTGTTGCCGTGGCAGTCCAAGAGAGATAGAGCCCACTGAAGGCTTAGCTGTTTCTTGAGTGTAGGAAGCCTGATTATGAGAAGTCAAATAAGTGCCAGGTGTCCCCTAAAAATAATTTTAAAAGACAAAATAACACTGTCTTTCCACAAGGTCAACTATAAATTTAATGTTCACATTTCTGTTTATAAAAATTTACACCCCTACTGCCCCAAATTAAGAACAGGTATTTTTAAAGCAAGAAAATCCTTGTCAAAGAGTGCTTAAATTACAAAAAATTTTTAAAGGGAGCAAGAAACGTCTTCTGAAATTACCATAATTTCATGTAGATAATATTTATTAGTAACAAATTACATAAATAAAGCACTTAACAGTATACTGAGAATGTAAGCTATTATTATTAACAATATTATTCCTCTTAAAAATGCTATGGGATAGTGATATCAGTGAAAATGGCACAGTAGGGACTTCCAAAAACTCTCCTCCATAGAGGCAACCAGAAAACAAGCAAAAATTATAGGAATCAACCTTTTAAGCACTCTGGAATTAACCAAAAGCTTACGTACATCTGGAAGCATTTATTCAAGAAAAATAGTGGAATATAGGTAAGAACAATGAGCTTTGTGGCATGTGAACTTGCTCTTCTGTGACTCCCACATACTCCCCCACAACCCAAAGCTCTGTGGCAGCCTTGAAAATCAACAGCCCTCAATCATGGTGAAAATCAATAGCCTAGAAGCCGGGAGAGGAGAAAGAACAGGGTTCAGTGCCTTAAAAGCCTTATTCCCAGATAACTATCATTATGTGGCTTGTCCAGTGGTTGCCTGGGAGACCCATTTGCAAAGCTGTCTTTATTAGACCTGAGTGTGGTGGAGAAGGAGATGCATGCTTGTCAGAAACACTGAGAGTCAACTGGTTAACTTCTCTACTGCCTAAGGCAGTAGATAACAGCTAGGGCAAACAATGGGCTAACCAAAAAGCTTAAAAGAAAAAGCTAAGAAATGAGATATTCATAGGGGGTTTGGAAAGTGCCAACATATTCCTAAGAATCCAAAAGGCCGTGTGCATGTGCAAGACTGTACGTTTGCCTAGGAAAGACATGAGAAGGCCGTAAGTTCTCACCTCTGGCTGACCTCAAGGCTCCATTAAAGCAAAGGAAGTAAAAACTACAGGAGAGTTGTCAGTTGCCTGACTGAATGTTGAAGGTATGCCCAACACACAGAGAGCCCCTCAGTAAAGACTGGGAAACTTATTAATTGTAACTATTAAAATCTCTATCCAATCATTAGCTGACCATTAAGTTGACCAAACAGAGATTTCACTGGTTACACATGACACAAGACTACAGACTTTACAGAATTAGTTCAGAAAAGTCACTAAACTAATAAACAACAACAAAAACAAACAACAACAAAGCCTAGGGAGAGGGGAGAATCTGATTTCCAGAGTGGCCACATTAAATTATGCAAAATGTCTATTTTTCAACCAAAAATTACAAGACATGAAAAGAAACAAGAAAGTATGACCCATGCAGGAAGAAAAAGAGCAGTGAATAAAAACTGTCCCTGGGCTTTAGACTTGCAACAAAGACTTTAAATCAGCTATTATAAATACGTTCAAAAAACTATAGGGAACCATGTCTGAAGAATTAAAGTTTGAAAATGACATCTCACCATATAGAGAAAATCAACAAAGAGAAAGAAATCATTAAAAAGAACCATATAAAAAATTCTGAAATTGAACAAAAGAAAAAATAAAGTAGTGGGAGTTCATCAGACTAAAGAGCTTCAGCAAGGCAAGGGAAATCAGGATCAAAACAAAAAGACAACCTACCAATTGGGAGAAAATATTTGCAAATCATATATCCAACTAGGGGTTAATCTCCATAATATATATAGAACACATACAACTCAACAACAAAAACACAAACAACCCAATCAAAAAATTGGCAGAGGATATGAACAGACATTTCTCCAAAGAAGATATACAGATGGGCAACAGGCACATGAAAAGATGTTCAAGATCACTAATCATTAGGGAAATGCAAATCAAAACTACAGTAAGATATCAACTTACACTCGTTAAAATAGCTTTAATCACCAAAATAAAAAATAACAAATGTTGGAGAGGTTGTGGAGAAAAGGGAACTCTCATACACTGCTGGTGGGAATGCAAATTGGTGCAGTCACTATGGAAAACAGTACGGAGATTTCTCAAAAAATTAGAAATAGAAATATCACATGACCCAGCTATCCCACTACTGGGTATTTATCCAAAGAACTTGAAATCAATGATTCAAAGAGACTTATGCACCCCTATGTTCACTGCAGCATTATTCACAATAGGCAAGACATGGAAGCAACCCAAGTGCCCACTGACTGATGACTGGGTAAAGAAGATGTAGTATATACATATATATACAACGGACTCAGTCATAAAAAAAAAAGACAAAATTGTCCCATTTGCAACAACAAGGATGGACCTTGAGGGTATTCTGTTACGTGAAATAAGTCAGAGAAAGACAAACACTATGTGATTTCACTCATATGTGGAAGATAAACAAACACATGGACAAAGGCAACAGTTTACCAGGGGGAGGAAGGTTGGAGGGTGGACCTAAGGGTAAAGGGGCACATTTATAGGGTGACTGACAAATAATAATGTACAACTGAAATTTCACAATGTTGTAGACTGTCATAACCTCAATAAAAAGAAAATTCAAAAAAAAATTCTGAAGTTGAAAAATACAAGAACTGGAGGAAAAAAATAAAAACTCTCAGCAAACTAAGAATATAAGGAACTATCTTCAATCTGATGAAGGGCACCTATGAAAAGTCTATAGTTAACATACCTACCAATGAAATACTGAATGCCTCTCTCCTAAGATGGGCAACAAAGAGAGCATATCATCTTCACCACTTCTATTAAACATCGTACTAAAAGTTCCACCCTAGCCAGTTCAATAAAATAAGAAAAATAAAAGGCATAAGGTTTGGAAAGAAAGAAGTGAAACTGTCTTAATTTGCAGATGACGTGCACACAGAGAAAAGCCTAAGAAATCTACCCCAAAACAAAATAAAAAACCCTACCAGCAGCAATAAGTGAATATAGCAGGAGATAAGGTCAAGATACAAAAATCAACTGTTTTTCTATATACCAGCAAGAATTGCAAAATGAAATTTTAAAAAATAATATCATTTATAAAAACTACATTAAACTAATCCAATTAATTGAAAATAAATCTAACAAAATCTCTACAGTGAAAACTACAAAACACTGCTGAGAGAAATTAAAGACCTAAATAAATGGAAAGATAAACATGTTCATGGATTAGAAGATGCAATATTTTTAAGATTGTCATTCCTATCCCAAATTAATCTACAGATTTAACGCAATCCTGAACAAAATCCCAGCAGAGTGTTTATATGGAAATGCAAAAGATATAGAAGATTGAAAACAATCTTGAAAAATAAAAGCACTATAGGACTTATACTACATGATTTCAAGACTTACCATAAAGCTGCAGCAATCAAAACCGTGGTGCTGATAAAAGGATGGGCAAATAGATCAATGGAACAGAATAGAGAATCCAGAAATAGACCCAAATATATAGTGAAATCGTTTTTGACAAACGCACTAAAGCAATCAAATGGGAGAAAGACTTTTCAACAAATGTTACCGGAACTATCAATTACCCAAATGGATAAATGAATGCCCATCCTGACCTCACACTGTACACAAAAATTAATTTGACATGGATCATAGACCTAAATGTAAAAGCCAAAACGATAAAGCTTTCAGAAGAAAACCTAGGAGAATATCTCCACAGCCTTGGAGCAGGCAAAGACTTCTTAGAGAAAAAGAGAAAAAAAAAATTATACATGTGGACTTTATCAAAATTTAAAACTGCTTATCAAAATTTAGCAGTAACAAAACACACAAGCCAAAAATAGAGAAAATATTTTAATAAACATATCTAACAGACCAAAGAAGATATACGGACGGCCAATAGACACATGAAAAGATGCCCACCATCACTAATCATCAGGGAAATGCAAATCAAAACTACACTAAGATATCACCTTACACCTGTTAGAATGGCAAAAATAACCAAAACAAAAAGTGACGAATGTTGGAGAGTTTGTGGAGAAAAAGGAACCCTTATACACTGCTGGTGGGAATGCAAACTGGTGCAGCTACTACGGACAACAGTATGGAGATTTATCAAAAAATTAAAAATAGAAATATCTTATGACCCAGCCATCTCACTACTGGGTATCTATCCAAAGAGCTTGAAATCAGCAATTCCAAAAGTCCCGTGCACCCCTATGTTCACTGCAGCATTATTTACAATAGCCAAGACGTGGAACCAACCTAAGTGCCCATCAACAGATGACTGGATAAAGAAGATATGGTATATATATACAATGGAATACTACTCAGCCATAAAAAAAGACAAAATCGTCCCATTCACAACAACATGGATGGATCTTGAGGGTATTATGTTAAGTGAAGTAAGCCAGACAGAGAAAGACGAACTCTGTATGACTCCACTCATAGGTGGAAGTTAAACATAGATACAAAGAGAATTGATTGGTGGTTACCAGGGGAAAGGAGGGGTAGGGAGAGGAGACAAAGGGTGAAGAGGTGTACCTACAACATGACTAACAATAACGTACAACTGACATTTCACAAGGTTATAAACTATCATAATCTTAATAAAAAGTTAAAAAAAAACCATATCTAACAGAGAACTCTCATTCATAATATATAAAGAACTACAATCTAATAATAAAAAGACCCAATAAAAATGGATAATAAGACCTAAACAGTCACTTCACAATCAGATGTACAAATGGTCAATAAGTATATGAAAAAGGGCTCAACATCATTTGCTGTCAGGGAAAGGCAAGATAAAACCACAATAAAATATTACACACCCACTAGTATTACTAAAATAAAAAAGACTGACAAGAGCAAATGGAGCAACCTGAAGGCTCATACGTTGCTGGCAGCAATGTAAATTGTAGAACCACTCTGGAAAATTATAAAGTAAAATATATATATACTTAGTAATTCCACTCTCAGGGAATTATATAAGAGAAATGAAAACACATGTCTACAAAGAGCCCAGTACAAGAATGTTCATATCAGCTTTATTCATAGTAGCCAAAAAACTAGAAGCAGCTCAGGTTTCTATCAACAAGAAAATGGATAAACTGGTATGTTCATACAATGGAGTATTATTCAGCAATAAAAAGGAAGAAACTGGGGCTGGTCCAGTGGCATAGTGGTTAAATTCACGGGCTCCGCTTAAGCGGCCTGGGGTTCACCAGTTCAGCTCCCGGGCACGGACCTACACATTGCTCATTAAGTCAGGCTATGGTGGCGTCTCACACACAAAATACAGGAATATTGGCATAGATGTTAGTTCAGGGCCAATCTTCACCAAAAAGAAAAAAAGAAGAAGAAGAAGAAGAAGAAGAAAGAAAGGAAAACAAAGAAACTACTGATACACAGAAACTTGGAAGAATCCCTAAAACCATTATGCTAAAGTTAAAGAAGACAGACACAGAAGAGCGCACCATTGTATGATTCCACTTACATGAAGTTCTAGAAAGGGCAAAACTATGCCAACAGAAAGCAGAACAGTCATTGCTTCAGGCAATGAAGAGGAGCCTGCCTGGGAAGGGGCATGAGAAAACTTCCTAAAGTGACAGAAATGTTCCATAACCTGACAGGGGTGTGGACACTGATTGTGCACATTAGACAAAACTAAACTGGTAAGATCAGATCATAGTGAGGGAAAAAAAAAGTAATGCACCTGGAAAAAAAAAAAAAGAGAGATAACAGCCAAATCAGAATAAACTAAGGCTTACCAATTATCTACAATTTAATATTTACAGCCTTTACAACAGTTAGTCACCAAACAGCCTAGTATTTGAAAACATTCCAGTTACATTTACACCACGCTGAACTTCAGGGCACATACGCGTCCTCCGTAAGTTAAATCAGACAGCGTGCCGTGGCCACTCAATCACAAACTTCCTGCGTGTGGCATGGAGGACAGTGATGCTGCACCTTCTGGTCATTTTCTCTTCATACATACACAGATTTTTATTTGTTAGGACTCTGACAAATTATTATGAGAAGGAGGGAAAATTTTTACCAAAGCAATATTCCACAGGAAATCTACCGCGAAGGGAAGCCATTGTACCTGTGAGATGGAGCCTCCCAGTATAAAAGACGGTTTTTCTGAAGCCACTGTGGTTTTGGATGATGGGATGAGAGGAGGAGGTGGCCTAGTGGGTCGAGTTGTCGGAAGCCGAACCCCTTCAGGGAGATTAGTTATCACTTGATGTGGAGCAGGCTGAAGGACTTTTAAAAGAAGAAAAAATGATTTAAAATCGTCAATTTCCTAGTTTGCAACATTCTACCTATCTCAGTCATTCCTGAATTTTTAAATCACAAATTATAAGTGCAAGATGAAGCCAAGGATGAACATTTCTATTTTAAATTTCTCTTTCACTTGAAATAAACCTGTATACATGTTCAGGTCACAAATGATACTTGTGAGGTTTAAATATTCAACTCCCTGTCAAACCAGAGGTTTCAAGCTGATGTTCAGTTCAAACTATTTCTGCTTAGCATACGCAAATGTCAATCTTTAATAATTTTTTTTCTCCCTCCATCACTCTTTGGACCTCACAACAGAGGTGAGAAAAAAGCGTGCTTCTTAGGAATAGCCAATATCACAACTAAAGAATATACAGACATGATGGACAACCACTTACATGTCCTCTTTGCATCTTGCATAATTTGAGAAACATTTACTGATTCTGGCTCTCACAGACACTTGAATTTCTAGAGGTGAGGCAGAATCTCAAGATTTTTACAAAGTACATGTACTCTTAAAAGAAAAGTCAGTCAATGCCACAGCATACACCTGTGAACACATATTTCCCAGTGGCCCAGGGAATCTGAACTGAATACAACTGAGGATGGAATGCAGAGAAACAAGAAAGGAATGTTGAAATAGCAAGGACATGTCCTGGAAGAGTAGCTTTTTCATGAGATTAAACCACCCATGTCTAACATCTGTAGGTAGATGGCCAGCAGCCACTGCACAGAGGAACAATATTTACCTGGCGGGACACTATAGCGGGCTGCACTCATATCAGGCTGTGGAGCGGCTTTACTGACTTCTCTTGGAGAGAGCCTACACGGTGATGCTGACCTTGCTGCAGTATTGTGCATCTGCGCTTCCTGTTCTAGAGCACGTTTGACCTCAGCATAAGGCATATAGGCGACTGATTTTCCTATGAAAGTTAAAGTTATCAAAATAAGGGAAGAACCCCAAATTAAAATAGTAAGTGTGAAAGGACCAAGCCCACATCATCCAGGGGCAGATCCGACTAGATACTAATATCAAGGTCTAAAATTCCTTGGGGCGGGAGGCAGTCCACCCAGACAGAGTGAGAAACACTGTAAGTCTAAATCTTCTGGTGTACACACCATCACTATGACCTAATAAAATCCTCAAAAATTCAATCGCGATTTTTTCCCTTTAAAGGACAAAGAATTCTCCTTCCTCTCATTAGGAGAATCAAGTGTTTCATATGCAATAAAGATCACACCAGTAACCATCAGATTATTCAGCCTTTCTGTGAATTGAAGTCTGGCCTAAATTAGAGGTCAGATCTCTGAGGATTTCAACTCTTAAAATTAGCCTGTTGCAGCCCACTGCTAAATATTCAGAGAAATAAATGTGATTAAGAAATAGAAGAAGACTTTCAAAAGATGCAGATTGAACTACTCCAAAAAATCTACAAGAGCTTATAAAACTATGAATTTTACTGCAATAATGCTAATGAAAATTATTCCACATAATTCACCTCCACATAAAATATAAAAAAACTTTAAGCATTTAAAGGGAATATCAGATAAGCGGTCATATTTAGACATAAAAAATATATAAAATTTTTTCCTTTTTAAAATAAAATTGACATATTGTAATTTTGGAAAATCTCAAGAAAGTGAAAATCATCCATAACCTGAACCGTTTAGATTTGTGGCATTTTAATGTCTGCCGGAAAAAATTCCCATTCATTTTATTATTCTTTTGCTTACCTAGTCTGATCCACTTATTCTTCTAGATAAATCCAAATTTAAAATCATTTTGAGTACTTCCTCCCCAAAGTATCACTGGAATTTTCATTGGACTTGCATTAAATTTATGAACACTGGAGACTTGACATTTTATAATAATGAGTTTTCTTTTCTTTTTCATGTTGGTAGTTGTATATTTTTCTATTGTTTTATTTATTTATTTTGTGTGTGTGTCTGTGTGTGAGGAAGACTGGCCCTAAACTGACATCTGTTGCCAATTTTCCTCTTTTTGCTGAGGAAGACTGTTGCTGAGCGAACATCTGTGCCAATCTTCCTCTGTTTTGTATGTGGGATGCTGCCACAGCATGGCTTGTTGAGCGGTGTGTAGGTCTATGCCCAGGATCCAAACCTGCAAATCCCAGGCCACTGAAGCAGAATGCACGAACTTAACCACTATGCCAGCAGGCCAGCCCAATAATGAGTTTTCTAATTGGGGAACTTAGATTTTTTTCATATAAGACTTAGACATTTCTTGTCAAAAATTATTCATACATATTTTATATTTTATTGATAAGAAAATCATCTTTTTCATATATATGTGGATTTACATATATAACTGATTATTGCAGATATATACGAAAGATGTGGATTTCTGTATATAAATTTTTTCTTGAGAAACTTAATGAACTTTTCTTTTAGCTCTAATAACTTTTCAGTTTATTCTTTTAGGCTTTGTAGGTGGATAATTTTATCCTGTGAATAATAACTTGTCTTCTCCCCTCAGATCATTAAAACTTTCTTTTGGTTCCTTTTTCCCTCACTGCACTATAGTAAGTAATAGTGGGCATCTGGATAGTTCCTATCCAAAGGGAAAATTTATTAAGTGGAAGGTCTGTAATTGGTTTCAAACAGAGATTCATTAGCACAAGGCATAAAAAGTTCTTTGGTTTACTAGGATATTTTAAAAAACAGAAATAATTATAGTAATATCAGATAATATACACCATGTACTATGTTCAGAGCTCTGTGAACTACATAAATTATCTCATTTACCCTCATGACCAATGAGATTATTAACACCATTTTATAGATAAGGAATCTGGACCCAGAAGAATCACACTTAATTGCCCAACCAAGGTCACACTACCAGGGGTTTTTCAAAAGCAGTGTAATTCCTGATGCTGAGCTCTAAACCACAGTGCACTAATGTCTCCCTGAAGCACAGGGGGTTGATTTTATATACCTCTGGGGTATCCATCAAGATGATGGGTACTCTTTCTTTCTTTGACATATTAGTATAATGAATTAAATTAAGTGTCCTAACACTGCAAATTTATGAAAAAAATCAACTTTAAAAGAAAATCACTTCTTCCTTTCTAGAGAATTTATCATGATAGTGTATTATAAATTCAGTATCTGATTGTTTTACCATTTCTAGTAAGTTTATAAGTACGTGGAAAAGCTCCCTTTGTCATAGTAGTGTTAAAATGAAAAGACAGAAATTTAAGTTGTTCTAAATACAGCTATTTCAATCATGTACTCAGAGCTGAAAAAATAAACAAAGAAATAAACACCAAAATAAAAAAGTAGATTGAGTTGCACAGAAGCACTCTTATTTTGATTGAACAGTTCTGTTGAACCTGCGTTAGACATTCAACTCTTAGTCCATCTCCACATGTTTAAGTTTGAGTCCCTTTACTGTAGGAAAAGGCTTCAAACTAAAGTAGGGGTCAACTTGTGTAAATGTTACTGGACAGTGAAAACAATTCTTCTCTAAGTTTTTTTTCAAGCTTTTCTACAGATGGAAAGGCTTTAAGCCACTTTATTTTAAAGATTTTTTTTACTTTTCCATTTTCTCCAAAGCCCCCCGGTACACAGTTGTGTATTCTTAGTTGTGGGTCCTTCTATTTGGGGCATGTGGGATGCCGCCTCAGCACGGCTTGATGAGCTGTGCCATGTCTGCGCCCAGGATCCGAACCAGCGAAACCCTGGGCTGCCAAAAGTGGAGCACGAGAGCTTAACCACTCGGCCACGGGGCCAGCCCCCAGGCTCTAAGTCACTTTAAAAGGGCACATCTACCATAATTATTTGTACCACTGACATAAGAGAAAACGAATAGAATCAAACAGCTGGATAACACATGCTGCTTGTTACTTTCTAAATGAAACCATGAAGGGAAAAGTCAAAACCATGGTTCTAATTCACGTGGACCATACCAGTTTGGTGATGGTTTATATGTAAACCCGCATTCCCACTATATTTAACAGTCTTTTATAAATGATTCTATGACACTGCACTGAAAACATTTGTATCAAACATTCTACATATAAGCAACTTAACTGCAAATATATAAATGTTAGGGAGATAATCCTTTCACAGCTATAAATTCAGGAGAGATTTCAGCCACTTGTTAACCAATTACTGGATGAACATACTAGGTAGATTGGCTAAAACAAAAGCTAACTCGGGATAAAATGTAATCAACCGTCCCAGTTCATAGAGACTCACCTTGAACCAAATTGGTATCATATTAATAAACACCTTGGTCTCATATTAATCAAAAATATAATTACAGTTTGGTTTTAAGAAGACTGCATTATCATTAAAAAATTAGGATACCACTCAGATCTAAACAACATGGATTAATGTGACTGACCACAGAGAAATGCACTTCAGTTTGGAGTCTCAGAATTTGGGCCTCTGGCCTGGTTCAGTCTCTCCAGCTCCCAAATACAACTCATTTTGTAAAGCAGATGAAGAAAAGATATTGAGGGCCTAAAATAACTATATGATATACATATTAGAATGATCCAGATACCACTAACTGAATAATGTTAAGCTTTAGGATGAGTTCAGCAAATATCATTTGAATGTCATTTTTGCTAGGTTTTAATTCTTCCTCACAAAATTCATTCTGAATTATTTTGTCAGGAATAGATCAATAGACTTTTAAATTATTCTATAATTTATCATTCTCATGACAGATTTTCTCATAACAAGAATGCTCAAAAGACAAGCACTTCTGCCAAGCCCATGTATACTCTGTAGTTCATTTAATTTATTCCTTCAACATATAATTACTAAGCAGACATTGTGTCCATTGCTGAGTCAGGGATTAAGGAGTCTCTAGATGCAATATACAAAAGCCCAAAAGTTATCACTTATACCTTCATTCAAGAAATATTCATTTAGCGCCTATTTGCACTCAGCATTGGTGAGTATTATCATTCTGGTTCACATTTTCACTAGAATAAGATTTATACTTAAAACACTAACAATCATATATTTAAAACTCTGACATAAGAAGTTCAGTGTCATGTAACTAACAACTCATTACTGGTGTCACTGGTGTGGAGAGTCAGCAGGATCAGTTAAGTACCACAGTTCCTGTTTTATATTAAATAGCCCTTGAAATCCATGGTATTCTAGGAAGAGCTCTTACTTATCTACATAAGGTATTACAAAGAGTCTTTGGAATCATTCAAAAATCTAAACCGTAATCACAGAAGACTTTAATATTCTTATATTCTAAGCATATCGCAGCACATAGTCCATAAATTAACTATCAACCAGAACACGTGCCATTTTCTAACCATGGCAGAAGAATTTACTAAAATTTAGAAATCACTCCCCTTCTTTTTTTTAAAAGAAACTGAAGTATTTCATGCACCAACTAAAAAGAACACGCACAACTCAAATCTGTCACTTGAAATAACAGTGACATAACAATGATAACAGTACCTTCATGCTATCTATTATACTCCGTATATACTAATATCCTAAATCAGGATGTATTAATATATTAGATATTATATTATATATAAAATAATGCTGAGCCACATGTTATAAAACAATACTGAACGTTCATTCTTTCTTATGGGTTCTAATCTCAGCAAGGTGGAGATACAGATAAATACAGAGATAATTTGCACTTTACAGATGGGAAAACTAAAGCTCAGAAAGGTTAAGAAACTTGTCCATGGCCACACAACTGGTAAATGCTGAGGTGATGGCTGAGTCAGGGTCTGACTGGCACTATACACTACACAAAGTTGTCAGCCACCTTAACAGAGAATTAGAATATTATCCAGTTATAGGTGATTCGCTTGGAGGACAGGATAAGAGTTCTCACTTACTCTGAAAACTCAAATGAATGGAGCATAAGGCATGGCTTTTACAGTCTTCCAGCACAAAGATGAATATCAGAAAATTCACATTAACAAGAACTCTATTAAAAATGTTATTGACATCCTTTAGTAGTCAATAATACGAACATTTCTTAATTTAACTGAGGTCAACTTAAGGAAATCTTATCTGTTGGGGACAAGCGTAATAAATAAACTGATATGCTGACAAACCACAAAGGACACTACTTTTGAGTACAGCTTTGTTTGCCTTCAAAAAAGTTCTTTGTTTCTTTGTGATGATAGCTCTACTTACCTTCCCACTCTCTGTTTGGACTCTTAGAGGTGCCACATGGACTTGTAGAACTTCTACATTCCAACTCTATCTGTTCTTGCCTCTGCCGCTGTTCTTCCAGGAGCGCTGACTCATGCATTGCTTTAATATGTCGCTGGTAGAGAGCATAGCCACTCACTGCGGTTCCAATTGGTATATTACATGGGGTGCAGGAAACCTACAGGAAGAAAAAGAAATCTACATATACCAATGACCAACATTATAATAATTACCATTTGTTGCAAGTAATGCTTATTTCTGCAATATTACTGGTTGAGGTGATTTCATCTTTTTTTGCAGGGAAGGATTTACCCTGAGCTAACATCTATTGCCAATCTTCCTTTCTTCTTTTCTCTCCCCAAAGCCCCACTGTATGGTTGTAATATCCTAATTCTAAGTCCTTCTAGTTCTTCTGGGAGCCGCCACCACAGCATGGCAACTGACAGATGGCTGGTGTAGTTCTGTGACTGAGAAGCAAACCTGGGCCGCTGAAGTGCTGAGAGAACCAAACTTTAACCACTAGACCATCAGGGCTGGTTTGATTTTATCCTTTTTTAAATCAAAGTAATCTTTAAGTATAATGCTCAAAATGCTGAACAGTTACTTTCAGAACTGAACACAATATAAATCACAAAAGTTGTAAGAAAAGAAATCAAAATCAGCAATTAAAATACTTCTGTCTGCTTCTAACTTATGACGGTCAAACTCCTGGTGCCTCAGCCTGGGGTCCTACCCCTCCTCTCTCTGTTCCTTCGCCAGGTAATCACATCCACTTCTGTGGATTTAAATGTCATTTACATGTTAACGATTCATAAATTTCTATTTCTAAGACATTTTCTCCAAGTTCCACACTCATAAAATTACCTACCTAACAACTCAACTTGGATATCTCAAAGCACCTAAAAATTTATATTCAAAACTGAATTTTTCCGTTTGTAAACTCAATGCTTCTCCTTCAGCAATCTCTGTCTTAGAAAATGGAACCTCAGCAGCCTAAGGCAGAAGCCTGGCAGTCATTCTTGACTAATCAATCTCCTCCTCTCCCACAACCAATTTATTAACATATCAACTCTCTTCAGGACAGAGATTAAATGTTACTTTTTCAGACAGGCCATCCTTGACCATCCAATAAAATACTGTGACTCCCTCCCCATGTTCTCACTGCAGCCTGTTCATTTCATTCACAGTACAGCACTTATCACAATTTGCAATTACGTTTATTTCTTTGTTTATTTTCTCTCTCCCGCTTCAAGAAGGAAAGAACCCAAGCTGCTCTGTGCAATACCAAATAAACAGCTCCTAACACAGTCCGTTCCACTACTTATCAATACAACAGCAGCTGTGGGAAGAGCAGAGATCTGACTTGTTTAGAATCTATTACCTCAAGACTTCCCTAGTGTTTTCCACTACTATAAGTAGGCTTTTTCACTGATTTCAACACACACACCATAATTTTCTTGGCTTTGTGCTTTGGCTTATATGTAAACACGGCTTTTCCTCCTTTTGCTGTAAAGCCAGATGCTGTTTTGGTCCAGTCAAAATATTATTTCCTATGTGGAGTCCTATTTAATTGTCTCATCAAGAAGAAAGCTTTCCTTCCTCTGAAACACTTGCAGTGTATTTTTAAACCTAACTGCATTTTAATTCATTTTAATTTTTATTATGACTTTTTCTGTCTTATTATAAGGTCCAATCTCTAAGTATTTTTAAGTCAGAGATTGTGATGTATAAATATTCCATACAGCATTAAAAATGTTGTCTTGAATGGAGCAGATATTCAATAAATGTTCATTTGAATAAATTAATGAACAAATGTTTAATGATTTTTTTGTGAGCCTATCATAAGAACACCTTTAACTTTTACCATTTATCACGTGAGATAGAAAACAAATTTTTACCCTCTGAAATAAAGCAAGAGCTAGAACATAACTAAGTAAAAGAGAAATACTCAAGACTGTAATTCAGTATCAAAAGGGAGTCGGACTTTTAGAGATTTGGAAGATTTAAGGTAAAATGTAAATAAAACTAGATTTTGAATTGTATACTGAAGTTAGCTATAATCTCTATAATTCATTCTAAATATACAAAACCTAGTAATTATTTATTCTACTACTGTCTTATGGCAAAACAAACAAAACAAAAACAGAACTTACTAATATTTATGGATAGGGCATTATATTTCTTTTGGGTGTTGTTCTTTTTTTTAAAGAAGACACATTTTGATTTTTGTTTTTAAGATTTTATTTTTCTGTTTTTCTCCCCAAAGCCCCGTCGTACATAGCTGTGTATTTTTAGTTGTGGGTCCTTCTAGTTGTGGCATGTGGGACGCCACCTCAGCATGGCCTGATAAGCGGTGCCATGTCCGCGCCCGGGATTCAAACTGGCAAAACCCTGGGCCACTGAAGCAGAGCGCGCAGACTTAACCACTCGGCTACAGGGCCGGCCCTGAGTTTTTCTTTTCTTAATTGGAAACAACCATTTCAATCAACCATTACAATGAATCCATTTAAAAAAAAACCCAATACCTCTGACAGATGAATGGATAAACAAAATGTGGTAAATACATACAATGGGATACATACAATAAATACATACATACATATCAATCTGAAAAAGGAAGGATATTCTGACCTGTGCTACAAACATGAATTAACCTGCAGGACATCATATTGAGTGAAATAAGCCAGTCACAAAAAGATAAGCACTGTATGATTCCACTTACATGAGGTATCAAAAATAGCCAAAATCATAGAAAGAGAAAGCAGAGTGGTGGGTACCAGGGGCTGGGAGGAGGAGGAAAAGGGGAATTATAGTTTAATGTGTATAGAGTTTCAGTACTGCAAGATGAAAAAGTTCTGCAGATCTGTTTCACAACAACATGAATATACTTAACACTACTGAACCGTACACTTAAAAACACTTGAGATGGCAAATTCTATGTGTTTTTTACCACAATCTTTTAAAAAATCAAGTACTCTTTAAAGAAGAGGTGTCTCTAAAGTCTGTTTTTCAACTTTACTTTTCTTACTCACGTTGTAAACTTACCATTGGTGGGATAACAGCAGCTCGATGCTGAAGCTGTGGCAGGTCCAGTGGATTTGGTTTTAGTGGGGATGAAACGAGTATAGATCCAGTGGGGTTTAACAATGAAGGCTTTGAGTCCATAGGAAACATTCTGCAATTGTCAATAAAAAATAAATTAATATATTCTTATTTAAGACTTTAAACATACAATCACCATAATTCCTTCTAAGTTAATACGTACATACATACACATACACACACACACACACACATCACATTAACCTTATAAGATATTTGAACAGTAAGGAAAAGGGTTATCTACAGTGCTGATTTCCCAGGTAAAGAAAACTAATACTGATTTATGGGTCAAAATTTATCTCAATTTAATCATCAACATTTAACCAACAAAATAGTCTCGGCAAATGCCATTGTAAAATGGTAGGTCCTAATTCACCAGCAACATAGGTTACAAACTAGTTACCAATATATTGTTATAGGATGTTTCACTAGGATCACAAAGTATATTTTTAAACATTTGAATAAATCACCACTGTTTTAAAACTGAGAATTTCACCCAAAATTCCAGATTCCTGGTTTCTCATGAAAAACGGAAAGAAATGGCAACACAGAACTAGCATTCTGGGGCCAGCCAGGTGGCGCAGCAGTTAAGTTCGCACATTCTGCTTCAGCAGCCTGGGGTTTGCCGGTTTGGATCCCAGGTGCGAACATGGCACTGCTCATCAAGCCATGCTGTGGCAGGCATGCCACATATAAAGTAGAGGAAGATGGGCACAGATGTTAGCTCAGGGCCAGTCTTCCTCAGCAAAAAGAGGAGGATTGGTGGCAGATGTTAGCTCAGGGCTGATCTTCCTCAAAAAAAAAAAAAAGAACTAGCATTCTCACATAGCAACAACATGCTGATATTAAAGATGTAGAAAATTGAAAGCATTATTTTGATAGTTTGGAAGTGATGTAGACTTTAGAGTGTCATTCAGAGACCACCATATATTTACAAGGAATTTCTGAATTTTAAGACTACTGTCACGCTCATCTCTTAGGATGCTCCCTTTTTAAGATTACTGCCATCTTAATTTTTCCTTAATTTATAAATATAGTTACCAAAACTAACAGTGCAAGATATAGAAAATCCTTATTTTAGATGAGATGTTTCATTAAGGAATGCTTAAAAAGGAACTACACAGCTTGAATCCACTTATGCTTACTCCAGTAAAAGTCTGAGACAACTAAAATCTAGATTATTGTGAGATGAGGGAAAAAGAGTGCTAAATGGTTGAATTTTCTGGAAAACCAATGGTTAAGTAGGACCTCTATTTTATTTCAATTCTTGTTGATAAAAATTCTAGTATCTATTATATACAAATCTCTTTGGAGATATCATCACTGTAATGTTCGATATTATTAGTCTAGTATCAAATCTCATTCTACAGTATGTAAGATACAAAACATACTGGATATGTACTGAAAGCACAGTGACACCAGGACACACCATGAAAGCTGAGGCCTGAACAGAATTCAGCAGTCTGCTGAGTAGCTTATTTGCCTCTTTCTTATTAAAAAGGGTGGTGGAGGGTGGGGGGTGGGGAACAGGACAGGGTTGAATTGGGTTTCTGATTAATGATGTTTTGGTCTAATTCACTTCTAGAATTTGCACCAATCTAACATTCTACTGTGATTCTAGGTGATTCCATTTCTTTCAAAGAAAAGGAAACATCCAGGAAATTAAACATATTAAATAAAACAGTATCTATCCCTGTAAAATATATATCTTTTTACTGCAATGTTTATAGAAACCATAAAGATATAATACATTTTATATTATTAATTTAATGACTAAAAGTACTTATAAATTAATTTGTATTATACCTAGTATTTTAAATTACAACGATGAATAATCTAAAATTTTAACTGATATAAAACAGTGATGATTATAATTACTATCAACCTGTATTTAAATTATGCTTTCTAAAATACTTTCAGAACACTTAACGTGTTTCTACTCTTAGCATTTTCTTGCATCTAATACCCAGGTACAGTAGGCATTGCTATGGGGCCGTTTGGTCTTAGAACAAACAGAGCTAGAACCAAGGCCTCTTGCCTCCACCTTCATCATCACATCATATTGCTTCCATCACCAGGAACAGCAGTTATCTGTGGTTTAGTCCACAACTTTGTTAGCTGTAATCTCCTTTTTTGCTATCATATAGAATGTATGTAACAACTGATAGAGACAAAATTATAATCTTTTTCATTAAAAAATAATGATCACACAATTGCTCCTGGTTATTTAACAGATGAACAGCATCATAAGCCAATATTAAAAGCATACAGACAATCTTTAACTTTCCAATATTTACACAGGAGTAATCTCTGCAGCCAGCACCACTCTATGACTGAGTCAGCAACCGCGAGAGTAAGGAGCGAATAATATTTAAGGAACAAGTCTCACCTCTGCCTCTCTGGCTCTCCATCCACATCTTCATCAGCACTGCAGGTGGCACTGGAATCATTGTCTGACTGGGGCTCAGGCCTTTGGGTATTTATTTGCTGAGCCACCACCAAATCTTCATCTCCAGGCTCTGTCTTCTCACTGGCTCTCTCCAGGTCTCCTTCTTTGGTGTCACCTTCAACTTCAGCTGGACTGTTTTCTGGGACCCTCACTTCAATGTCTACGGAGTCTGCCTTGGTAGTTGGGGGGAGATCAAGAACAGAAGTCACTGCAGCACCGCACTCCTGACGTTCGACATCCATTGGCTCCGCTGTCTCAACAGTGCCACTGTCATTCACCTGGGTCTCCACACTTGCATTTTCAGCTGCTTGTGTACTTGGAACTGCTGAGGAGGGAGATGTACTGGGTGCAGTGTCAGTGGTGGACTCGAGCTCAGCCACAGGTTCAGTGTTTCCTCGAGAAGTTGCATTTTCAGTGCTATCTTCGCTGGGCTTGACAGCTTCAACTGGTGAAGGAGAAGGAGCACTTTCTGTATCAGAACTATTTTCAGCACCTTGAAGATAATGATACAGCATAAAAATCTGATAATGAACATTTCAGATTCAGGTGGTGACAGAAGCCATGCTTGAAAGTAGTTGTTTAGGATGAACTATACTCCTTTGACGACCTCATTGAAGTATTACAGCCATTGGGAAAGCTAAAGTTTTTTACAGAGTATGAAAGAAAAGACCAAAATATCTTGGCCTTCTGCAATTGAAAGCATAAAAGCTTTTAATGTCTAAAAATAATTTATATGAAATTTGAAAAATGAAGAAAGATGGAAAAACAAAACTAAACAAAAACCATTCCCATAAATGGTAACATTCTGGTTTATTTCCACCAGCCTGTTTCTGTGCTTTTCTTTTCACCCAGGAGAGCTAACACTCTAGAACAGCACCGTCCAATAGGAACATAACACAAGTTACATCTGTAATTTTAATTTTTCTGTTGGCCATATTAAAAAAGGTAAACAGAGATAGGTAAAATTAATTTTAATAATACATTTAATTTAACCTAATGTGTCCAAAATATTATCATTTTAACATGTAATCAATATAGAAAACTGGTAATAAGACCTTTTACCTTTTTTGGCACCAAGTCTTCAAAATGTGATTATATTTCACATTTTCAGCACATCTCAATTTAGACTAGTCACAGTTCAAAAGCTCAATAGCCACATGTGTCTAGTGGCTACCAGATGGGACAGAAAAGCTCCAGAATGACATTATGCAGATTTTTATTGTGATGTTATAACACTGGTCTTGCCCTATAATGTTTGTATCATTTTATAAATATACTTTTAATGCTTTGATATCTTTACCTAGATATCTCAGAGGAATCACAAATTCAGTATGTATAACACTGGACTTGTTCTCAACACTCCCAAATCAAGTTCTTTCCTACTGTTTACTATCCAATTAAACAAACCAGAAACCTGAGAGGCATCTTTTAAACACTCCTCTCATTTATCCCCATATCTTATGTAGACAAGTCTCATAGATTTTTCTCTCTAAAAATATCCCTTGAATCCATCCACTTCTGTTCAACTTCACACCTGGCACTCTAGTCCCAGAACGACTCTTCTCATATTTTACCTCAGACCATTCTCTACAACAATTCCAGAGTGAGCTTTTTAAAAGTCAAATCTTACCAAACTCACTCATGCTCTCTCCCTCCCTCCTAACCCATTTCAAGGAACCTCATTACTCTTAGGATAAAGTTCCAAAATTCCGAGTACGGCCTTGTTACAAGGCCCAAGCTGGTGGACCTCTGCCAGCCCTTCCAGCTTTATCTTGCACCCTGTATTCTCTCTGTATTCCATTATCACCAGCTTTCTTTCAGTTTTGTGAATGCCCCATCGTCTTCTACCACAGACTTCATACATGCCATTCACTCTTACTGAAAGGCTCTTTCACCTACTTTTCCTTGGATATTAGATCAAATACCACATGCTTAAAAAAGCCCTCTTTCATTTCCTTAACTAAGTTAAATTTTGCTACCTTGGCTCTTACAGCACGTGTACTGGTTACAGTTACAACTTTACATTTATTCACAATTAGCTGTTGCTTCCACTAGGCTGTGAACAGCATAAGGGCAGGAAGCATACATCTCCCTATCATTTAAGTCCTAGTGACAAGCACTGTGCCTGGTACACTGCAGACTCAAACATTTGTTGAAGTGTAAAGTGATTGAATGGTTGTGAAGACGTCTTAAATTTACTTCATTTTTCTTCTATTATCGGATCCTTGGGCTACTTCCAATTTGGCACTGATACAAATAGCATACAGAGATGTTCACTGTAGCATTAAGTTTTTAGATTATTTTCCTAAAATAGACTATGAGACGATGTGAAAATTTAAATCTCCCTAAGATTAATATATATACCTCCAATGAGAATCCCTATGGTTTATAAGAAAAATTTCCTAAATGAGATAAACCAATTTATAGTTTACATGTAAGAATAAGTCCCTGAAAAAATCCAAAAGAATAATGAAAAGTACTAGAGTGAGAGAGATTTGCCTCTCCAGATATTTCAAGTTACTGTAAAGCCAATGTATTACATGTTTGGAACTGCCACATTGATAGACAAAATCAGTGAGTGGTACAGAAGACACTGTCTAGGAGTAGATCCTAAAGTACATGGTAAATTAATATATATAAAAGGTGATATTTTAAGTCATTGGGTAAAGGATGATTTATTTAATAAACTAGCTATCTCAAAGTTGGCTCTTTGTCTGGAAGGAAAATGTGGATCCTGTCTTACACTATACAGAAAAATGATTTCAAATGGAATAAAGATTATCAAAACTTTTAGAAGATAATTTAAGATATGTATAACCCTCAGGAGGTATGCAGAAATATCTTACGCAAAATAGGAAACTCTGAAGGTATAAACATATCATTTACATAGGAAACAATAAAATAAAAACTTAAATGACCATATGGGAAAAAATATTTTTAATGCATGACCTAATATTTCAAAACTCTACAAATTCATTCTTTCATTCATGCAAATATGTACCAAATGCCTACTGTGAGGGCAGTTGTTTGAGGTACTGGTGACATAATGAAAAACCTACGTTCGAATGGAGCTGACATTCTAGTGTGAAACACACAATGAACAATAAATACATGATATATCAGGTGGTAATAAGTGCAGCAAATAAATAACAAAACTGGGTAACCCGTGGGTAAGAGGTTACTGTACAGGTAAGGTGACATTTCAGCAGAGGCCTGGAGGAAACAAGAGAATGAGCCACAGGCACATCTTGGCAAAGAGCATCCTAGGCAGAGGGACTGGGAAGTGCAAAAGCCCTGCAGTGGAGTTGCTTTGCTTGGAAACAGCAAAGAGGACAGAGTGGTTAGAACAGAGTGAGGAATCACCTCACACCTGTTAGAATGGCCACTATCAGAAAGACAAGAAATAACAAGTGTCTGCAAGAATGTAGAGAAAAGGGAACCCTTGTGCACTAATGGTGGGAATGTAAACTGGCGCATCCATTATGGAAAACAGTATGGAGTTTCCTCAAAAATTAGAAATAGAACTACCATATGATCCAGCAATTCGACTTCTGGGTATTTATCTGAAGGAAACTTCTGGGTATTTATCCAAAGGAAACAAAAACACTAACTGGAAAAGATATCTGCACCCCCATATTCACTGTAGCCGTTCACTTGGCTGCTATTTACAATAGCCAAGACATGGAAGCAACTGAAGTGTCCACTGATGGATGAATGGATAAAGAAACTGTGGTAGGTATGTGTGTGTGTGTGTATAAAAAATGAATACATATATGAAAATGAAGTACTATTCAGTCTTGAAAAAGAAGAAAATCTTGCCATTTGCAACAACATGGATGGACTTTGGGGACATTATGCTAAGTGAAATAAGTCAGACAGAGAAGGACAAATATTATATGATTTCACTTAGATGTGGAATCTAAAACAATAACAACAAAAAAACAAACACACAGATACAGAGAACAGATTGGTGGTTGCCAGAGGCAGGAGGTAGGAAGTGGGCCAAATGGGTGAAGTTGGTCAAAAGATACAACAATCCAGTTATAAAATAAATAAGTCCTGGGGATGTAGCGTATAGCAGGATGACTATGGTTAAAAATACTGTATTGTATAATTCAAAGTTGCTAAAAGAGTAGATCTTAAAAATTCTCATCACAAGAATTATAACTATATATGGGGTGAAGGATGTTAAGTAGACTTAGCATGCAAAATTATCATTTTGCAAAACATACAAATATTATGTTGTTTATCTGAAACTAATATAATTATATCTCAATTAACAACAACAAAAAGGAATAGAGTGAGCAAACAGAAAAGTGGTTGGCTTTTCTGCAATGGAGAATTGCAATGGAGACGACAGTGGCTCAGAACCAGTGTAGCAGCAATGGAGGTAGGGAGATGAGACAAGATTCTAAATAGTGCATCCAAAGAAAGTCGACAACAATTGCTCATGGATCACATGTTGGGTACGAGAGAGAGTTACAAAAGTATCATTTACTGACCCAGGGAATGACTGAAGGGAAAAGTAGGTCCCAGTGGTGGGGAAACCAAAGTTTACTTTGGATGTTAAGTCTGCGATGGCTCTTAGGCATCCAAATGGAAATGCTGAGCATGCAGTTACATATATAAGCCTGGGAGTTCAGATGAGAGTTCAAGTCTCAAAAATAAAAACAAAATCAAAACAAAAGACAAAGACTCAGAACAGTACCTCACATATAGTAAGGTCTTAATATATGGTAGCAATTGCTGTTAGTGAAAGATGCTACCAAAATGTTGAAAGACTAACAAAAAGACTGACTCCATTTTCATTTCTATTCATACAATGATGGAAAACCCCCAATCCAAGGGCCAATTAAGTCATTTATCTCCAAAACACTGGAAGACATGTTAGTGATTATCCAGCAGCAGATATCATTTGATAAATGTACCTTTTCAACTATTTTCTTCCTCCAAGCCACAAAAGAGTAGGAATATTTCCAAGGCATAATGCTTCACCAAGCACCAGCCAAACCATGAGTGCCTTTTTTTCTTTTCCCTAAAAAAAAAAAAACCACCTCAAAAAATTATTTAGGGGGCCGGCCCTGTGGCTGAGTGGTTAAGTTTGTGTGCTCCGCTGCGGCAGCCCAGGGTTTCGCCAGTTCGGATCCTGGGCGCGGACATGGCACCGCTCCTCAGGCCGCGCTGAGGCGGTGTCCCACATGCCACAACTAGAAGCACCTGCAACTAAGATATACAACTATGTACGGGGTGATTTGGGGAGATAAAGCAGGAAAAAAAAAAGTCTAAAAGAATGATTTAGAACAAGAGAACAAGAATAAATCCAAATTTTGGTGAAGTTTCAGTCTTTCTGATTTAAGTCTCCTAACTGTGAAAGATATTCACACAGTCAGATGTGTCTTTTAGGACAGAAGGCACAGGGACTTCAGCAGGTGTCTTCATTCTCCCACGGGTAAGAGCCTTGCCACACAATAAACAGGGATTCTTGAGTGTCTCCTTAAACTTAGTAATCAGCATGAAATCACAGGTCATGTAAACTAGATTACTTTCTTTTTCTTTGACACTTTCCAAATGAAGTTGAGTCAAAAGGAAATGGAGATCCCTAATGGCAAGTTCATTTCCTATTAATAGGAAACTATTCTAGACACAACACAAGCATACGTATGAATGGGCATGATGTGACAATGCCACCCTACACTTGATCAGACAGAAACATTACTTTAATACCTCATTCTACCTTAATAACCTTATTTATAAGCTTATTTGAAAAAAGCTTCACAATAAGACAAAGTTAACAAGAAGAAAACCAAGGGACAAAGCCAGGTTTGGTGTTTGGTTTTGACACTGTTAGCCTGGGGACAGAGAGGATTCTCTATTCTAAAATAAACATATTTATGATAGTTAGGCTCGGGCTTTGTTATGGACTGAATTGTGTCCTCCCCAAAATTTGTATGTTGAAGCCCTAATCCCTAATGTGACAGTACTTGAAGAGAGTGCCTTTCAGAAGGTAATCAAGGTTAAATGAGATCATAAAGATGGGGCCCTAATCCAATAGGATTGGTGTCCTTATAATAAGAGAAAGAGACACCAGGAACACATGTACACAGAGGGAAGGCCATGTGAGGGCAAAAATGAGAAGGTGAGGGGCTGGCCTGGTGGCACAGGAGTTAAGTGCACACGTTCTGCTTTGGCAGCCCAGGGTTCGCCAGTTCGGATCCCGGGTGCGGACATGGCACTGCTTGGCAAAAGCCATGCTATGGTAGGCATCCCATATATAAAGGAGAGGAAGATGGGCACGGATGTTAGCTCAGGGCCAGTCTTCCGCAGCGAAAAGAGGAGGATTGGCAGCAGTTAGCTCAGGGCTAATCTTCCTCAAAAAAAAAAAAAAGATAAGGTGACCATCTGCAAGCCAGAAAGAGAAGTTCATCAGAAACCAACCCTGTCAAGCACCTTGATCTTGGACTTCCAGCCTCCAGAACTGTGAGAAAATAAATTTCTGTTATTTAAGCCGCCCCGTCTGTGATATTCTCTTATGGCAGCCCAAGCAGACTCATACAGAACACAGGCTTCACGTACATCTATAACCCAAGCTACCAGCCGCAAACCTACTAAAATTTAAACTCTGATGACTTATCTAGAAGTACCATCAATAGGCACTCCTGCCTTCAGCTGTTTGCAGCACTCTCATATTACCCAGGGGGAGTTTGCCCCCATGTTCTCTTTACTCTCATTTTTCACAAAAGCTCACAGAAAAAAGTTTACCTACTGTTGAAAGCCAAAACACATTTCAAGTCAAATTTCAAGTTTAAAAGCCAATAACAACTTATAGAAAAAAATCAAACAAAATCTAATATTTCTAAAACTCCTAGAAGGTGTAGAACTTCCTAAGCTTAAAATACAAGCGCCTACATAGGAAAATGAAAACAGCTCTAATTACATACAAAGTTTAAACTCTGGTAATTTAAAGATAAAACAAAAAGCAAAGGAGATGAAAAAAATATCTGAATATAGAAAACATGAACATATTTAAGATATAATACATAAAGAGCTACTAAAATCATTGTGAAAATCCCCACTTCACGTGCAGTAAATTTACAAAAGAAATCCACAGAAACTTTAATAGTAAGGTAAATTAAAATAAATTAGGGGGGCTGGCCCCGTGGCCGGGTGGTTAAGTTCGCGCGCTCCGCTGCAGGCGGCCCAGTGTTTCGTCGGTTTGAATCCTGGGAGCGGACATGGCACTGCTCATCAGACCACACAGAGGCAGCGTCCCACATGCCACAACTAGAGGAACCCACAACGAAGAATACACAACTATGTACCGGGGGGCTTTGGGGAGAAAAAGGAAAAAATAAAATAAAAATAAAAAAAAAAAGAAAAGAAAAAATTTAATTATAAAATAAATAAATAAATAAATAAATTAGGTACCTTTTTTTTCTTTAGCAAAAACTCAAGAAAATATTTACTTTTTTAGGAAGCTGTCATTAATCTGTTCAAGTGACAAAAAGGATTTTATTTTTTTTTCTTAAGTTCCTTGGGTTGACCTGTTTTCCTCACCAGGTCCTGTAGGGTCATTAATTCTTTTTACATGAAAATGTAAATATGACATATGTAAGCCTTTGTAAAAACTGAAATAAATCAAACTCAATGAAATAAAACAAAGTGGCAAATGTAATTGATGATACCAAATGAACAAATAAATGTAGCAGCAATATAGACATATAATTGATGCTGGCACTTAGTGCCTAAAGTGAGACTGCCATCGTCAAGATCTTGTGGTTGTGGCAACTGGACTGCCTCAGGTGTGACATGGACAAACATTTATTGACTGATTGAATAAACACATTGCATTCAAGTTTAAAGTCTCTATGCCATGAAAATACCGATAAACTATTTCTTTAATGAAGCAACTCCTAGTCAAATAAGCTAAAAATTACATATTTGGGCTAGCAGAAGTCACAATTAAATTTAAGATATGGAGATACCTTCACTGTCTTCTGGATTTTCTTCTTCATTGGAAGCTTCAATATCTTCATCCTCCTGAGCAGAAACAGTGGAAGCTACACTTTCACATTGAGACACATCTCGCTCTTCACGAGGCTTTCTTGAAGTCTAAAGGAGTAAAAAATACTAATTATGATTTAAATAACTAAAAGGAAAGAAACAAACCTTTTCATATCTGAAATAACACAGAACACTGATACGCACACACATACTAAACAAGAAAGCTGCGTGTTTGGCAACTGTTCTGGTTAAAATGCAGTTATCTCTAGGTTACCACTCACTGGCCCTTGCATGTGGATGGATCGCTTTCACTAAACTCATCGAAAGGCACATCTCTGTTCAATGCCTCTTAGAGCCTATATTTCACCAAATTTCAGCCGGCAGTCTCTCCCAGGAAGATTTCTCATAGAGAGGAAAATAAATTATTACTACCCCAACTGCTAAAAATTACCAATATTCTTCTTCTTTTCCTTAGTTTTTCTTAGTTACAACACTATTAAAAAGTATGCAAGAACCTAAAGAGCTTTTGTTCATGAGTTTTATATATAGAGATAGATATTTACTGTATCAGAAAATTACTGTATCATTTTAATTATTAATTCATTTAAAATAACAATAAACCCATTAGATATCAACAAAAGAACATATTTTTTAATAAAAAATAACTACTTTCCAAAACAAAAAAATAACAGTGAAATAGCACTGTTTTATGTTTTTGTAAATCTCTTTAATGTCTGCCTTGATAAAAAATAGCACACACCTCTGGGGCCGGCCTCGTGGCCTAGTGGTTAAGTTCACACGGTCTGCTTTGGTGGCCCAGGATTTCACCAGTTCGGATCCTGGGAACAGACCTACCACCACTCATCAAGCCATGCTTAGGCAGTGTCCCACATAGCACAACTAGAAGGATCTACAACTAGAATATCCAACTATGTAATGGGGGACTTTCGAGAGAAGAAGGAAAAAAAAATATTGGCAACAGATGTTAGCTCAGGTGCCAATCTTTAAAAAAAAAGACAAAAACAGCACACTTCTAAATAGCATGCTTCTACATGTAATCTAATCTATGGAGATAATACTGTACTGGTTGAAGTATACGGAAAAAATGTGGTCTCACAGAGACATGTAGTTGGAAAAGAGAAGTATATTTTAACAGTCTTTTCAGATGACTGTGGATATTATTCTTTGATACCAAAACTCAGCAAATAGCCATTTCTTAAAGGTTAGTTGCAATGGGAAATCTGAAACCCTATCAATAAATTTCTTGTACTCTATTAAAATCCATTCGTCTATCTTACACTTTATTATTTAAAAAACATATTAAAAAACACTTCCTGAATATTTTATCCATCTTGATATCCATTGTGACATCATGAATTTGTCATCTGAAAAATACTGAGCTATACAGATTTTTAAAATTTGGATATATTTCATTATATAATACATCAAATTAGCACATTAGTTATTATTACCACTGATCTCATCAAAAAAGTCTTTTGAGTATTGAGAAGATGCTAAGCTCATGATAAGGAATACACATTTTTCAAAATTCTAATTTTTGCTTGAAAGCTCAAAATTTCAAAGTAGTAACAATACTATTGGTTGTTTTCTTCAAAGGACAGGCTCGTTCATTTTCAAGAAAATGTCTGCCAAATATCCAAATCTGAAAAACCAGTTTGTCTGTCTGTCATCCTTCCAATTAAAAAAGATATTCCATGAAAAAGGGGAGGCTGGTTAAGCTTTGGAACTCCAACAACTGCAAAAGTACTTTTCCTTGAGAGAAGCGTCGTACATTGGTATAGAGCAGAAGGGCTTTATGCACACTTCCCATTTATCACAGACATGTACTCAAGGGTCAAGATATAGGAAAGCTAATTTTTTTTTTTAAAGATTTTATTTTTCCTTCTTCTCCCCAAAGCCCCCTGGTACGTAGTTGTATATTTTTAGTTGTGGGTCCTTCTACTTGTGGTATATGGGATGCGGCCTCAGCATGGCTTGATGAGTGGTACTAGGTCCACACCGAGGAACCAAAAAGGCGAAACCCTGGGGTGCCGAAGCAGAGCGCATGAACTTAACCACTTGGCCACAGGGCCAGCCCCTAGGAAAGCTAATTTCTATTGCTTCATCAAAGACTTAAGAGTTTAAGTGAAACTGGTATTTTTTTTTAATGCAAATGCTTGGAGATGAAGAATTCATTGAGTACTTAGCACAGTGGTACCCTGCCACCATTCATGCTAAGGCACCAGCATTCTCACTCACTACAATTGTTTTGTGACATCATTGATGCAAATGCCAATACAGTAGAAAAAAGTAAATAACATCTTAATATTTCTATGAAAATAGTTTTGACCTCACAGAACCATCAAAGAGCTCTCTGGACTTTGAGAATATTGGAATCTCCTGGTTAAGGAATTTTCAATAATCTTATACTTTCTGGTTTTTAGTATTTATCTCATGGAATCTTTCTTGCTGAGAAAATGTTTTCTAATATGCCAGATCAACTCATTCAACACTGTTAAGAGAACTACAACTAAATCTTTCAATTCTAACTTTAAAATGCTTATATTTTTCAAATTTAGTCTACAGTAATTCGAATGTACTGAATTCCCATTTCTACTAACAGAAATTTTATTCCTTGGGCAGTAAATAGAGAAATAGTCAAGTTGTACCAAGAAACTAGCATATCCTTTATAGGTAAATACAATAAATAAAAATATAAGATACAAAAAAGTTTCTCTCAAAACCAATCTTTGAACCTCAAAAAAAAAACTAAAGAAACAGTAAGTAAAAGATTCACCACCCCTAATATACTCACTTTCTGTTTATGCTGCTGCAAGAGGTTGTCAAGATTGTGTCGTCTTTTATAGTTAAAATAGAAGTTTTTACACTGAGCTTCACTTTTAGTTCCCACCATCTTGGCAATTGCTGCCCAGTTACGACCATGTTCTACTAGACCTATATTTTAAAAACAGACCAAACATTAACTGAACAGCCACCTGATAAAGCAAACAAGAGAAATAATAAAATCAACTGAATCACTGAATTCACAATTACTAACACTAAAAGTGTGCTTTCAATTATTGCTTGATATACTGCAATACTTATTGCAATATGTATTGCCACAAAACTCACTGAGAGCTCTATTTTTCCACCCAAATTTAAAACATGCTCATTAATGGAAGGGCTCAACCTTATCCTTGTTAAGAATCTCCCAGAGGGCTAGGACAATGGTTGGACACATAGCAACAGCTCAAACACTTGTAAACTGAATGACTAAGTCCTTCTAAATCTTTGAAAACAGTATATCAATATAAAGTTAATAAGGTAATCAAATATAAATGATTAACACAAAGCAAAAATATATAAAGACTCCATTTATAATCAGCATGTCTTGAGTTCATTCACAATCAAGGAACGCCTTGAAAAAAATTAACCAGTTTAAAAAAAAATCTGTTGTAATGCAATGCATCACAGAAACCTATGCAATCTGACACTTCTTTAATCAAATAATACATGTATGCACACATCTACACACATACACATATGTGCAAGGAATATGGGTATATAAATGCATATATACATAGAGCTATACAGAGATATAATTTAGATACAGGTGTATTCAAGAAGGAATTTCTAGTACAAATTTAACGACGGGAAAACATGTTTTTCAAGGTTAATAGAACTAGCTTCCTTAATAATGGTAATCGGAAGATTACTTCCAAATCCTGTGTGATATATGAACAAGAGATGAAAAGAGCGGTGACTAAATACTAATATGTAGGTATACTTACCTGAAAAAGATCACTTTATGATATAGCTAATATCTACTTGATGATCAGATGAGAATAAATGTGAATCTTTTAAAAAGTTATACATGTAATTATGACAAATCACAAATTTGCTAATCATGGCAAATAAACCTGAAATAAAAATATTTTGAAGGCTAAACACTTTCAACTGCTACATTTTTGGTAAAACTGGTGTATATGGTTCTTAAATGTATCACTCATTATCAGCTAAACAGAAAATAAATCTGAAATGTGTCACTAAAATGTCAAGCTATTTACAATAATTTCTCTTTAGAACTACAAGATAAATACTTAATTCCCAAAACCATTAGTTAATCCTTCTCAAAATTATTTTATTTAAAAAATAAATTATTTTTTATTTATAAACCAATTATTTATCCTATTAGAAATTTTAGTTCAATTTCAAATTATACTATATTAACAAGCAACAACAGAAAAATATAAAATTCATAATGTTCCAGAGTAAGATCAAGGCCATTGAGACAGACAGGACTCAAATCTTTGACTATCTGGCTACAAAGTTCATGTTCTCTCCTTTGAATTGCAGTGCGATTTCTTAATAGTTTATAATCAAATACCTTACCAAATGCAAACTGAGAAAGTATTTACCATTCTATTAAATGCAACTTTTAAGTAATAGAAATATGGGCTTTTTATATCGAAATACCTTCCAAAAGAATTTTACTAACATTTAATCATAACTATTCTGGAAAAGTGAAAATCGCCTACTTCTAATAAAATGACATTCAAAATAAAACTGTGGAGAGAATCTTAAAACCATGGAAAGACGACTTCCTAAACAAGGAACACAGGGGTACCTTATTGGGTACCACATCAAAAAGAACTCTTAAGTTTACCTCTAAATTCTATTTACCATTGTCGAAGAACTTTCTTTTCTTTCAATTAAAAGAAATTTAATTCCATTTCACTCATCACTAACAACCTTAAAAAAGAAAGAAAACAAAAACAAAAAAACCTGAACTACTATCAATTACCTTTTTTAGCAACTTCCATTTCTTCTTCTGTCCATCGAGAGGTTTCTACAGGCTCTGTAGAAACTGAAAGAGAGAGAGAGAACCCAACAAGGCACAGAAAAATTAGGTTAAATCCTTCATTCGCAGTTTATACGGCACCAACCCATTTAATAACTCTAACCTATTTCTCTGACATAAAGTCTGTCTAAAGCATTAGATGAAAGAAATTACAACAATAGGATGGTATCAGACTCTCCCCGATAAACTAGAGGGGAAAATTTAACACTTCTCAGTGTTATGGTCTTTCTGTCAAGTTCCAGCCACATCACGTTTGAACACTGTTAGTCTATTTTCTAAGCACCTTGGTACCTTCCACTTACCAGATCTCCATCCCTCCTCTCCTGAAGTGTCAAAGGAAGAAACCACCCTCCCTCTTCCCACCAGGCACAGTTCTCTCCTGTTCTCTACAGCTCCATATCCTCCTAGCTCCTGGAGGCCCTTATGTTCATCTTCAATGCCCGACATCTAGTAAACACAGATGGATCACGAACTGAACACTTTCTCTTTTACTTTAGAAAGGAAATTGAGACTATAAGGCCTGAAATGAGCTCCTGCTATATTCCTTTTCTTAACCAATAGCACTGCCATCCACCCAGTCACTCAAATTATTAACAAGATCCTCAGACTACTTTTTGAATCTGTCAACTAATTTTTTAATCCTTCTTCCCATTTACCACTTACATCCAATGACGTGAGTCAATTCTAATCTTCTGAATCCATTCTCTCCTTGCGTGGGCCACTGCTTGCTTAAAGATGCCCTTCTAACTGCCTCCAGCCCTTACTCTCTCTAACTTGTCCTCCACAACTATCACCAAAATTATCTTTCTAAAACACCAATCTAATGTTAGCACTCCTCTATTTAAAAATCTTCATAAGCTCCTCACTCTGTTAAGTAAAGTAGGATATAGTTCAAACAAGGTCCATCATCATCTGCCCCCCATCTACTTGTCTAGCTATTTCCCTCACATCATTCTTGCCATTCCCAGAGCTTGCACTTTCTTTCATAGTTCATGTTATGGCAAACTTGGTACCACTGAACCACCAATGGTGGTACTCATCATTGACATAATCCCTTTATAAACGAATGAGACAATACTTAGTGAGAGAAAAATGCTTGGACACCTAGACCCGATATTCCCTTGTCTAAGAATTTATTCCTATGAAAAATAATTTAACAGAAAGAAAATGCTATGTGAATAAAGATTCTTTTTTTTATTACACTGCTATCCATATTCGTTTAAAAGCGGGGGAAGGGATAGCCTAATCATTCAGCTATAGGGAATGGTTCAAGAAATTATGCCTCAGGGAACACAATACCAACATTTCACAGTTATCAAAAAGTAAAAATTAGAAACGAGAAAATATTCCTGATACATGCCAAGTTAAAACATCAGAAAACAAAGTGGCACACACACTAGGATTACAACTAAGTAAAAAGAAAAACAGCTGTATTAGCACAAGACTGGGGCTGATGTTCTTTTTCCAAAGATTTTGAAATTAAAGTTTAAAAATTTTAAAGACCAGACTTTCAGATTATTTCTAGGTTGTCAGTATCAGAGGTCCCTCCTGCCCCACCCTAGCACTGAAACGGAATCCCAAACAAAATGATGGCCTGTCCACTCCAATCACATCCACTCACTGGGTTCTGGTGGCGGTGGCAGAGGTGGTGGGGGCTCCTCAGTGGCCGCTGCAGCTGCAGCACTGGCAGCCGCTGCTTCATTTGTCATAGACCTGGTGATCCGGCCCTTCCGGCGGCCCTGACTATTGGCAGTTTTTCGCCCCCGGGGTGTGGCCTGTTCTCTCTCCTCAGTTTCCTCTGCTGTACTTTCTGTCTTGTCCCTTTCCTTGGTATTTTCTCTGAGAACAAAAGCAAATGAAAATTTCGTGTGATTTAAAAGTATACACATATCAAAAAAGATTATAGCTTTGAAAATTCTTTAAATAGAAGTTGAACAAAACTGCCCAATCTCTCAGTTACTTAAAACAAACTTTATGAAAAATTCTGTCATGCTCCGATTTTAAAGAGGATTTGACTGGCTGAAATTAACATATGTCACAAAGGCCTGTTTTATTCGTTAATGGACTTCAAATTTAAACACATTTCAAATCCCCTGACTTGGAGATTTACAAGAACACTCTATGAGAAAGCACTGAATGGCAGCAGGAAAGCCCCTAGACCAGCAATCCAGAGGCAGAGGGGTACACCAAAAGGCAGGAGTCCTGGATTTCTTGCCTTTGCTCCCACATAAGTTTTCTCCTCTGTAAAACAAAGAAGCTGAAACAGATGCTGTCCATGACAGATGCCCTTTCTGTAGTAATCACCTACAACATTGTTTTATTAAACCAGGCTCAATATTCTCAATCACCTCCAGTATTAATAATGTGCAAACAGGGCAGTATTGCCTAGTGGTTAGCAGAACGGCCTCTGGAGCCAGGCTGTCTGGGTTCATACCAGAGCTCTGTGATTTACTAGCCAAGTGATGACCTTGGACAAGCTCTCTCACCTCTACCTCAGTTTTTCTCATCTGGAAAGTGAGGATAATAATAGTGTATGTCATAGGGCCGTCGCGAGGACAAAAGAGTTAACTTATGTAAAATGTTCAGAACAGTGTCTGGAACATATCAAGTATCATACGCATTTGCTATCATTAAGGCTAAACCTCCACGCTATAAAGTACTTATCATAGTCTCAAGCACTTAGGGAAAACTATCAATAAATGGTCATTACTATTAACAGCAATAGTACCACATGTTATCTGGAAGACTATTCTCTGTACTACTTATCTCCCAGAGTTGTAATATTTAAAAATAAGGTGCTTAATGTACATTTTTGCAAATGAATGGATAGATAGCAATACTCAAAGACTCAACTATTCTTGCATAATTCAAGGTGTTGATTTTTTTTCAAATTTTATCTACTTCAAGTAAAGACCTGTTGTGGCTTATCAAGTTATAGTTTTTTTTTTCCAAAGTTAAAAAATGCTTCAAGAATAATTCTTTCCCTTTCAGTTATAAATTACCCTTAAGTTACCACGTATCTCTCTTCCTTCACTTCTTTATCCCCTTACCAATCTGACTACTACTACAGCCTCCTATTAAAGACGTTTTGCCAAAAGTCACCAATGACTTACAAACTGCAAAATCAAATGACCTTTTCTCAATTTGCATCACATTACTCTTTCTGCTACAACTGACACTGTGACAATTCTTTTCATATCCATCTCAACTAAGCTTTTAGGACTTCACATTTCCTTAATATACCTACTGCTATTCGGGTTCTCCTTCTGGGGATTGCCTTTTTCCTCTCAATCCTTTAATATAGGGATTTCCCAAGGCTTACTCTGGCCTTAAAGCTCTGTGAGGTTACCCATTCACATCAATTCTACAGGAAAGACTCCCAATCTATATCTTGTCTTTTTTTTTTTTTTTTAAAGATTGGCCCTGAGCTAACATCTGTTGCCAATCTTCCTCTTTTTTCCCTCCCCAAAGCCCCCCAGTACATAGTTGCATATCCTAGTTATAGATTCTTCTAGTTCCTCTATGTGGGACGCCGCCTCAGCATGGCCTGATGAGCAGTGCTAGGTCCGTGCCCAGGATCTGAACCCACTAACCCTAGGCAGCCGAAGCGGAGCAGATTAACTTAACCACTTGGCCATGGGGCCAACTCCCCAATCTATGTCTTTAGACGTGTACCCCATCTCCTAAATCTCCTAAGATCCAAACTTGTCTTCCCAATTACCAGCTGAAATTACCACTTGGATTTCCCATCTATACAACTCAACATATCCCAAAATATGCTCATCCTCACTACCCTGCTTCTTGCTCGACCTCATTCTCTAATTTCTTGTTAACAGTATCACCATGTTCATAATTACTCAGGATTACAAATTTGACATCATCTTTAGCTCTTCCCTTTTTTATTCATTTCCTATATGTGATCTAATGCCAAGTTTTGGTTATTTCATCTCGGTAATATTTCTCCGACTACTTCTACCATCTCTACTTCTACTACCACTGTATTTATTCAGCGCCTTAGTACTCCAATCCCAGTCTTTTATAGCAGCCTCCTTGACTCTTATATCTCGATACAGGATACTGCCAGTGGATCAATATTCTAGTAGAACCTCTTTGGCAATAAAACATTCCATTTATTCCCCACCTATTCCAAACAGACCCATACAGCCTCCTGAATGATGTCTACATGTTAGCTTTCATTAAGGCTTTATATAATCTAACCTCAGTCCACCTTCCACTTTTCTTCTGGCCCTCTAAGTTCTAGTCTAAAGAAACCATTATCTGCCCTTTCTCCAAGCAGCATGTCCATTCATGCTCTTGCCTCTATTCTATCCACATTAACCACTGGCTCCTGCATACAGTCCTCTAAACTATCCAGAAAGAAGTAAACCTCAAACTCTTCTCAATCACTCTGCTCATTTCTTCCAGGCTCCTTTCTGCCGGATCATAAACTACCTGGAAGAGCACATATCTCACGCATTTTTGCATCCTCCGTAACACCCAGCTCACATCGGTAATAAACAAATGCTTGTTAAATAAATTAAAGATTTTAAGAAAAAAGTAAAATCAAGATATGGCAGTTCCATGAGCAGAACCACTGAGCAGATGGGAATATAAATGCTTTAAACTGAACTAAAAAATTAAAAATTTAAACAGATATCTTCCTAAAATACAAAATTAGACTGGCATGAGTATCCAACTCTTTAGAAACCATATCAAGTGATCTGGGCTGCCTCAGTTGCCATCAAACTAGATAAACCTTCAGTCTTTCCAAGAGGATTATAGAAGTAAAACAATAAGTATCAAAAAGGAATAAACTACTGATACATGCAACAACCTGTATGGATCTCAAAGGCATTACACTAAGTAAAAGAAGCCAAGCACAGAATATTACATACTATACAATTCCATTTATAGGAAATTCTAGAAAAGGCAAAACAGATTAGCAGTTGCCAGAGAGTGGGAATGGGGTGAAAGAAATTACTGCAAAGGAGGTTATGGGAACTTTTTGAGGTCATAGAAATGTTCTACATCACAACCGTAGCAATGGCTATACCACTGCACACTCCTGTTGTAATAGATCAACATATATGCTTAAAATTGGTAAATTTTCTTCTATGTAAATTATGCCTCGATAAAGCTAATCCTTAGGGGAAAAACAACCAACCTAGCTGCTAAGCCCCCTACACCACCCTGCCACAATATGTACACAAAGGCATCAACAGTAGCTGCCTCTGAGTGGCAGAATCACAGGTTAATTTTCTTTATATTTTGCTTTCTTTTCCTGATTTTCTATAATGAACAAAAATTACTTTTATAACCAATATAATAGCAATAACCACAAATAAACCAGGAACTCTATTTTCATAACGAAAAATCAATAAAGCTGGAATATAAGGTATTATATAAATGAAAACCATTTATCAGCATTTTTACATGAATGTACACTATCTGAGGTTCAAAAAAATATCCTGCGGTATCTTCCAAATCAAAGATTAAATTATATTCAATATATCTCAGGGATGAGTGTATATTATCGTAGCCTACCCCTTCTGAAAAACAGTATCTCATGTCTGGCAAATAAGTCCATTAAGCCAAACGTTATAGTTACTGGAATATTCCATTCCTTAATTACATCAAATAGCTATTAGATGGTCAAAGTACACCTCCCACTGATTCTTTTATCTAAAATTTTATACCTTCAATAAATTCAATTTCATTATTTAAAACTAACTATAACATTTAACTATTTAACTCACTTAGAGTCCTCTTTTTCATCTTTTTCTTCTTCATCTTTCTTTTCCTCTTCTTTTTTTTCTGTTTTTTCCACTTTATCTTCTTCTTTTTCTTCCACTTTTTCTTCTTGTGAGGGTCGGGCAATTTGCTGCTAGAATGAACCATCATTAGTAAAATTCAAACGTAAAAGAAATAGTTCTTTAAATTGTGACGATGAATTATAATAAATATCTAGGCAAAAAAATTAAATAATTAACTTATTAATAATGTATAATGTAATGTATTAAAAATTAATCTAATGCTCTTTAATGTATTCTATATATATTGCTTAAAAGGTCACACACACAAACACATACAAATGCTCATAGTGTTCAGACCCATCAAAGAGGTGAAAATGTTAATACTCCAGTTAGAAATCTGCAATTGGAGGTCAGTTCTCTCTTTTTTGTAATTCCCACATCTAATCTGTCACTCAAGCATTTCAATTCTACCTTAAAATTTGATAATCTACAATTCACCAAACCATCCTTCTAGCATTAGATACTTAATATGTTCCCAATTTTTTCATCATAATGTATAATACTACAAGAAATATCTTTACACTTTTACTCTTGGTGGACCATTTATTTAATGGAATAGTAGATAGCTATGGTCATTATCAAGAGTGAAGCAATTTGGAAAAATACTAAAAATAAAATGAAAAGAAGCAAAACATTAAAATACTTCTAAGCTGTAATTACAACTATGTAATTCTAAGTAGGTATACGAATAAAGACTGGAAGAGAGGGGCCGGCCCCGTGGCCAAGTGGTTAAGTTCACGTGCTCAGCTTTGGCGGCCCAGCGTTTCGCTGGTTTGGATCCTGGGCGCGGACGTGGCATCGCTCATCAGGCCATGCTGAGGCGGCATCCCATGTGCCACAATTAGAAGGACCCAACTAGAAGGTGCTGCTCGACTCACCTAAACACACCTAGCATTTTCATGCCTTTGCCTGGAACACTGTTTCTATCCTTCCTTGCCTAGTAAGCTCCTACACAGCCTCTGTGATTCAGTGCAAAATGGTCTATGTCCTGTGAGGCTTTTCTTGATTTCCGTAGAGAAGCTCCAGGCGCTGTCTCCCTACCTTTCCATCTGCACATCTCCATCTGCTTGCAGCACTTATCACAGGGTGGTGTAGTATCTGGTTATCAGCATCTGTCTGGCTCACTGTATTATAATCTCATCAAGGACAAGGACCCAATCTTAATCATCCAAGTATCCCCCATTCCTAAGAGAACATCTGGACCATGTGTTGGATATAGCAAAAACCAAATTTCTTTATTCTGGTTATTTGAAAAGCTTTTGCCCTCCCACCTCAATCTTTCATTCTGATCCAGGTTAATGTCCATCTTGCCTTAACATAACTCTACCTGTCCTCTTACGTGTTCCTTTCACCAGACAACATGAAGGACTCATTTATTCAAAGTAAAATTTTCCTTAATTCTTAATAGCATCTCAAAGTCTTTTACCTACTCACCAAAACTAAAATCTGGCTTTTTTTCTTAAGATAGTAAACGTCTTATTGGACTCTCTAAAAGAAGTTCCACATTATTAAGGAAAGTTTCCTTTTCTTCTGGATATTTACTATTACTAGAGAAAATAAGAAATCAGGAAGGTTTTCAAGTGTATACTTTCCAACCATGACTAGATCTGCTTTACAACTGGGAATGTTTATTTTATTAATCTCTAACTGACTCTCTAGCACACCATAGTGGTCACAAGACCTGCTTCAAATGTTAATAGCTTCACCCCAACCCCCACAACAAATGTAGCATCCATCTATCATTCTGAACCAACAAGATGGCATACCAATGACAAACTCTGCCCTTTGCCTAGCAAGTGGATTGCTATAAACCACAAAAATGGTTTATAGCCCTAGGAAATGATGGGTAGGTGTCAACTCAGCAGAAGGTAAGTAAAAAGGTTCACTATTCCCTTAGATATGGACAATACATATAACCTTATTTCCCTAATACTTTTCTGCTTCTAATATTAACCAGGGTTTTGAAGAAAGTAAGCGATTCCACACATTCCCTGCTGCCTAAAATCTAGCCAACAGCTGACTTTACCCCCACCTTCCATAGTGCTGGGGACTGAGAAACAACTGTAGCACCTGCTTCAATCAGTCAATGGGAAGAAAGGGGCAAGATCCCTTCTGAAGCACAGCTCCCAGTTCTGCAGAGGGTGTGGAAGTGATCCAAAAAAACTGATGGAGTTGCTGGGTAGAGTCTGTAGAAGTGTGTGACACCTCCAGAGCAGAACCTCTCACACGCTATCCAGGAGGCACTCATGCTGACTGGGCAGCAGTGAATGGAGAGGAACGCTAGGGAGGTCAAAGAGCACAGCCAGCACTATTGGGGGATACACATCAAGATCTATTGTAACGACCTCCACTGACATTAAAGAGAGTAAGGAATAACCTCTAGTTTTAACAACTAGAGTGGTTGGAATTCCTTTTGCTTCAGGCAATCCGCAAAGAGAAGTGCCAATCCCCATGGTCTAGGATGGAGGCTATAGGTTACATCCCCCAGAACCCTATTAGTGGGCTGGCTGGAGTAGAAGGTCATAGTTTCAAAAGGAAACTCTTCAAAAGGTCCCCTAGTAGACACAGGCATTCCCAATAGCTTCTTCTTCAGGTTTCTCCCTCCTTAAGCCCAACATTTGATAGTCAATAAAAAAAAATTTCATTCTGTTAGAGAGGTTCTCATAACACGAAACATTTCTATCAAACAAGCTATTCACTATGAATGCAAGAGCACATTATTAAAAAAAACAAAAAATTTCATGAAAAAAGTGAAAGTTATGTGTATTTCATAATGATAAATGAAGAAAAGAGACAATTTCAGCAGCGTTCTCTATAGCAAGATCCAATAACAGTCTATGCTGAGATGTATTACCACTATACCTAACGGAATATCTAACACACATTTACACATTCTATTTAAATTTGTTAAACTGCTCAAGTCTTTGGAAAACAGATAAATAAATGAATTCCCACCAAGCACACAATGAAGTTGCCAAGAAATAAAATGACTAAATTTAAGAACAAGCAGCACGGGGTAGGCCCTGTGGCCGAGTGGTTAAGTTCACGTACTCTGCTTCGGCAGCCCAGGGTTTCGCCGGTTTGAATCCTGGGCGCAGACATGGCACTGCTTCTCAAGCCATGCTGAGGCAGCATCCTACATGCCACAACTAGAAGGACCCATAACTAAAAATACACAACTACGTACCGGGGGGCTTTGGAAGAAAACGGAAAAATAAAATCTTTAAAAAAAAAAAGAACAAGGAGCTACAGCTAACTAAAAATGTACAAGAAGCAGAAAGAATGAAATACTACTTCAGCCACTAAATGTTTTTAAAAAGTACTTTAGGCAGTAAATAGAAAATATCTTATGCCTAGCTTATCAAAATACATTGATAACCAATGCCTTTAAACCAACTGAATTTGAGACTACCATCCTACAGAATGAAAGCTGTCAATCACCCAAAAACACCATAATAAAGGAAATGAAGGTAATAGCTGCTACCATTTATTGGGCATGCCATATGTGCTTGATGCTACACTCCAGGACTTCACACACGTAACTACTTCTCATGTTAACCCTGCAAGATAAGTATAACTGCTCCCACTCTCACAAATGTGGAAACCAAGGCTCACCAAGGGAGGGACACGTCCAGGATAACACAGATACAAACGGGCAGAGAGCGTTTTGTGTTCTAAAGCTCTATTATATTCAATTTTTCACCTGTCTAGAAAATTCTTTCTAACTAGTGTCTAGCTAACAGTTTAATCAGAAACTCTTCCAACGTCAAAAATTACAAAACCATACGCTTTCTGAATAGCTTTGGGGAATAAGAACATGCTGGCAAGATGTTGTCAGCATGAAGGAAGAGTACAAATTCTTGTGGAAAGTAATCAACTATTTGGAAATGAAGAATGTGGTTTCTAAACAGTGACTTGCATTATTGTAGGTCACTAGCAGGTACCACAGCAATTCTATCTGCATGGTGACAGATTAATTAGATGGGAGTATACCAGGGAGAATAAAAGGAACTTTTTACTCCTAACAAAAATGTTACACATAGAATCAAATTACTACTCGGCATGTTATTTATAATTCTAGATCTCAAATAAACACTGAAGACTGGCTTTGAGCTTCCAATCTTTGATATGTATTCACTATTTCCAATAAAATTTATAAGGAACCACACTCACTCTTGTCATAGGATGCTAGTAAGTTAAACTATAAAAGTGGTTTGAGCAGTACCTAGCAGGATTTTGAGAGAAGAGTTAAAACTTTTGCCAACAATAATCTCTGAGCACAACTCTAACAAAAATAAGATCTGCAGTCTCATTTTCCTATGATTCTAAGTTTAAAAATCATTCTCAGAGTAAATAATATCCAAGGTTCCCAATCGGCAACAGCCGGTTAAAACTCAAACCTCACAAATTTGCAATCTTTCAATCAACAGCATAGTATATATTCACCTGCTGAATCAAAATTACTTCCTATGGGTAAAACATTGGGAGTGGGGAATAGGAGAAGCAATCAAAAAAAACTGAAAGGATCAAGCATAGACTTCAGCAGAACTCAACAGAGTCTTGAAATAAATTTACCCTAATAGCTGTGGGATTACCTGAGGTAATTCCTACTGATTCAAATTTGATTAGATAATAGAACACTAAAGTGATTTTCAAATTAGTTGGATCTCTATATCCGCCAGGGTAAAATCAAGACACACTGATTTTAAAATTCTCAATTTGTAACTAGGTTCTTTTTTTAAAAAAAGTCTTTCTGAACTTTGTCCTATGCGGCAAATTCTAAATCCAACACAAATCTTTTTCCTCAACTCCAGACATATATCTAACTGCCTACTTTACATCTCCACTTGGATGTTTAACAGGTATTTGAAATGCAGCATATTTCAATTCTGACCCCCAAATTTGCTCCTAGTTCATAGTCATGCCTATTGCAGGAAATGGCAACTCCACAAGCCAAAACCTGGGTTATCTTTGATAACGGTCCTTCTCGCATCACTCATAATCAATCCATCAACAAAACCTCTTGACTTTATCTTCAAAAACATATCCACAAATTGACCAGTCCTCTCCCCCACCCTCCTACAACAGCCTTGTCCAAACCACTAGGATTATTAAAATAGCCTTTTACCTGGCTGGCCTGCTTCTTCCTTTGCCTTCCTTACAGCCTAGTTTCAATAGACCAGCCAGAATGATCCTATCACAACTAAAATCTGATATCACTCTTCTGCTTCAAAAGTCCAATGGCTTCTCCTTTCATTTGGTATCAGCTCTAATGTCATTCAATTCTATATAAGAGAGCCCTCCCAATAAAATGAGCAAAGAAAGAAAGTACCTCAACATAATAAAGGCCTTTTATGACTAACCCACAGCCAACATCATACTCAATGAGACAAAACTGAAAGCCATGCCTCCAACAACAAGAACAAGGGTGCCCACTCTCACCATTCCTATTCACTGTAGTACTGCAGATTTTGGCCAGAGCAATTAGACAAGAAAAAGAAACAAAAGGGATACAAATTTGAAAGGAAGAAGTGAAACTCGTGTTGTTTGTGGACGGCATGATTCCATATATAGAAAATCCTGAAGAATCCACCAAAAAACTATTAGAAATAATCAACAACTATAGCAAAGTTGCAGGGTACAAAATCAACCAACAAAAATTAGTTGCATTTCCATACACTAATAACGAACTAACAGAAAGAAAGCTCAAGAATACAATTCCATTTACAGTCGCAACAAAAAGAATAAAATATCTATGCATAAATTTAATCAAGGAGTAAAAGACCTATACAAGGAAAACTAAGATATTATTGAAAGAAACTGAAGACATAAAGAAAAGGCAAGATACTTCATGCATATGGATTGGAAGAATAAACATAGTTAAAATGTCTGTATTACCTAAAGTAATCTAAAGATTCAACACAATCCCAGTCAGAATCCTAATGACATTCTTCATGAAAATAGAACAAAGAATCCTAAAATTTATACGGAACAACAAAAGACCCAAATAGCCATGGAAATCTTCAGAAAAAAGAGCAAATCTGGAGGCATCAGAATCCCTTACTTCAAAATATATTACAAAGCTACAGTAATCAAAACAGCATGGTACTGGTACAAAAACAGGTACACAGATCAATGGAACAGAATTGAAAGCTCAGAAATAAAACCACACATCTAAGGACAGCTCATCTTTGACAAAGGAGCTAAGAACATACAATGGAGAAAGGAAAGTCTCTCCAATAAATAGTGTTGGGAAAACTGGAGAGCCACATGCAAAAGAATGAAAGTACACCATTATCTTTCGCCATACACAAAAATTAACTCAAAATGGATCAAAGACTTGAAGGCAAGACGTGAAATCCTAAAACTCCTAGAAGAATATATAGGCAGTAGTACACTCTGACATTGATCTTACAAGAATCTTGTCAAATACCAGGTCTACTCGGGCAAGGGAAACAAAAGAAAAAATAAACAAATGGGACTTCATCAAACTAAAGAGCTTCTGCAAGGCAAAGGAAACCAGGAACAAAACAAAAAGACAACCCACCAACTGGGAGAAAATATTTGCAAATCATATATCCGACAAGGGGTTAATCTCCAAAATACATAAAGAACTCATACAACTCAACAACAAAAAAACAAATACCCTAATCAAAAAATGGGCAGAGGATATGAACAGACATTTTCCAAAGAAGATATACAGATGGCCAAAAGGCACATGAAAAGATGTTCAACATCACTAATCATCAGGGAAATGCAAATCAAAACTACAATGAGATATCATCTTACTACCTGTCAGAATGGCTATAATTAACAAGACCAAAAACAAACGCTGGAGAGGATGTGGAGAAAAGGGAACACTATTATACTGCTGGTGGGAATGCAAGCCAGTGCGGCCACTACAGAAAACAGCATGGAGATTTCTCAAAAAATTAAAAATAGCAATACCATAGGACCCAGCTATCCCACTACTGGGTATTTATCCAAAGAACTTGAAATCAATGATTCAAAGAGACTTACGCTCCTCTTTGTTCACTGCAGCATTATTCACCACAGCCAAGAAGTGGAAGCAACCCAAATGCTCACGGACTGATGATTGGATAAGGAAGACGTAGTGTGTATATATATATATACACAACAGAGTATTACTCAGCCATAAAAAAAGACAAAATTGTCCCATTTGCAATAACATGGATGGACCCTAAGGGTATTATGTTAAGTGAAATAAGCCTGACAAAGACAAACACTGAGGATTTCACTCATATGTGGAAGATAAACCCACAGACAAAGAGAAGAGTTTGGTGGTTACCAAGGAGAAGGGGGGTGAGGGCTGGGCACAAAGAGTGATGGGGCACACTTACATGGTGATTGACAAATAATAACGTACAACTGAAATTTCACAATGTTGTAAACTATTATGGACTCAATTAAGGAAAAAAAAAAAACCTAACGTGGCAGGACGAGACTGTCGGAAAGGCAAATCAAACCAAAACTGAGCCTACCTGGGGGCAAGCCTCCTAAGATTCAGGTTGAAGTGAGGGTACATACGGAAGATCTCAGTTCCGCAAATGCATTCTGGAATGTGATAAGTGTGCAACCACACGGAACAAGAATGTGCAGAAGAAAACAGCAATGTGTTGGAATTTAACAAGGACCAGTGTGCCAGGGAGGGGAGTGCAATCGTGTCCTAGATAACTTTAGGACAAAAAACAAACGTTTCAGAGTAACACAGACACTCCCCTGTCACACAAAACTTCCTGCCAGAGCTTTCTCCTCTATAATCACAAGCAACAGACTGCTAATCCAGCAAAGGTAAGGAAAAATAAATATTAAATTATCCCCTTGCATTATCTTGGATTGAAAAATTTAACAAGTAACATACACAATTTCTAAAAATAAAATTAAAGTTATAAATACTAGTTTGTAATTAGGAACAAAGCTTTTGTTAAAATTTGCAGCTGAGGGCCAGCCCCATGGCCCAGTGGATAAGCTCGCGAGCTAGCGCGCTCCGCTTCAGCAGCCCAGGGTTTTGCCAGTTAAGATCCTGGGAGCGGACCCAGCACCACTCATCAAGCCATGCTGAGGTGGCGTCCCACATGCCACAACTAGAAGGACCCACAACTAAAATATACAACTATGTACTGTGGGGGTTTGGGGAGAAAAAAAAAATTTTGTAGCTGAAACTTGTGTAAAATGTAGATGGGCTCTAGCATCTCTAGCTAGAGGACCTTGATTCCACTTTCTCCGTGGGAAGTAGGGAAAAGCCCTGGTACCTTTAGTTGAACAGTGCTTCCTGCCTCACTGCTGACATTCAAGTTTCTCCCATTCAGTTAGTAAGTCTTTATGGAGCTCTACAGTCATCCACCTCTTTGCCTCTAAAGTATCAGTCCCATCATTGTACAAGCATGCTCTTTTCTGCCCTTCTCATCCTCATCAGCCCTACCACCCATTTCTGTGTTCCCCTTTAAAAGCAAATCTCACAAACAAGCATACACTTGTACTACTGCCATCTCCTCACTTTCTATAATACCCTCTTCAACTCACTATAATCTTATTTCTGGCCCCTCACCAATCCACTGAAAATGCAAGTCAAGGTCACCTCAGTTTACTCAACCTCTAGCAGCATTTTACACAGCTGACTCATGAAAACATGCTCTATACTTTTTTTTAACCAAGAAATACTGTTTCTGAAGAATATGTATTCACATCTTGTGAGGTGGTAGTGTTCTCTAGGAAACAACGACCCAGAAAACACAAAAAGGTTATGGCTACAAATAATGACAGAACTAATGATGAAATTACGAAATAATGAGAGAGTGTCAAGTAACCTGTATCTGGTAACCAGAGTGACCAAGGGAAGAAATGATGGCTGTTATAGGGAAACCAGAAGAGATTTAGGAATGCAAATAAACAGTCAGCAGCTGTCTGAGGTCATGCTGGCAATTCCATAATGTGAGTTGTATCTGGGTGTGAAGAGCAACGGGCAATCCCATTATCCCAGCAGCCTCACTGGTAAAGCATACACCAGCTGTGACAGCTACTGATTAGTTATTTTGGAGGAAACAGTTTTTAAAGTACTGAATTGCAACTGTGAAAACATATACTGTAAGTATTAAAAACTATCTTTTTAGGTTAAGTGCTTTTTAAGACAAACTATCTAAACTCTAGAAATGAAGTTACTCTGTAACAAAATCAAGTCCCAGGTATTTCAGTAAATAATCCTCCACTCTGTTACCATTGTATATTTCTCTCCCTTACTCTACCCTCCTCAGACAAAACGACTGGTAAAGATGGCAGAATAAATAAAGTGTTAAAAGAGTCTCATATCTAGTTACATTATTATTGTTAACATTGACATGCACGATTTAGATAACGTCAAAGTACAGAACTTTTCTCATTAATTTTATCATACCAGACAATTAAAATACATTTAAAATAAAAGATATAACACATTAAATATATAAACTTCAAAATAATCATAATATGTTCATAACATCCTAATTAATTTAATAGAAACATCTATCCTCAAAGTACGTATTATTAAGGACAAGGCTTCTGTTATAACATTTTTCATCTTCATACTTCCACCAAGCCTGACACATCTTTCATGCAATAATGAAACACACCTGGTTTCTTCCTCTGCGTTTTCCATAATTCCTTCTTACTAGGGCTTTATAATTCTCGTTTTTCTTAGTTAAGTAGTAGTATAAAACACAATCAGGAACACTCTATAAGGAAAAGAAATTATTTCTGAGCATACAATGAAATAAAATTTTTAAGAAATCAAGGAACACTTTCAAGGAAAATCTCTGGTATTCTCAAAGTATAAACTGAAGGAAACAAACATGGCCAGCACATTAAGGCATATCTAGACTCTAAAAATATATACATTATACCTACTATTTTAATGAACAATTACAGTTGGCTTAATCCAAAGTATGTAAAAGATACCAGGAATTATCAGAAACATTCAAACACTTTCTTATTAACCAATAACTAAATTCCCCTTCTTACAGCATATATGTAAATATTCAGAGTTTCTTTAAATATTTTGCTCAAAAACATTACATCCAATCCACTGTGAAAAGAATTCAGAGGAAATCAGGACTCTGATATTTTAATTAGAAATGTAATAAGGTTCAAAAAGTATTGTAATCTATGTCTTTTTAGGGAACTATAGTATCAGGTCATTTTTGATTAACCATGAAAATAGTCTGTATTCTGTGCTTAGGACTTGGTATCACATAATTGTAAATAGCACTACACCAGTCACATGAGAATCTTTTCTGTGAAGCCCATTGCAAAAAAAACTACTTAACTACCTCTGTGTATTAGAGCACAAAACTTTCAAAGTAGCAGCCATCACAAACTTATAAACATTCTCAATGTAAACCATTTCTTACCTTCCTTTCCAAGTAGGATGCAATTAGTCCAAAGTTTTTAGGATGCTGGATAAACCTAAGTAAAAAAAAAACAATAACCCACACACATACACATAACATTTTAACAACTTAAAAAGAGGGAGAAAAAAACCTCTGGAACAAAAATGTTATGGTACAGACTAATTCCCCGTGAGTCCTACTGACAACCTGAGGAACAACTGCAGAATAACTGGAGTCTTTTAAAGGGTACCGATTCCTGGGCACCATCTACCAGGAACTGCCTGGATTAGTCTATGGGTAGAGCTCAGAAATGTGTACTTTTAAAAAGTACCCTTAGAGCCAGCACAGATGGCCAAGTGGTTAAAGTTCAACACTTTCACCACTTAGGCAACCGAGGTTTGGTTCCCATCACAGAACCATATCACTCATCTGTCAGTAGCCATGCTGTGGCAGTGGCTCACATAGAGGAACTAGAAGGATTTATAACCAGAACATACAACTAGGTACTGGGGCTTTGGGGAAGGGGAAAAAAAAAGAGGAAGATTGGTGATAGCTGTTAGCCCAGGGTGAATCTTTCCCAGAGGAAAAAAAAAAGAAAAAAAAAATTAAAAAGCACCCTTAGGTGATTCAGACACCACCCAAGTTTGGGTACCACTCTTAACATGACTCCATAACCTCAGTTCTTACCTGTTACCATAGTCCTACCTATAAACATATGGGAACATCATATCAAACCTATATTCTCTACTTTCCACAGTATCCACTCAAATGCTAAAAGGGGGCCAAGTTTTTGGGGAAACAGTTCAATTTACAAGTAAAGACCAAATACTTCTCACTAACTTATGTAAGCTTCCATTAGAGAAAAAAACTTAAATTACTTGTCCTTAAAGATCTCCTTCTCATGGTCAGTCCAAACATTCATAAACTGCCTCTCTTTATAAACCTTCATAGGGTCCTCCATAAGCCCATTCATGTTAATGAACTTGACCCGTCTTTGTTCTGCATCAAACATCATAGGCGGGATCACAGAGAGCTGCCGCATTTGTTTCTCATTATTCTGGGGGCAAAAAAAAAGCAATTTACATAGAATAAAATTTAAAGAGGACCACAGACCAGCTGTCTTAATATACATTAAAAAAACACCTATGTGGTTTAATGACAATAGTAGTGCATACCATAACATCTAACATATAGTAATTACTCATATATCTAATAAACATTCATTGAATGAATTATAGACGCAGAGTGTATACATATTATTTTTTATAATCCACTACTACAATTTGAGAAGAGTTCTTTACTTAATCCAAGTTGATCTTCAGATAATAGAATTTCAGATCTAACGGACATAAAGTAATGTCAAGTTTATTAAAGCAATGACCTTATGAAGCATTTAATTATATTAACAGTCTCATTTTAAGAAGTCTTAACATCATTTTGGAGAAGATATCGTAATGTCATGTTAGAGAACAAGGAATAGAAAAATAAGCAACAGGCACCAAAATCTTAAGGCCATTGATTTTAAATTAACTAAACTCACTTAACTATTAAATACATTTTGCTAATCCTACTTAATCTTTCCATTGAAAATTTAAGACTATTATCCACAGAATTTCAACTAAAACTTTATTACATCTAGACAATTTATTTTCCACAAAGTTTAATTTAGTAAGTTTACTAGCACAAACTTCCATGAAAAAACTTCTACCAGAATTACAAGTATTGACCCTAATACAAGGCTAGGTTTTTTCCTAAAACTATTCATCACAGAAGTGGATATTGCCTTATAGTCAAAGCCTATTTTATGGGGTACTCTCAAACAGTTTCAATACCAAAGTACAGTTTGGGGCAGACACATTAGCTTGAAATCACCTAAATTGATACTAGTTTGGGATGTTTACAGATGTTCCTTAATGGAATCAGTCAAAAAACAAGCACAGAAATTTAACATAGATTTAGTCATCATTGCAGGGGTTATGGCTACAAATTTTGAAATATATAGCAATGCAATAACTGTCTTTGATCATTACTTAAAAGGACCACTACATTCAAATAAGTACGACCTTCAGAATTTAGAGGTGAGGTTTTAAAAATGCCATGTTAAAGCCAAAACAAGCAAAACTCAATAGACAGTACATGGCTTTTAGGACAGATCTTAAGAGAAGTTTGAACACAGCTAAGAAGACTCAGTGTTAGGGACTGAAATTTACTCTTACTCAACACTGATTTATTAACATCACATCCTCTCTCTTCCAGGCTCACTTAGCTAGAGAGCACCCTTTAGAGATCCCACCAGCACCTCAGGTCCACAACCGAACATACAAACATCTGCAAAATACATGCTCCTTTGCTATTTTAGGAAATAGCACCACCAGCTCAGTCCTCTAACCTAGAAACCAGAGAGTCATTTTCCATTTCTCTTCCTTCTCACTCCCACATTCAATTCACCCACCTTGTCCTACCCAGTCCACCTAATCTCTCCTAACCCCTATCCCCTCCTATATATTCCTACCACTGTTGCCCTGACTCAGGTCCTTTTCTCATGTAACAGCCTCCTCAACTCTTTCCAGGCTTCCTTGCTGCCAAAACTATCTTTGTAAAATGATAATATGATCATCTGATTGCCTTGTTTGAAACTTTCAATTGTTGACCACAGTCTTTGCAACTGTCCAAATTCGATAAATTTTCCCTCATTTATATACAAACACACTCTCAGTTCCTGGGGTAAGAGGCTAAAAGGCCTGAATAATTAATGAATTAACTTGAATTAAATCAATTCATTTTCTTACCTCCTGCTCAGAGAGCCCATCAATAATTTCAGAAATCTCATGCTCACTCCTAGCAATGGTGGCTGAAAGACCAGCTCCCCTCTGCCCAACTCTAAATACGAGGGAGAAGTTATAAATATGTTTAAAGGCGTACAAAGAAGACAGGTCAATTAAATTTATACAGATTACTTTTCTGAATGGGACTTTTCTAACCAACTAGAATTCAAAGAACTCTAAAATGCTATTAACTATTTTTAAGTAATATGCTTGAGTCATCTATAAAATTAATAACAATTTAAATGCTGAGATTAAGATTTAAAAGTTACATATCCAAGTTCAAATAGTATGACTATTTATGGGAAACTTCTGGGAACCACAGTTATTGGTGCCATTTCCACTTCAAATAGCAGTCTTTTGTCTGCCTTTCAGAGAACAGAACAGCAGACTTAGAAAAGCACTTTTTTTTTTTTTTTTGAGGAAGATTGGCCCTGCGCTAACATCTGTTGCCAATCTTCCTCTATTTTATGTGGGATGCCCCCACAGTGTGGCTTGACAAGTGGTGCTACCTCCGTGCCCGGGATCCAAACCTGTGAACCCTGGGCTGCCAAAGCAGAGTGTGCAAACCTAACCACTACGCAACCAGGCTGGTCCCCAAACATTCTTTAAAAGATGGAAAGAAACATGGGCTGGCCCCATGGCCGATTGGTTAAGTTCGTGCACTCCGCTGCAGGCGGCCCAGTGTTTCGTTGGTTTGAATCCTGGGCGCGGACATGGCACTGCTCATCAAACCATGCTGAAGTGGCATCCCACATGCCACAACTAGAAGGACCCACAGTGAAGAATATACAACTATGTACCAGGGGGCTTTGGGGAGAAAAAGGAAAAATAAAATCTTTAAAAAAAAAAAAAAAAGATGGAAAGAAACACAACCATCATTCCTTACAAAAACTTAATTGTGATTAAAGTGGCTTACATGACTCTTACACGAGAGAAAGGAGAAAACTAAAGATTTTACATTTGCAAATACTTATTCTCTAAAAGTAAAAACAAATCAGAAACTATTTACCAGTATTGAAGAATTTAATTACCAATCAACTGAATACTGTTTGATTATGTTGGTACATAATGAAGGACTACGAGATATGCAAGTCTAGTCTTATTAACTGTCATTTCCAAAGGAATGGGTATTTTCAAGAACTGAAGAATTAATTTCAAAATATTCACTTACATTTAGATTCAACAGCATTTTTAAATATAAAAAATTAATATTAAATTCACCAAGACATAATCTTTGCTAGTTGATAATGAAGTTTTATATTCAAAATAAAAGTTCTTTATGAGCTTTCTTAATGATCAGATTCAGGTAACAATAAATACTGTAAAAGACCAACAGTGTGATTCAAACGAGCACAGCATAACCATCAAACTACTTACCGCTGAAACCTTTCTTGCTGTTCTCTTTGTTTTCGAATTTCTGGAAACTGCTTTTCATAGTACTCCCTTGTTTTGCTTTCCTTAGCTTTCCTCCGAGGATTATTTTCTATTCTGTCCACTTTTTTCTCCCATGCCTCCATGAGCTGATCATAACGTTGGCAGATTTTTTGCTCCTATTAAATACCCGTAGCAAAATAATAATTAAACTAAACTCTGTGATTCTGACAAACCTAATACTTTAAAGTAAATACTACTTCTTAAGCCTAAATCAGAAGTACATTTGGCCTATGACAATTGTGAATGAAAAGTTGTCCTTGATCTGAAAGAGGAGAGAGAAGGGGAGCTCTGTTTCCTATCAAACATCGACATATAGGGCACACTTTGGCTGGATGTTTTAGTTAATGTTAAGACTATACAAATTAATAAACTAATTGAGGAGCTACTACTAGTAGCTGACCAGCTTTTATTATTTTTTTTGTAATAATATATGTCTTCACTGTCAAAAAAATTTGAAAATTAAATATGTAAATAGTTGAATCCCAATTACCCAAAGGCAACCATACTAACATTTTGTTGTTATCCTTCCAATCTGTCAGAGAAAACACTCACACTTTTAACCATTCCTCTATTGTTGGAGGTTTCAGTTACTTGCAATTTTTTGTTATTATAAATAATGCTATATAATAAACATTTTTGACAGTCTGGGAAAGGCAGAAATTGGTTGTACTTCATGATAAAAAAAATCCAGTGAACTACACAAAACCAAGTATTAATGCTTTTAGAGAAATGAGTAATGTATGATCTCATTTTTTAAATAGAGAAGAAAAGAAAGAACCACCCTCTATTATAGGCATAGAACTGTCTTTGTGTCTGACAACACATGGATAGAAACCAGTGTGGAAGGACTCAGGAGAAACTGCTATTGGTCATCTCAAAAAAGTGGCATTAGAGAAGAGAATATTATCTTCCTCCCACTCCATACCACCTCCCCACCTCCATTTCCCAATCATTCTTTTCAACTCCCGTGTCTTTTGCATCCTTCACCTTTTCTCCACCTCTACTGCTACGTCCTCAGGCCAGGCCAACTTCACCCCTCATCTAGATTAAAGGAATAGCCTCCTAAATGTCTCCCCTGCATTCTTAATGGTGTAGCCAGATGCAAATTCTTAAAATACAAACCTGAACATTTTACTTCCTCATTTCAAACACTAAAAGATGCCCTCAGGATCTAATCCAAAGTCTCCTAGGTGATCTCCAGGACTGTGGACAATCTAGTCCTGCCTACTTCAGCAGCCTCATTCTTACCACACTCCCAGCTCAGTCTAAGCCCAAGTCGTCTCTGAACCTGCCACACTCCCTCTACCTCCCAGACCTTCACTTAAGCTGCTCCCTCTGCTTGTCTAAGTTTCTAGAGTCCTGGTTTTCCTATGCAACTTTCCCTTCATGATTCATATCTGTGCTAGCTGCCCCTCTTGCATGCTCTCCCAGTCATCTGTATGTCCTTTACCACAATATGATCACAATACTGTAATTGCCTGCTGACCTGTCTGCCCCCAGTTAACCATAGGTTTCCTAAAGGCTAACATCATACGGCTATCCTGCTCACTTTTGTAGAATAATACGTGGGACAGAGTAAAGAGCCAATAAATATTTATTAAACAAATCAGTGAACATATAAACTTTATAACGAAATAATCTGTCAAGTACAAAAACAAAATCTGTGTTTCTGTGTTGATATCACCAGATAGCAAACTTAGCGATGACCACAATAACAACAAAATTACTGGATAGAAGAAAAGCTTTAGCTAATTTCTTATTTAATATTTGTACGTTCTTGACAAAAATAAAAAATTCAAGACCAGTAATTTAAGATAGCATCTGAAGGTCTAGACTGGCAAATTAGAACACTACACGTTATACACCAAATAAAAGCTGCTGCCTCTCTTGAGCTTTACAGTTCATTAAACTGTCAGGTCACTAAATATAATACAAAGTTCACTTTGATGTGAATTAAAGAACATCATTTATTTACTAAACAACTGAATTTAAATGAACCGATAGTCTAACATTAGTATGAACATATTGTGAAAGTAAGAGTACTGATATTATATTTTCTGCAGCTTAATTTCCATGAAGATTATAACCACAAAACTTTTGGACCACAAGTCATATAATAAATATGAAGAACTATTTGAATTTGAAAGAACAGTAACGTCTAATCAACGTAACCACAACTTACCCACATTTGTTTGAGGGTTAAGGGACTAATGTAGATCATCCTATTTCTCTTTCATATGTTTAAAATTACTCACCATTTTCTTTATTTTGGCTAGATGAAAATGTTATAATAGGTAACCAAAGAAATCAATTTGATAATGATATTAAAGATGAATTATGGTATCAAAATGTCACTAGAATTAGATTTATATTTAAGTCACATCTATAGTTACTTTCTAAATCAGTACCTTTTCTCAAAAATAATCAAGAACCACTCTCATTAATAATGGGAAAGCAAATGTCTAAATGAGCATAAATGGGAAAGTTGTACAAATTTCAGTTAACAAGGATAGGACCTCACCCTTTGTTTTCTTGCATGATTTCTTCTTTTAAAAAATAAAATGAGTTTTTTCCTCATCACCTGGTTTCTAGAAGAGAAAAATATGGTTGTATGACATTAAGAAAAAGCACAATTTAATAATGCATTCACTTTTTTTTATAGACACTGAAAAACAAGCAAAGATTGCTTAAGAATATATGATGTAATCAAAGTTAATCTTAATTTTTTCGCCCTGCAAAATAAGACTTTTACAATAATTAGAACTGTCTAATCTTCTTCCCGCTCTATAGCAAGATTTTATATAAATAGTTCATTTTCAATTGTTACATGACATTATAAGGCAAATATTATTTTCAAGTTATAATTACAGACTTACTGATTCTTCTTAAGAATTCTGGTGACATAAACATCTTTGTACACTTTTGGCGGAGAGGAGGTAGAAGACAAGGAAAAGCCTTTAAAGCTACCTCCCTCCTCCGGTATGGCACTGACCTCCCTTCTATGAGAAGGTATACCAGCATAGAGAGAGGTGACTTCTGCTTTAAACAGAAGATTTTCTTCAGTCACAGAAATGACACATCCACTCTAAGAAGTAATGGAGGGCAATGTGACAAGACAAGAAAACTTCTCTTATATCTTAATGTAACAGTTTCACTTTTTAAATTTGAAGCATTATGACCTTCAAAAACAACGACATGCAGGTTCAAATATAAATATTTATACCCCACCTACTTCCAGAAAGGATTTCAAGCTGATTATTCAAACATAAATACAAAGCCAAGGCAAGTAGAAGTAATTTTTTGGATTATCTGCCACTCAGGACTAACAGTGACACTGGCTCCACTCAAATAAGCATGGACAATCAGGAGCTGGCTATATGAAAAAGTAGCCAAGAGATGAAAAGAATTATTAAAAGGTACATTTGCTATTTCATACAAAGCAAATGACGGTGATGAAAGAATAGCTACTGAACAATTCATATGGATGCATGCAGCTGAGTAAAGGATATTTCACAAGGTGACGGACAGTAGAAGCGTTACGATATATTCAGTTTGCTCTCATTATAATTATGTCATACTCAAAAGCAAATGACAATCAATAAATATAATTTAAAATATTTCCTAAGAATTTAAATGAAGAAATCAGCCAGTCAGTAACCCATCTCAGGTCAGTGTGCTAATAAGCATTGTAGTGGGCAATGTAGATAACATGAAATAAATCAGACAGAGCTGCTCTCCAGCTAATACTGAGGGAAAAAAGAACACAAAACTGAAGGTTTGCGGGGAAAAAAAATCATTAAAAGTATCCAACTACATTTTATCTGCTACTCTCCTTTTAAAAGGTGTTAAAACAGCTAAACAGTTCCAAAACAAAGCATATTTTATATGAGTTTTGCCTAACCTACTTCTAAAGGTTGTCAAGACCATAGTAGCATCTCACAGAAAAGTTCTAAGTATATGATTTTTATTACGAACCACTTAACAAAAGTTAAAATTATTCAGATTTCAATTTTTTCATGCATACTACCATGCAAATTATATTTGCCACCAGTTCTGCAAAGTAGTAAACTATTGCACATACTCTCATTAAGAAATCTTTTAAAAAGAAAAAAAGATTATATATATAAATAGCAATGTGTTCATTAATAACTATACTAGTAAATAATTATAATGTTCTCACTATACTTAATAAAACATAGAGTAAAAATATCACATTTTTATTACAAACTAAGAATAATTCACCTAAAATTCTCTTAAAGTACGATAATGTTTTTCTTAAAAAAGATACCTATCTAGTTTCCTCTCTTACTTCAATGAGATCAAGAAACTAGGTTTTCTTTTCACTTATTTTCTTGTTCCAGAATCTGCATCCATAAAGGCCTCATATCTAGGATGAGCAAGGCTAAGCAAACTACATTCTGGAGCAGTCTCCTCACCCACGTGAGGTGACTGAGCGCTTACAAGGCACCAGGACATTAAATGGCAGAAGGGTCTACAAATACCGTCATTAGCAAGAGTCATGGAAGGGATTTCCCTAGAATAGGATTTTGAATAATGATAAAATGATCCGTGGCACTTCTACTTTGCAATGGCAGATGTGGCTTGGTGGGGGACGGTGTCATCACTAGTCTTAAATGAAAAAGCTTCATTATCTTACTTCATCATGCGCCTTGCAGGTACTCCACTGAAAAAAAGACAAAACAGGAGGCAAAAAATTCAAGCCTCAAGGTAAGCCATTTCAATGTTAAGTATCCACCTTTTTTACTAGCAGATTATAAAACCAGCTAGTTTTATGCAATAATTTATTTCATTTTTTGGCCTCGGAAACTCAAAGCTGTTACCCCAACCCCCAAGAAGCCAGAGGAAGATAACATATAGTAAAACGACAGCAAATTACACAAATCTAAAACACACCTACACTATATTATAATAATATGTCAGCAAATAAAATAAAAATGATCTCTTTACAGAATATACAGTCTTTAACTGAAGAACTCTAAAGATGATAAATACTTACGTCTTGATGTTCTCATGGTACACCTTGGTATCTGATGGCTGGTTATAGAGTGGCTATAAAATAAATCAAATATTTATATATAAAATGTTGTATATATGTCTATGAAGAGACAAAGAAACAATTTATATTTTAATGTAAGCCTAGGTAAAGTACTAATGTCTCTACACAATATGTGCCCTACCAAAAACTCCAGACTTTTGGGTTCCCTGAATAATCTTGTTTACCCCATTTCTTAATAATGCCAGTCCTGTAAGAAAGCTCATAGATCCATTGTATCTCATAATAAATACATTCATTGATAGATTTTTAATTTCAAAGGCCAAGGAAGATTAAGCATTATCATCATTCTAACAGTGTGATTCAAAGAACTTTCTATTTCTGTTCTTACTCCTTCCTCCTTCTACCTGGAGTGACTACATGGCTGCTCAGGCAAAAACCAGCTCGGGATAATGCTTGTGCAAAGGTAACCACATTCGTGCACCATTATTTTAAACTATCACAAACTTACTGCCCAGCTACATCCCCTCATCCCAAAGTAAAGAGATTGGATTCCCTCTTACCCCAAGAAAAACTACTACAAAAAAAGCACTAGAAATGAAAAAAGAAATTTCTTACTTACCAGTTCAACTTTTGGGCCAAGACCTTCAAATATTTTATGAGCTTCTTCTGCTTTTTTCTACAGATAAAGACATTAAATTGTATAATTAAGAATTACATCACCTAAGTGCAAAATCAATTGAATAATATTTACCTAAAGACTAATGTGTAGTTGAATTTATCCTTATTTCCAAATATTCTCCTTTCATATGACAGGCTGAAATACTTTCTAATTTTATTTTCATAGCTTCCTCACCAAATTCAGTCAAAGCTTAACATTTGTATTGAAAGCAATACCTAAAGAATTGATAAGTTCTTAAAAGCAAACAGACATTAAACAACATATTCTAAGGAGAGGAGCAGAGATCCACTGTTAGAAATGAATCCCTCAAACATTCTAAATACTTCAACTTGTGATGTCCTTGATAAAAGTTAAAAAACAGAATACCATAAAGCTGCCAATCTTTACTGTCTAACAGGCCAAATTGATCTCTTTGAAGAAAAGCTTATGATGAGCTTCTTTTCTAGTTATTTTTCTAGTTAAGAAAATCTTAGCAATAATCAAACAACAGAAGAAACAACTAGTTAGAATTATTCAAAAGTGTTCAGTAGTAAATGCTGAATTATATATTTTTTACATTCCATTTTCAAAAGTAAAATAATCTAGATCAAAGTCCTATTGAACAGAAATCTTCCTTTAATAGACAAATGAAATACAGCAAACTTCGATACTAAAGATGTCTAAACTGGAATTATATGACTAGCAAATGTGTCAGTGGTTCTCAAATCTCTGTCTTGTTCCCAATCATTCTTATTAGTAACAGTGGCACACTGCCTGCTGCAGAGACTCGTATCTCAATGCATTTGTGGCTAGGAAACTCTCCACGGCTTCTTATATGACATACAAAGAGGAACGGATATCAACCAGTATTCCCCAAGTGTAAAGAGAGACATTCCCTTAAAAAATAAACATTCTCCTTTTCATGCAATTTATCAATCACAATCCATCAGTCAAATATTTATTCAACATGTATTATATGAAAAGAACTATGTTTAACTACCATAGTAAGCACAAAATAGCGTACTATACTTTCTAAACTCCAAGAAGCTTAAAACATTCAGATTAGAAATAAACATAAAAACGCCAAATACAAAACTACAAAAATCCATTAAATTTGCATAGCTAATCCTATTTCAGTTGAAAGTTTTAAGGCAAAATTTGTCAACATTGGTACTATTAACATCTTGGGCCAGATATCTCTTTGTTGTGGGGGCTGTCCTATGCATTGTAGGATATTTAGTAGTATCCCTAGCCTCTGGTCACAAGATAACAGTAGCACTCCACCCCTCCCCCAAGTTAGGACAATCAAAAAAGTCTCCAGCTGAGAACAAGTGTTCTAAAGTAACTATTAATCTCAAGAAGGCAAAATGTAATTATCACAAAATTCAAATTTACTAGCTTTAGGCATACAGCCATGCACCGCATGACTTTCACTCAGCAATGGACTGCATATACAATGGTGGTCCCTTGAGATTAGTACCATACAGCCTAGGTGTGTAGTAGGCTATACCATCTGTTTGTGTAAGTACACTCTACGATGTTTGCACAATGACAAAATCACCCAGAAATGCATTTCTCAGAACACATCCCTGTTGTTAATTGACACACAGCTGTAGCTTAAATAACATACATTTATAATCAGCTCTCCACATCCGTGGGTGCCGCGTCTGTGAAGTCAACCAACTGCAGATCAAAAGGTCTACAATAGTTGTATCTGTACTGAACATCTACAGACTTTTTCCTCTTGTCATTATTCCCTAAACAATAGAGTATAACAACTTTTTACATAGCATTTACCTTGAATTAGGTATTACAAGTAATCTAGAGATGACTTAAAGTATATGAGAGGGTGTGTGTAGATTATGCAAATACTATGCCATTTTATATGAGACTTCAGCATTGTGGATTCTGATATCCACCAGGGGGTCCTGGAACCAATCCTCTGCAGATACCGAGGGATGTCTACAACACCATCACAGATGATAAATTTGGAAATATCTAGTACCTGCAACTAACTCTCTAGACTGAAGAGTTTTTAAATTTGCTTCCTCAAGGCATTCTATATTAGAGTCTACCAAGAACAGGAAGGCTAAGTGAAATTGTACACAAATAACACTGAGAGACAAAGAAGTAAAATTATATCATGGCAAATATTTACTAGTATTCTATTATATAAAGACACTAACCTTTTCAGGGTTAATTTTAAACGATGATATTTAAGATGTTTGCAGACATCTTAAGATTTAAGTTTTGCAAAGTTTTATTCAATATTCGACTTCATGTTTGCTTAATTGCTAAGAACAGATTAACCTATCAATAGTTTGGCAGAAAAAATTTTAATTAAAAACCTTCACATTTCCATATTATAATTTTTTTTTTTAAAGATTGGCACCTAGGCTAACAACTGTTGCCAATTTTCTCCTTTTTTTTTTTTTTTAAGGATTGGCACCTGGGCTAACAACTGTTGCCAATCTTTTTTTTTTTTTTCTGCTTTATCTCCCCAAACCCCCCCAGTACACAGTTGTATATCTTAGTTGCAGGCCCTTCTAGCTGTGGGATGTGGGACGCCGTCTCAACGCGGCCTGACGAGCAGTGCCATGTCTGCGCCCAGGATCCGAACCCTGGGCCGCCACAGCAGAGCGCGCAAACTTAACCACTCGGCCATGGAGCCGGCCCCCTCCGTATTATAATTTTTATTCTAACTCTATAGATAGAATTCATTAATTCCTCAAACATATGTTGAGTATGTTCTATCTGCTAGACAGTAAGAAAACAATGAATAAGATAGCGCTTCCCAATGTAGGAAGATAAGGGATCTTGAAAGGCTTCACAAGGAAATGATACTTGAGCTGGGTCATGAAGCACAAGTGCGCTCAACAGACAAGAAAGAAGACAGTAGAATGCCTGAAGACAGGGGCAACATCATGATGCAGAGGTACTAAGAACTTCAGGGGAATATTCAAAACCTGTTCTGGTAGGATGACACTAAGAAAAGAGTATCAGGTCAACAGCCAGGCAGGTAAGGATGTAAGCATAAAAAGCGTAGGATACTCTATAGAAAGTGGGAAATCATCAAAAGGTTTTATTTGGAGAATCACATAAAGGGACTCAAATATGAAGGATGGGTTAGAAAGAAAAAACACTGAAGAAAGGAAACTCAGTATCTATGTGAGAGATGAGGGCTACTGCTAAAGGAGAAAGAAGCAATTAACCAGACCAATAGTTAGAAGGTAGGACTGATGCTATTCATTGTAACTCAATCTACAGAGTGGCAAAGAGAGAGAAATAGCTAATTCCTAGGACATTGGCCAAGGAAAGTAGAGGCTGCTGGAACTAAGTATACTCTGCACTGTCAATCCCTTTCTTTCTTCTGGTCACATTAACCTGCAAATAATTCAATCAAAATACAAACAAGATGTTTTTGAAAACTACACTCCCTTTTCTGTATGTATGATAATTCTGAAGTGAGAGCATTTACAAATATTTTTGGAACCTACAAGTGGGAAGGGCAATAGCAAAATGAACTGTTAGAAATAGGCCAGAAGATCTATTTAAAGACTAAATGTATCTTACTTAGTCTGAAGTTTAAATATGATGCAAGGCAATTTTTCTCCCAGGAAGCTACTTTAAAATTAACAGCCACTTTTGGGTAGTTTTCTTCCTCCCACTAACTTTCTAAATAAAACAAAGATGCCCTATACAAGACAATAGCCCCTATCTCTTAAACCATATTTGGCTTAATTCCCAATCAGTGTAGACCGTTGCCAAACAAGAGGGAGATGGACTCTTATCATTCCCATTTCTCCTTGCCTATGGTGTCAAAATAGATAAGGTCATTCATTACAGAAAACTAAAGAGACAGTGAAGGTCTTACTGAAGGCAGCATGGTAAGGCAGAAAAAGCATCAGAGAATTAGTAGTGAGAAAGCCTATGTCTAGCCCAGCTGTGCTATCACCACTTCACATCCAGGAACTTCTGCTATAATTTTATGACTGCACAAGTACAACCACAGCAGATGATCAGTACCAAGGTACACAAAAAGAACATATTTTGTAAAAGCTGATTTCCACAGTTACTGTGAGTTTACAGTAATCTTCACTGTAAGTCTAGTATTAAGACAGATTTCAGGTTTGGTGGCTGTTCTGTTCTTCACAGAATGCACAACACAGCAAACTGCTTATGTAAACACTACAACGAAAAGGAGAGGTCTGAAAGGAGTTTTAAGTTTTATTGATGGGCAGCAATAAACATTTATTATACTAATTAATGAAAATATATATATATATAAAAATTAAGCACAAAGCAAATCCTCTATCAGATCTTGTTCAATAGTTTTCAGTCATCACAACCTCGTCAGGCAATTACAGAGTTCACTAATATTGGAACTGTTTATTAGGCCTGTAAGACAAGGCTAATTAAGACATTTAATCAATTAATAAATATCATTAAATTCAATTTATTTGAAAATTAACTTGTACTAAGAAAGAAGTCAACGTGTTATTTTACAAGATTATTTTCCACTGTTACCAGCTCTAACCCCTATTTACTTTATCCCTGAGGTCATAAACTGGCCATGAAGCCAACTGGCCCACGTAAGTGTTTTATTGTTCTACAGAGTATTTTTAAAAAGCAGGAGATTTCACATAAAGTTCCATGTTCCTGGCTTCTCTTAAACAAGGGAGCACCTGTGGACTCTGGACCACATCCCTGCATGACCCTGGAGTCACTGCCCCTCTAGGCATGCCATGAGCCAGTCCTCACCACTTACTGCTCTTCACCCTCATTAGACAGATCTTCATGTAGGTTGTTCTATCCATTCAATTAACTGGACTAATATTGAACCCAGCCAAGAAAATAATATTAATTGCTCACACTTTTACCTGCCCATGACAATTACCATTATCGTATCATATATCTGATGCTTTTCAGTTATCTAAACACATACACACATACATGTATATCTGAGTCTAAGATCATTTCTATAAATGTTTATTTAATGACTAATTCACAGTTGCTTTTCATAAGAAGAATTTCCTTTAGGATCTGGGCTATTATAAAAGTTACAGGCTGCCTGTGTAAGATATACTGATTCTGATGACTCCACTCACTACAAGGCAAATAAATTGAAACACCAATCCAAAGTTCTGTCTTTAGCTAACAAGCCTGTTCTCTCCCACAGTACTAAAAGTATATTATTCTTTCTTGGGACTGGGGACTTCTAGAAGCCGAATGTTAAGCAGCTCTGTTGGAAAGTTTTCTTTATATTAAGATGAAATCAGTTTCCCTTTAACTGCTAGTTCTTGGGCTTGATTTCAGCCAAAAACTAACTTTGACATCACAAAATTATTCACAGAATTGAGGCCTGGCTTTCATAAACCCATGGACACTTTTAATTGTGAGTATGAAACAAGAAACTGTTTTAATAAACTTAAACAAGTAAAGTCTACCTAAAGGTCAATGGTTTCAGACTTTATAACTAAGATTCAAAGCACAGCCCAACTATCAATTCTGAAGCTGATAATGTAAGTCATTTCCACATCCAATGATCCATCTCTACTAGAATGGTGTCAGTATTTGGCATTAAATGTCCCTATAAAGTGAAAAACTACCGAATGGCTGTTTTGTATTATGTGCTACAAACTTGATTGCCAGTATTTATATAACGGGAGAGAGACTCAGCCAATAAAATTATTTTTATTGGCTCTCATTAAATAATATTCTCTCTCATTGAATAATATTTATACAATATAAGATGTCAATGAAGTATTAAATAATTTAAGACACAACTGTCAACTTTTCTTCAATCTATTAGGAAAAAACACCAACTTCAGTCAATTAAAGTTTAAGAAAATTAAAATTTATAACAGAAATCAGGTTTTAATACAATTAACATCACCACAGAACACACTGATAACTGGAAACGGCACAATCAAGTGGTTTTAAAGGTGTGTGCCATCAGAGACAGCATGAGCTTACCCGATTCTCATCATAAATAATCTGGACAATACTGCGGTGTTTCTGCTCCACAGGAGGAGGGGACACAGGCTTCTCGGGCTCAGGGGGTTTAGCCGCTTCTTCTTCAAGCTGTTGCTAAGAGATGCAAAGAGGAAGAGTCAGGCATCTGCTGCATGTCACCCCCACCAGGAGTTAATCAGCAGAGGTAACACATGCTACTGAGTAATGCTTTGCTGATTCTATAGAGTAATCATTTAATCTCCTAGGGTCTAATGGACACAACGGCTCTAATAAATCCAATCAGATTTATTTTGACTAGTAACTAAACAACATAAATCATCACTAGATAGATAAATCCTTTTATATTTTAATTCTGATAAATTCAAAGCAAAATAATAAGAGAAACGAAACGTATGAAGGCATCCCATATATCTGTATCATAATGACCTTTTGTGGCACTGGCAAAACACTTTTATATGTTATAGATACACAGTATGTGTTAATGTCTGGTGGAGAGAGTATGGTAGAAGTGTTTAAGGTTTAATCTTTAACTCAGCACAGCATCAAGCTCTCCTCACCCTCCCCCCGCTTCTCCCCTCCCCTGCTAACCTTTATATTTTGTAGTCGAGAGGCACTGGCAAAACCACAAGAATACGGACTGCTAGGGTGTGCAATTATAAAGCAGAAAGCTATCTGTATTACTCTGCCTGGGCTTCAGCCTTAGGGGCACCATTCACAAGTGGTACAATCCTAGGACCCTTTCTAGGTCCTTACCTCCATCTTGAACGAGCATATAAACCACTCACATGTAAAGCAGGAATATTAATAGCACCTATCACATAGCTTTGTGAGAGGATTACCATAAATGTCCAATAAATACTAGGTACAATTATTAACGAAGTAAAGCAGAGACTTTGCTTGGTTCACTGCTTTTTTCTCTTCAGCACCTAAGCCAGTGCCTGATAGCGAGTAAATGCTCAACAAACAGCAACATGAATATAGTATAAGTTCGCTGCCTAATATAATAAAAAAGATATTAGGGCAAGATGTTAAGTCTACTAAAGGCCCAAAGGAAAAATTGTCTATACTACTAATATAACTAACAGTCAAGGCTCCTAGTCATATAAATCATACCACACCCAAATGAAAGCATAAAAATCCTCCAGGAAAGGGGGCCGGCCCTGTGGCCGAGTGCTTAAGTTCTGCTTAAGCTCTGCTTTGGCGGCCCAGGGTTTTGCTGGTTCGGATCCTGGGCACAGACATGGCACTGCTCGTCAGGCCATGCTGAGGTGGCATCCCACATGCCACAAGTAGAAGGACCCACATCCAAAAATAAACAACTATGTACCAGGAAGCTTTGGGGAGAAAAAGGAAAAAATTAAATCTTTTAAAAAAAAAATCCTCGAGGAGAGATGTTCAGTGACCACTTCTACTTGGGAATTGAAAGTACTCTTACAGTCTGCTATCTGTATAAGCAAAAGACAGATATTTAGAGTCGTGAGTTCATTTTTATGGGAATGAGTTCTTCAACCATGCCCTTTCTTTCCTTTGCTCAGAGAGCCTTCTTTTAGAATCTCTATGAAGTAGTTGTAGAGAAAGGAATAAATAAGCTTCAGGAAATCACATTTTGTTCTTAGCACCTAAGTAGCCCTGGAACAAAGCCATTAAAACAAAAAGGCTAAAAACAAAATTAAAAAATGCAAACTTTCCTCACTTATTTGTTCTCTTAGATTAACTTTACAATAATTTAGCAAATAATTAAATAAATAATTTAGCTGGAATTTTTAGTGAGATGGTATAAAACATATGAATTAACTTAGGATTAGCACATGACATTATTAATACTGTGTTTCTGTCCAAATACAGTATATTTCTTTATTTACTCAAGCTGTCTTTTATATTCCTCAATAAATACTGGAGGTCCCGTACATCTCATGATCATGATATGTTCCATTATTTTCAATTACTATAATGGGTTATGTGTTATTGAGCACTTACTATGTGCCACATATTGTATAATACAGTCATTATCCCAACTCATAAAACAACTACATAACTTAGTGTGATTACTAATAATATTATTACCATTTTACAACAAAAGAAACTAAAGAAAACACCAGACCAGACCAACACCAACCTAGCGGAATCAGACCCACTAAGACTTAAAAGAATTGTCAGGCATATTATTATAAATTTAACATGGCCCAATAAATAAAAGAGGGTTCAACATATTAAAAAGAAAACAAAAAGCAAGAAATAGTTTTAAATCTGCTTAGTCATTAAAAAAATAAGCCAAAAAGAAATTCCAGCAATAAAAATATAATTATTGAAATTGAAGATATATTTGACAGGTTAGATATAACCAAAAAGAGAAATGAAAACTAAAGGACAGAAATGACGAAACTGCCCACAATGTAGCCAAAAGAAGTAAAAATGGGGGGGGGGGGGAAGCAATTAAAAGACATGGAAAACAAGAGTGATGTTACACCTAATGGGAATTTCAGAAGGAGATACAGAAACTGTAAGAAAGGGTTTTGTAAAAAAGATAATGGCTTAGAATTTTCTAGAGCTGATGAAAAACTCTACCACATTCAGGAAGCCCAATGAATCTCAAGCTGGGTAGAGTCAAAAAAAGAAAGAAAGAAAGAAATTTAAAAAAAACCCCAATCCTAAATAAGTCAATAAAAGCAACAGGACCCAAAGAAAAAGATATTGAAAGCAGTCAGAGAGAAAATTAAGAAATTTTATCCACAAAAGTACAAAAATTAGACTAAGGACTGGTATGTCTTAGCAATGAAAGCCATTAGCACTGTACTGAAAAACAGAGAAAAAAACATTTACCAAGCAAAAATATCCATCAATGAACAGGCATAAATAAAAGGCAACATTTAAGTCATGAAAACAAAACAAATACTGAATTTGCCAACTAACAGATTCTGACTAAATTCTAAAAGATGTTCTTCAAGAAAAAGCATGCACCCCCAAATGGAAGATCTACATTGTAAGAAGGAATGATAAACAAGTAAGATGACAAACGTAGGTAAACCTAAATGAACACTGACTATATACAATAATAATGTTTTAGGCAATTTAAAAAAAGCAAGAAAGAACTAAAATATATGATAACAATAGCATAAAAGTTGGGATGAAAGAGAAAGAAATCACAAAGTTCTTTGCCCTCATATTACGCAAGAAGATAGTTAAGCTATTAATTAGTTTTAGGCTTCAAGTTAAATAGGCTGTTAAAATTTCTGGGGGAGGGGCTGGCCCCATGGCCGAGTGGTTAAGTTCGCGCGCTCTGCTGCAGGCGGCCCAGTGTTTCGTTGGTTCGAATCCTGGGCAAGGACATGGCACCGCTCATCAAACCACGCTGAGGCAGCGTCCCACATGCCACAACTGGAAGGACCCACAACGAAGAATATACAACTATGTACCGGTGGGCTTTGGGGAGAAAAAGGAAAAAAAAAAAAATTTCTGGGGGAACTACTATAAACAAAGAAATATTGTATAAAATCCAAGCTGGGGGGAAAAAGAAAATGGAATAAGACAAATCATCAATCTAAAATAAGGATTGGAAAAAACAAACAAGAACACCAACATCAGCATCAGAAAGACAAACAGAAAGCATAAAACAAAATAGTTAAAAATAATTGGGATACTACCAATCATCATAGTCAGTTTAAAACAACTACATTATCCTGTGGTAAGACAGGTTGTCAGATTGAATTATAATAAGAAAAAAACCCAGCTATACACCTATATAAGAGATACACCTTAAACATAAAAGCACAGAAAATAAAAGAAAGGAAAAAGATAAACTAACAAATATCAACCAAAAGAATGCTGATCTAATTACATCACTATCAGGCAAAAGAGACCTAATGGTAAAAAGAATTATAAGAGATAGAATGTCATTACCTTATACTAGAAGGTTTCATTGACCAGAAAACTAAGAATTATAAACTTGTATAACCTAAAATAAGAGCCTCAAAATACATAGGATAAAAATTGAGAATTGGGAGAAAATATATGCAAATCACATATCTGACAAGGGGTTAACATCCTAAATATATAAAGAGCTCACACAACTCAACAGCAAAAGAAAAAACAATCTGATTAAAAAATGAGCAGAGGAACTGAATAGACATTTTTCCAAAGAAGACACACAGATGGCCAAAAGGTACATGAAAAGATGTTCAACATCACTAATCATCAGGGAAACACAAATCAGAACCACACCAAGGTATCACCTCAACCTGTTAGAATGGCTAAAATGAAAAAGACAAGAAACAAGAAATGTTGGAGAGGATAAGGAGAAAAGAGAACTCTCGTGCATTGTTGGTAGGAATATAAACTGGTACAGCCACTACGGAAAACAGTATTATGGTTCCTCAAAAAATTAAAAATAGAACTACCATATGATCCAGGAATTCCACTTGTGGGTATTTATCCAAAGAAAATGAAAACACTAACTCAAAAAGATATATGTACCCGCCCCCCATATTCACTGTAGCATTATTTATAATAGCCAAGATATGGAAACAATCTAAGTGTTCACCAACAGATGAATGGATAAAAAAATGTGGTGTAGGGGCTGGCCCCATGGCCAACTGGTTAAGTTCGCGTGCTCCGCTGCAGGCAGCCCAGTGTTTCGTTGGTTCGAATCCTGGGCACAGACATGGCACTGCTCATCAAACCACACTGAAGCGGCGTCCCACATGCCACAACTAGAAGGACCCACAACGAAGAATACACAACTATGTACCGGGGGGCTTTCAGGAGAAAAAGGAAAAAGATAAAATCTTAAAAAAAAAAAAAAAAAGTGGTGTATATACACAATGGAGTATTATTCAGCCATAAAAAAACCGAAATGTTGCTGTTTGCAACATGGATGGACCTTGAGGCATTATGCTAAGAGAAATGAGTATGATGGAAAAAGACAAATACCATGTGATCTCACTTATACGTGGAACCTAAAAAACAACAACACAAAGCTCATAGATGCAGAAAACAGCTTGGTGGTTGCCAGAGGCGGGGGGAAGGGGAGGTGAAAGGAGTCAAAAGGTACAACCATTCCAATTATAAAATAAGTAAGTCACTGTAATGTAATCTATAACATGGTGACTATAGTTAAT